CCCCCCAATCCTAAGTCGTCATTATTCACTATTCATTCGATGCCGTACCAAGACTATTTTCTTTTTTTTTCTTTATTTTTATTTTCTTTTTTTTCTTTTTAGGACGACCACAGTAAAGCTACTGTTACACACGCAAGTTGATCGATGCCGAAAGATCTATACATCCTGTATTCAGATGTAAGTTTTGATTATTGTGAAAATGACGTCACATCATAATATACATTAATGACGTCATTTTCACAATAATGAAAGATTACGCCGAAAGACAGGGACAGATACGTATGCATCGATATGTAAAGAAAAATAAAAGCGAACATGACTTTCAGCTGGAAGAAAAAAGTAAAAAAAAGATTCCCAAGAGTGTTTAACAATTTTGCAATTCGTCGGGCACGATTGAGTAATTTTGAATTAATTATTTCTGGAGTCCTGATTATTATTGTTATTGCACGGTTATCATACGTGGATACAATAAATATTTTTTCACCTAGTAAAAATGCACTGAATTATCACCCTGTGTGTTTTTGTTATTAAGTAAAGTGACTGCTGAATACAGCTTCATTTTTGGAATTTTCAAAAAAAATCCTAGCAGTTTCCTTGTATCTCAATCCTTTCATCGTAATGTATAAAGTGTATGTTATACTTTGAGCGTCCTTACTGCCAGCTATGTACATTATGTAAACTTCCTGCGATATGACTCTGGGCGGAATTCGAATGATTCTAATATCGATATTTGAACGTGTTCCTGGTGTTGTGGTGACTGCCTTAATGATTGTCACGTACGGCTTTTCGATTGAAAGTCATTGGCCGGTCGTATGCGAGATTCATAAGAGCTGTTCGAGAATATGGGCTCTGATAAGAACTATTATAGATGAGTCATGAATGCATAATGTTAATCCAATAGACGTATATTTATTTCTTAAGCATCGATCGTCGTGTTGAGTGGAGTCGAAGAAGAAATAAAAGTTTTTCAATTCGCCGAGAACCATTAATAACCGTTGTTTCTTTCTGATGAGATTTTTTTTTGTATGGATGGTGGGACAATGGAAATATTACATTTGGAATTGGGGAAAGCGGTTGTCGAGAATGGAACATAAGTTTAAGGTAATTTCTTAATTATAATCCATATCGCAAATGTGTATTGTGATTTCTTATGATTTTCTGTATTTTTTTATGCTTAAAATTGCACTGGGAACATTATAGTTTCTTTCTTTTTTTAATTAATCCATTTTGAGTAGTTCGAGAGAAATCGAAATATTTATTTTGTCCCTGAGAAGATAAAAGGCAGATTAATTGTTTAAACAGAGTATAAGGGATTAAAGAAACAGCGGCTTTTTTTATTATTTTCTACAATTTAGACAAATTATGTTTTGTCCCGTTATCCCGCATCGTATGGGAATTCTTTTATTTGTTTAAATCCGAAATTTGAACTAAGATCGAATTGGATAATTGACACTTTACGTAAGATTTCACGTAATTTATATTGAATTAAATACTATGTTATTCAGGAGTATTGCACCGACTGAAGTTGGTCGGTCTTTTTTTATTTCCGTAGTATAATCACGTCTTCAGGTGGTACAATACTTCTGAATAACCCTGTATAAATTACTACGACAAGAGGATCGTCGATACATAGTCATTGGTGTCCCGATTGTCGTTTATTTTCGTCTGATTGGTTTTCATTGCACTACTAAAATTGTTAACCAACTTAAGTGTCACGTAAAAGATAGTATATTTTTACTTTAGTGTAAACCATTGATATCACCGTAAGAAAAATTTCCTTGAATAAAATAATTCTTTTATAAATCTTAACATATTATATCTTTCACGGTTCTTTTGTACAGTCTATCTTTCTGCGCATATATAATATAACTTCCATTCATAATCGATCACATCAACAATTGGCTATAACAAATTACAAACGACACAAATGTTCAATTCGCAATAAAAATGTCCGCCACGTCCGATAAGGATTTGTCCGAATGTCAATTGGTATTTTTTACGCGACTATCGGACTCGTCACTATATTACAATCAGGCGAGTTCACGCAAAAATTATATTTCGTAAAGCAAAATCCATAATTCGATGCGCATAAAATATTCCTAACAGGATTCTGCTTCCGCTGTTACTCCTGTAATTCAATCGATGACAAGAATTGCGAATTCAATCCTGTCAAGACGACCTATTGTAGATTTATCGCCACGGGTTGCGTCAAGCTCATTAACGACGGTGAGTTTTATATATTTAAAAAAAAATAACCAAAAAGTTTGATTAAGACAGTAGAGAGAGAAAGTGATCGAAAAAGAAGCTATATAAGGTATTCCAAATTAACAGTAATTGAATACCGTTATATCGATGCCACTGGCAAAGAAATCCTGGCCAAAAATTGGGATGGTAAGGACTCTAATTGGCAAGCAATACCGTACGTGGAAAGAGTTATCACAAGACGTTGTGGAAATATTTATGGAAGATACAAAGTTGACGTAGGCTGCAAGAAGATGCCCTTTCTGGATAACGATAAACCGGATAAGGAAATCATTTGCTATTGCGAAACAGAACTTTGCAACGGGACTACAAAGTCCACCACGACGGACACTCTGTATCTGTTACTCGTGATCGTCACGAATCTGTATATAAGTTTAATATAATTCGTCGAATTAAAGAAGACTGCTCTACTCCAACTGAAGAAGATTATCTTTCATACGTTTATGGTTTTTATATGATACGCTTCCATCTCCTCAGACGAAATTGGTACAGGAGCGCCTGACATTAAGTCTCGACCTTCCATAGTTTTTGGAAATGCTATAACGTCTCTTATACTTTGTGCATTACAGAGTAGACAGGTTAAACGGTCCAGTCCTGAAAATTTGGTTTAATTAAGTATTAAGAAGAAATTATTGAGATTATATATATCTTAAAGGATTTACCTAGTGCTATACCACCATGAGGTGGTGCACCGCTGGCTAGAGCTTCTAGGAGATGATACATTTGGGACTTGTCGATGTCCAACATGTCAAATATTTTTGTCTGTAAGGCTGGATTATGAATTCGAATGGACCCACCGCCTATTTCGGACCCATTGAGTACCAAGTCGTAATGGAGTCCACGAACTTTCAGAGGATCCCTGGAGATGAGGTCCATGTCGTCCGGATGTGGCTGAGTGAATGGATGGTGAGTTGACGCTAATGTATCTTTCGTTTCTCCAGGTGAAAATAGAGGGAAATCCACGACCCAAAGAAATAGATAATCAGAGGATCTTATTTTTCTCCCTTTGGACTCCAATACGTTTGTATACTCGACACGCAATTTTCCTACTATTTGTTGCTGTAAATTTTATATCATTATATACACATCGTGTCACGAATTTATAATGGTAGTTGTATGCACTCACTGCATCAGCTTTTTCTCCAAATGAAATAAAGAGTGTATCCCCCTCTTTTACATTAAGTTTATCAGCGATGTTCTTTGTAACATCTTCAGAGAATAATTTTATCAACTTTGAATTCCAAGAGTCACCAGTCACCTTCTCCTGTACTAATTTAGCACCAGGGAATTGTTTCTTTGCCATATCATTGAATTGTGATTTTAACGAGTTTATTAAGCAATCCTAAATATCATGGAATATTTTTAATCATATTTTTTACTACATAAGACAATACGGAATTACTTACTTGACTATTTGGTATAACTACAGCATAGCTACCGAAGGTATTATGTTCAAAGTCAGTTTTATCCATTAAAGTACTAGACTGTTTAATGAGCTCTGTAATATTTTGTATCTGTAAGTAAGAATATATATACTGGATGATTATAAAGTCCTTACGGTACTGGATTGAGACTTCATTGAATCAGATTACAGTTACAAAATTATTTACGCGTATGATCTTACATTGTAGGGGATTCTTAGATCAGGTTGCTCAGAGCCATATAATTCCATAGCATCATTATATGTTATATGATCAAAGGGAACTTTGATAGAACTTAACTCAGGTGGCCAGGAATGGAGCAGTAAGCCCTCTATCATTTCTATTAATCCCTCTCGGTTAATAAAAGACATTTCTATATCCAACTGTAAAATAATATATTCATTGGATTACACGAACTTCAAATATTCATAATTATACACTGTCGAACCTGTGTGAATTCTGGTTGCCTGTCGTGTCTAGATCCTTCATCTCTGTAACATCTTGCAATCTGAAAGTATCTATCAATCCCACCAATCATAAGAAGTTGTTTGAATTGTTGTGGGCTCTGTACCAGAGAGTAAAATTGGCCAGGGTGTCTGGTGGGTACCACGAATTCTCTAGCACCCTAGTAATATGAAGATATTCTTAACATAATACAATATTCTGTATGTTCTATTAACATACCCCAGGTGTACTTTTAAAGAGTGTAGGTGTCTCAACATCGACAAAATCACAATTGTTGATGAGATACTCTCTCATTTTCATAAGAACATTTGATCTGAGCCTCAAATTTCTTTGCATCTCTGGAAAACGTAATGCCAAATATCGGTACTGCATTCTAAGGGCCTCCTTAGCTTTATTATATTCCCTAATTGAAAATGGAAGTTGGGGTGTCGCAATATTTAACACCTCTAGAGCCTCTAATTGAATTTCTATTTCTCCTGTCTTCATTTTTTTATTTTCCTGACCAACAGGTCTGGCCACTACTGTACCAGTTACACTGATTACAGTTTCATATGGCAAATGGTTAATATTTTGTACTAAACTATTATCCTAAAAAAAAAGAATTTTTAATTGAACATATATATTACAAATTGATAAAGCAGAAACATTATTTGACACTAACATCCGAAACAATTACTTGTATCGATCCATATGCATCACGAAGAACAAGAAATTTCCCCATCCTTTGAAATTCCAGCCAACCACACAGATGTACCTTCTCTCCAACATTATTTATAGTTAATTCACCACAGGTATGCGTTCGATTAACAAATTTATTAACTGGAGCAATAGTTTCCACTACTTTATATTGATGTTTGCTAGCCACGGTATGGCTGTAACCGGAGACAGGACTGTGATTAATTCCAGTTATCTAAAAAAATGCACAATACAAAATTTTATTGAAAAAAGGATAAAGATATTATAAGCTTAAAATACAAATTGCCTGGTAAGCATATCATTTATTATGATATACTATAATTTAGAATGAACCTACATTATTTTTGTGGTTTGCTGTTAAAATTTGTTGAGTGATAATTGCACGATTGTTTGATACTTTATACTTGCACAAATTATACAATAGTCTATTTCGATTAAACATATTGATAAGTAATAATGCACAATTTATTGTGTCAAAATATGCAATTTCAATGCGGGTTAACAGTTACTCTTCCACCCGTAAAACGAGCCAAGAATACGTGTATGTATAGGACCAAAAGCAGTAGCGCTCATAAGAGTTACATTTTGTGTTTGTGTGCGTAGCGGTATCTATCTAAACATTGATTAAAAATGGTAAGCTCATTACATTACACACCTTTCAAGTAAATTAAAGTAATACACGTTTCAATGTATATTACAAGGATTAATTTTTATCTTTGCAGTTACCGCTTTCCTTGCTGAGAACTGCTCAAAACCATCCTATGGTAAAATCCTAACCTCGTTGTCTATGATTACTGTCTGATATTTTCTGTTTTTAGTTAATCTAACCTTTTTGGATATCTATTTTAGCTGGTTGAATTGAAGAATGGAGAAACATATAACGGTCACTTGGTCAGTTGTGACAATTGGATGAATATCAATCTCAGAGAAGTCATTTGCACCTCACGGGTAAAATATATTTGTGATCACAAATATACAAATTCTTTAGTATATTATTATGATTTAATGTTGTATATGATATTGTTAAATCGTTTTCTAGGATGGTGATAAGTTTTGGAGAATGCCAGAGTGCTATATCCGTGGTAGCACAATTAAATACCTTCGAATACCTGACGAAGTCATAGACATGGTCAAAGAAGATGTACAGATGAAATCAAGAGGTCGTGGAGAAATGAAGGGTCGCGGTGGTCAAAATCAAAGAGGTGGACGTGGTACTGGCAGAGGTACAATTTATTGAGATGCAAAATAATTTTCAATAGTTATTAGAATACATGAGTGTAACATTGAATTTTTCAATCCAGGTGCCTTTGGTGGTCGTGGAGGTGGCAGAGGCCCTGCACCGTTAGGTCGTGGTGGAGGCAATCAAGGTAACAAACCACAAAATAAATCACGACCTAAGTAGGAACAATGTACATATTACCATTGTACTATAATTAATTTACTTTAAGTGCTCATTGGAATAAAATACTTGCAAAATATTATGGAATGCTTTCAATACTGATAGTAAATCAAGTTACTTTTATTAAACATTGAAAATGATTGTCTACTCTTCAAACATAAACAAACACTAAAGATACAGAAATGTCAAAAGTTATTCAAACATGTACAATATCCTGTTATCAAAATACCAACAAGTTCTATTTTACAGCTCATAAATCTAAGCTAAATCTATGTGCTTCGTTCCTTGTCTCTTCGAAACACCAAGTAATCTACAATAAACACAGTTATTAATACTCATTCTGTAAATTCAAAATCAACATACAACATTAAGTTCCTACAAAGATAAAAATCCAAAACAATCGTAAAATTCAGTCCTAACGTTTAAAAACTAAAATCAGAAACAAACTTTTAAAATCAAAACCCAACTGTACACCACTAGTCCCAACCAAGCTTGTTAATCTCACTAAAAGGTGGTGCAAGAATCGCAAAAAGCAGATACCATCGATAACGCAGAGTCGAGTGCTGTAGTGAAAAATAATCCTCGGATCCGGAGTGTGTCGCCAGGAGGTAGTTTCTCAAGAAACAGCAAAATTCTATCTCAAGCAAATAAAGTGCGAACGGGTGTCGGAGCTACCGTGCAGTGAGTGTCACCCGGAGGCTGATGTAAGTGCAAAAAGAGGAACCTCTTTTTGCAGGTGGGGCGCTGTGGCAGTTAGGCTAAGCAGCAAACATACGATAATGTACAACATATATCGTTACACCTGGAGGAAGTAGAGATGAAGCAGCATAGGTAAAGGGAAACCAGGTAGACGAAGAGTGAGAGAGAGAGAGAGAAGGTGTAGAGAGAAACAAGTGAGGGAAGGCGGAGGCCGTCAAGGAGAAGAAGGAGGAAGAAAGAGGTGGCAACGGCTCACCAAGTGAAGGCGCCGAGAACGCGTCCGAATGGGATGTCAGAGAAATGGGCGAGGCTCCGCGCGTCCGCGTTAATCGCAAAAGCCTCGCGGCCCTGAGAAATCGCAACGAGAAGATAATCCGACTCTTCGGCGTGAGACTGGTCCTATCCCAGGAAAATGAGACCGCAAGAGGGGATGACAAGGGAGAGCAAGCAGAGGATAAAGATAAGGAAGAGGAGGACGAGGACATCACGTCCTGCGACCGTCCCGTCGGAAACGAGAATGAAGTCCTCGTGTCGCTGGAGGTCTTCCCCGAGTCAGTATGCAGTGGTTGGAGTGGGGCTGGGGAACCGCTCACCGATTCCTTACTCGAAATTGCGGCCAGGGTCCAGGTAAGTGTTTTTTTACACATTAACATTTATACTTTCATGATCTTGAATGAATCAGCGTTACTCATATCATCTATAACCGCCAATCTGCATATCGGCTGACATTGTAAAACGGCTTATTAATCTAAATGGCAAAGAATACGCACTTCACAGTCGTATGCGTTATTAATGCCGTCGGATTCAACTTGTCACCCAAGATTACGTTTAGGTTATGTTATCATGGGCTAAATTTGAAAATATTCTATGCGTTCCGAATGGCCTGTATAATTACAAGATATTGAAGCGGACAAGATGGCCTTAAGGATTTTAGTTAAGAAATGGACATGCGTTCGGACTGACAGACGTTCCAATGCCCGATAGAACGAAGATCAAAGTAAGGTGGCTCTCCTGCCTTTCCACCCGGACTAAGACGAAGAGATCCGTGTCAACAAACCTGAATCTGGCACGGCTGGGCTGCCTCTCATCCATTATACTCACGTATAGTTATATACCCATTAACCAATACCCGCGAACCAGTACATTTTTACAAATGGCAATCACGAGTGGCACACGGCTCTGAGTCCGGTATCCGGCGGCGCCGCAGTGCCATACCCCTGGACAGGGGACACTTCGTGAACCCAGATCACGAGATAGCCTAACCAAACGATAATTACTCGAATGAGCGAGCAGTCGAGCCGACCCGTAAGAACAAGAGACTCCAAGAAAATCGGCCTCCTGCATCTTGCACCAAACAGCATACCATTTTAAAAACGATATCCTAGAGTATTAAAATGATTTTTAGGAATTTTGGTAAATATAAAGAAATCACTATTAATTGGATCAGATATATTTTTATCATTTATTCGTTAGCTTTGAATGAAAATAATTTATATTCTTTTTTTTTCTTTTCTTTACCATGATCCCTCGAACGTCCTAGACTCCTGGACGCTGCTTCAATCACCGGCAAGACACTGTCATGGAGACCGGGACAGACAATCTAAAGAAACTCATTAAAGAAAAGGATGAACGAAAAAGAAATTAAACAGGAATATCCGAACCGGACCTTATCCAGTACTCAATCCAAGCCGATCCAATCGAATCGGTCGCGGCCCGTGTCCGTTTCACGCGTATTCGAAGTCTTTCACGACACACACCCGGACAACTTGTCTTTAAATATTTAGTAGTTTTGCTTCTCCCCTCTCCTCGTGTCCACTCTCGTGCCATCTATCTCTTTATCTCTCTCTCTCTCTCTCTCTCTCATTCCCCAACTTTACATATGGTCTCACTCTCCCGCTCAGTCTCTCCCACACGCGATATGTGTTTCTTGTCTTCGTGTGTCCGGTTACATTCGGGTTATTAGGCTGTGGCCGCACCTTGTACGTAAACACGAGGGCTGCTATTTGCGTTGGGACTGTACCAACGCTCTCTCCATATGCTTCTCTTTATATATATATTTTCCTCTCTCACGCGTTACAGTGTACACTCCGTGTCGTCGATTATTTACACAATACGAATGCGCCTTGAGACACGAACAAATGCCTTGGGACACGTGTGAATATACTCACTGACATACACCACGAGCAGACCCCGAGCAGACCCCGAGCGTGCTGCGTGATTTAATTGCTCAAACAATTAACCTACCCGATCACGATCGTCGATCCTGTCCATCCTATTTTATTGCTCAGGTATTTCTGCGTTATTTCTGTCTTTTTTTTCCTTTATTAAACTCCTTTTGAAATTCCCGCCTCTCGACGCTCCGTGTACACCATAGAACACCGGGGGCTGAGGCTAGCCAATGGGTATCATGGATTTTTTTTCAATTCTAATAATAAATATAAATGGATATAGCATATATATATATTCTTACTGACAAAATTATTCTTTATCACAATAGTCAAAAATATTGATCAAGCGGGTAACCATTTACCCCATAATTTCCAAATGTTCCTTTTAACGGGGGAATTGATCCCAAGCGTGAAGTGGGTTGCGCGAGGATTGTGGTCAGGTAGGCGTTCGGATCCGCGTAAAAAGAAACCGTCGAAGAATTCCACGCTTCACGTGGCACCAGCTTCTGGCTCTCTCTTCCCTGGGGGAAATCCACCTTGCCTGACGGTCGTCCTTAAGACGTGACTTCTTGTCTGCTACCACGGGGGTAATCCGACCATTGTGAGTATCCTGATTAGGAGAGTACGGATAGTCATCCTTTAACGTGGTGGAAGAAGACTCCAGTCGGGATAGCTCGTCTACGGCGGTGTATGGATGCTGGAATAAATACATAAATTAGGAATGGCCGGACCTGGACAAATATATGAATGCGCATGGATACACGGGTGTTCACGTATGTGAATCGTACCTGCACCTATGCTTATTCTTGGAGTATGGTTACCTTACTTTGGAAACAACGTAGTTTTTTATGAACACAAATTTTGAATTGTAATGACGCTTTTACGATAGCGTTAATTATCGCTTCACCATTTTATTATACGTTTAAGTATATTGTAAATAATACATCGAGACTGCTCATCAGCACGACGCTTTTCATCTGATGAGTCAAATCTTTATTCAAATTAGGTTATGCGGAGGCTGCATTTAGACGCGACTCCGTCCTAACTCCATTCAGTATTTAGAGAGGTAAAGAGTCAATTACAACAAATTAGAAATATCTATTATTAGTTATTATGATTTCTGCATGTCGCGTATTGTTATTATTTCTTCATACTATTCAACACTGTTTCTCTAACGACCAGCATTCTCTGGGCTGGACACCTTCTAACACTATTGTATTCCGTAATAGGAAAATATATATCGCTATCTTTGTTTTATCGACAAAACTCACGTTTATTCATTGGTTGTTACGTCAGCTTAATTTCCTATTTCTATTCGCTGAGTTTTTCGGCTTGTACGCGCCTTATTTTCACGATTCGGAAATCCGCATCCTGTGAATAAAGGTATGATATATATATATATATATATATATATATATATAGGTATAGTGAGTTTACATATGTGATTTCTTGATTCTATACTGGTTCTTATTTCTATATTCTTAATTCTCACCTTCCTTTAAAAAAAATTTGTCTCGCCCAACGTAAAATCCTTCTCACTGTATTGATTAATTTTGTGAGATCATTCATTGTAATTCGATCCATTGTGGCCGTCTTAATCAAATTCATGTACAATGACGAATAAGGTAACACTGTCTGAATCAGCAGTCACTTTTTTTTGTATCTCTCCATTCCGTCGGTCTTTTTGATATGATAATTTTTTTGTGAGACTTATCGAGCTTTTTTCAATATCTTTTTTATGGCAATCTCCTTCAGACCGCTACGAACCGAACTGCAGGACCGTCGGTTCCAATTCACCCTTCACAATGCAATTAATCAGTTCTTTGATATTGGTTAGCGATAATCGACCATGAATTAACAAAATTGTCTCCATTGTTGTCCAAATGGATTCATGCTGTATCCGTTATTTATTTGAATTGTCACGACTGTCCACAAGCTGGACTTCTCGCTTGGAGGAATTCTCATATAATTCTTAACAGGTGGGACAATCCACAAGGAAGGAGGACAATTCAAGGAGGAACCGTATTCATACTAATTTATTATCAGGAATATTTATTACACCCGGTACTATCCCCCTTCGAGTCCTAGTCTACGTGGATGTTGGAATTGGTAGTCGCGTAGGTGCCGAGTTACGCGCACCCAGGATGGCAGTTTTTACGCAATTCCTAGAAAGTCCTCCGACTGCTTACGTATACGCGCATACGTACCTGTCCCGACTTTCAGCTACGTCGGCCAATCCGATTCATTCATAACGTAATGTATTCCATCCGCGCGTGCTCGACAATGGCCGTGTATATATGTATATACTCCGTGCGTAAGTATTCATAAAGAAGCGATAACGCGGGGACATCAGAAGAGCCATTGAGAAATCGCAGGGCCGTGCAAGTAGGGCGCACTCGATCCAAGCTATAACCTGAAACTTGAAGTTACGTTGACGAAAACAATAGGAAAGTAAATTTAATAGATACTCTCAAGATCGATGTCAATCTTAAAAGATTTTTGCTTGCTTTCATTTAGTCAAAGGAAATAACGTTATTGACGTTAAGTTGTCGGGTTCCACGAAATTCTTAATTTATAGTGACGTTTGCGAATGTATACACATACCAGTAGGTAGGAATACCTGGAAACAAAGGATCCGGAAACTTATGTGTGTCACGGGGAACGTGACGTTGAAACATAACCTCGAGCGACGTTTAAATATTGAACTTGTCCTCCCATAAATACTTTAATAGAGGACTCTAGATTCGACGTCCATTTTGCGTCCCTGGATTCACTACGAACCGTAAGATACGTGACAGTGTGTTTTGTCAGTCTTTTAACCTGGGAATAGACGTCTTAGACCATACAAATCTTTTTCCAGATTCTCAGCATTTCTTTTTCTTAATATAGTTGTCACTAGTTAGGACTACGGTCCTTAAGAAGCGTCCGCTGAAAATTCTCGACCTTATTTACTTATTAGGAAGAAATACAATTTAGACCAGACCTCACAACTCAATGCTCTTAAAATAAAGAACAAACTCCCGATAATTCCCAGGCTGCCCGTTTATGCGTTTCTAACCTCACTTATGTATTACGACGTCCTGCGCGGCGCGAAGGTGGGCACAGTCCGAAGGGCAGACACTGAAATCCGACGTCCCTTTACAGAAGGTCGGCCATCAACTGGCTAAGCTAAAATATATCTTTAAATGTCTGACAGAAAGATCGTCTAGACTGACAGGATCGTAAAATACGAAAATCGGCCGCGACTCGCCGTGCCGCTCTCGACTTTCCGTGCACCTGGGTCGAGCGACGACGAGACGTGCAATTATCCCGGCGTAAAACTCCAAGCTGCCTTTAACCTGCACGCACTCAAGAGTTACACTGTCACTGGCTATCTTTAATTCCTCGTTACTCTGTGCCCTGTGCACTTCATAACAATAAGGTAAACTTGCACATTTATTTACACGTCACTCGGCACTCGCGTTGTCCCACAATTGCAAAACTTCAAATGCCGTTTCACATTTGCATTCGCTTGTACTTACAGCTGACTGCTTTTCTACCTGCCTGAACCTTTTCTGCTTATGAACACGTCCTTGACTATTGATACCCTTGCCACTGTAAATGGACCTGTGTGAATCCTCTCCCAAGAGAAGTCCTCGTATTGAAGCGACGTTAATTCACTCGCTGCTATATTTACAAGCGCTCCCGGCTCGTTGAAGTGAGACGTAGCTGTAAGATATTACCGCTTGAGGGTACCGTCCTCGGAAACCTGGTGGAGTCCTTGTGAGTTAGAGGGGTTGCCTACCGACCGAGTTTAACTCGTCACGGATACTTGTAGCAGTGGAGTGTAGTAACAATAGTTGTATAGAAATACTAGACTGCCATAGTAGTAGCACTAGTAGTAGTATTACACTGCCACTGAAGAAGTCGTTTCTTGTTCAGCAGCAGCAGGGTAGTTTCCTTTGATAGCTTACCTGGCTTATTCTTAGCACAGTAGCACCGGTAGCATATAATTTAGATCCTACTTTTACTATCACTTCACCTATCGTATCTTCACCAGGTTACATGGTTGCTGTCCCAAAATCATTGAAGGTTGACCATAGACGATTCCTAGGATACTTCCCTACGTGAGAATCAAAAAGGCTATGCGAAGGTTAACATACTTATGCCAAGGCTCGAAGAGGTAAAACGAATCAATTGCTAAATAATGACAGATAGAAGGATTTTATATATATAGACATATATAGGTTATGTATGAATGTTTCCAGGGGATTCCCAAATTAACTCATTATTAGTTGATGATGGAATTTCGAATCTCCCGTGCATAGTCAGACATAATTATTGCGCGATTGTCATTGACATTTACACATTGCATAATTTCGACGAGTGCCTCGAGTCCGGGTTTGTCTGTGTATATAGATCCTTGCTTGATCCTGAGATCCTCTGTCCGATTATCGTGCCTCTTGTTTGCGCCTCTAAGTCGTACGTACCCAACTACCTTTTAAACTTTGCCCACGTTCTACGTGACCTCGTCCACCAGGATCCTCTTCTGGATGAGACTCAGGAGTATCACGTAAGGTTTGTTATTCCGCTTGTTTCTACAATCCACTCTATATACCGTGTGATACTATTCGAACTGTGTCTTGCTGTTGTATAGATACACTCATACCGAGATATGCTTTCAGAGATCGTGCGAGTCCATTTGTTACACACCTGCCGAAACTAGCCCATGAACTTCCCACAGCGTTGGGATCAGCGTTAGGAAATCATCGCCCCGGGTCCAATTAGTGATCTTGCTCGATGATTAATACGTGATCCAGTTACAGAGGAAGGATATACGGATGGGATTCTCATGTTTATTTATTTACATCCGGAATTTCATTTTGATATCCCGTTTATGATGCTAAGTTTTCATTCGTCCATCTTGTACACGTTAGTTCTTTTTTTTCTATTCATGTTGCTTGATATTTTTTCGAAATTATTTCTTGCATCCGACGATCACCCTTTATTCTTTCTTTTAGTAATTGTGGTACCGGGTTTTTTTCAAATTGAGATTTGACCTAACCTTTTTTTTTTAGGTTAATTAAGATCCTGTAAGTTCACCATGGTGATTACTTGTAGTCTTACATTATGCAAGCGGATATTATCAGCGGTGGTGGCTCGCTGAAAAATCGATAGGACGTTTCTCTAGTTAGCGTGGACGTCGGAGGACGTCTCGAGGATGAACCGTAGTTATTAGCAGGTGGTATCTACGCGTCGTCGATAAGTAATTGGTGGACAGTACGTATTAGAGAATGTATACGACATCCGTGGTAAAAATAGAATGTACATAGCTTGAGGGGGTAAAAAAGAAGATTATGGATAAAATTATATGACGAAAAATCGCGTGAGAACGTGGAGGTGAGCGAGTATGGTCATTCGAATTATGCCTCCAGAAGGCTAATACGGGCTAATGACGAGTAATAACTAAGGAAGACGTTAAAACATCAGAGAGGAACCTATAAATATTCAACAGCGTATCACCCGACGATGCAAAATCGAGAGAGAAAAAGTAGAGAGAGAGAGAGAGAGAGAGAGAGAGAGAGAGAGAGAGAGAGAGAGAGAGACGGATAGAGGATGGAAAAAAAAGAAATCGATACTTTGAACATCCAGCAATTTATATCTCTAGACAGCCGGGCTCCTACGATCGAACGGAATGTTAATGCAAAATGTTAATCGATGCCGATTTCACGTTTGATATAACGGACGTCGACCGCACGTGGACTCTTGTGAATGAATCCAGTCAAGTAAAGGTCAAGACCCTGACGAATTTATTGAAGAATTTGTAAATCGAGGAGTTCCGGTTTGTCACATACGAATTTGGATTTAACGTGACTTCGAAATGTCAAAGTACTTTTTTTTTTGTATATTTCGCCATTGCTAAATTTGTACAATGACAGTTTGTCTTTGCTTTTACAGCGTGGAAGGACGCATTGGTAATAAGGATACAGGGGAGGAGGTCGTTCTTTGGGTCTACGACTGTGTCTTAAGCGAATTTAACGAAATTCAAATCTGCAGGCGATAATGACTTTCACTCGATTTACCGAATTTTACGAAATTATTCCTCGACGGTCTCTCTAACGAGCTCGTGGATACCGTATTAAGCGTTAAGCAAAGACGATCGCCGGTAGGAAGCATGTGCGGGCTCGCCTTAATGCTGCTTTTAATCATGCTTTAATTCAGACGCGCAGTCTCGGCATTCGTTAATTATATTCCCGTCTATATTTGTATTCATTACGTTCGCCGGTTACATCTATACTCGTATACTGCTTTATTATATATTCTCCTGCGTATACGTATCTCTTACATTCTGTATATATACCGTGTTGTGTATACACGCAAGGTAATTGCGACCGTATACGCCTGTAATTACATATACCTATATATGTATTTATAAAAGACCGCATCGGCGAGGGTAATGTATTTTTATCGGGCAATCCCATACGATTGCGATTTTATTATTAATTTTTCCTGGCTTCTTTTTTTATAAAACAGAAAGCTCCTTCACGCGCGTTCTTCCATCATTATCAGTAAACTTTTTTGAATCTCTTAATTGGCTAATGAACTCTAATTTACATCATTACAGTCTCTGCTTACGTTATGCAGGGTCACCCAGATAAAACGCACCAAAAGAAGTTGGAGCGTTGATTTAATTTCTATTAAATAGCCACGATTATTACGAAGAGCCTGAATAATCGTTAAATTATAAATATTCTTATGACGTACAAATTCATACAAAATTCAGATAGCAGCTTCGAACGCTTCAATGAATCTAATGAAATTTGAATTCCATGAGATTCCCGCGCATTTCCATAAAATCATACATATTGTATTTTATTGCCAATTAATTTATCCTCATTCACTGATGTGCTTCGCACAGGGCAAGGCAGAGACAGGCATACTATTAATAGACGTCGCCAACGTTTAGATGGACGGTAAAGAAATTTAAATTCGCACGTGCCAAAAATAGGCAGTCGCCAAATCACGAGTTAGGTGATTACAACGCCGTCGTTAATTGGCTACGTAATTGATGCCCAGGAACACGTTTCAAATAATCGAACGCAATGTAAACCTTTTTCTTTTTTGTCCTATCGTTTTCTTTCGTAACACGTATCCTTGTATCTACGTACGCCGACGTAGCATTATTCTCTACTGTATTGTACTTACACTCTAATGGATATATATGTATATAACCTAGGTGTAAGCATCGGGGTCCGAAGTCACAACCTGCCGTGGTATAGGTCGCCGAACCCGGCGTGTGACTCTGCGTTACTCGACACAATGCCTTACAAATTGTACTCTGCTCGGTACACATTGACCGCTTGTAAGTGCACAAAAGAGCGGCTCTACAACGCCATGATAGATTACGCAGGACTCCCTGTGACTCAAGTATTTCCATGAGAATCAGAAGTCTCATTATTGTCAATTGGCATCGCCAATGATGCGCAGAAATGAGTTTTGAGCGGTGCATTCAAAAGAAATAATATTTCCAGACAGAACTGTAAAACATTACGACGCAGATGAAACAGGGTGAATTTGTTTTCACGTATATCTGGAACCTTGGGCAAAATTGAATTGAACGTCTGATCCATTTGAAAATGAGAGCTTATGGGTGGATATTGATCAGAATATATAAACGAGTGAGAAATCGTAAAAGGGTACTGGCTGGCTGTATCTGTAAAAGGCAATGGCGTGTGCACAAGACTAATACGGTCCTACCGACGACTACCATAACGAGTAAGCATAACCTAAGGTCACGTTTCGATAGAAAAGGTAGCCACCCTGAAAGCAGAACCGAGCGGACTCCATATCGAGGTATACCGGCTGGTAAATGGCGACAAGGATCGTTAGGCGACCTTATTGTTAAATCGATCATCACTCATTGGATAAGAACTGTGTGATTGCATGAGGTCGGTACTGAAGTGATGCATATGTGATATATACGACCTTGGGTCACGGAATCATCCCTCCTATTTTACGATGTGGTTGCAGTAAACTAATGGCTGACACGCGTCGCGCTGTGGGAATTGTAGATTGTTCGCTGTCAATCATCGAACACGTGGAAGTGGGTTAAGCGAAACTTTATATAATCGCTGTTGTTGGAATCGTAGCCATTCTCTGATTGATCGTTATTATCATTACGTCAACATTTTGATCTTTTCTGGTGATAACCTAACCTAACCTAGTAATCATATCTATTTTCTTGCTCAGGATTAATTAGTGAGAAATACAAGACGTCGTGTTACATGGTACGTGGAAGTTTTCCATGGATCTTGAATACTTTTCTTCTTCTTTTTTTGTTTGATCATTTTAATACCTGTTCGCAGGGTGAAACACAAGTGTTCATATGCATTAGAAGGAACTTGCTTGGGTGTCTAACGCGATTCAAGAACATCCGGGATCCATGACATTTGGCAAGAAATTATTACTTTATTAATATTCTGGAAACCATGGCTGAATATACCGGTCTGGCAATTTATATTCTCTGTATGGTTTGCTTGAACCGATATGTCTTTATCAACTTTATGGTTTGTTGAGTGTCTGCAGTTATTTTCAGTGGGAAAGTCAATTTCTTAAAAGATATATTCCAAGTTGAGGATAGTTCTAATAGATTTCTAATGGTTTATCGTGGTGCACTGCATAAGGATTTGCAATTACTGAGATTGCCATACGAAATGTCTGTTGCGAATTCTTTTTCTTGTTTAGTCTCTTGTTTTTTCTTCTTTCTGTGTACCTTTTCTGTTTATCTACTATCTTCCAACATATATGGATACAACGCTGACAGAAAGTCATTAAATCTTTTGATACTCTGATGACGTCAGTTCTTATTGATTAAATTAATTTTGATATCACAATTGCACAACGGTCCCAAGCAAATATGTACAGGTGCTAATAATTATTGAATATTGGATGCTCATTAAGTATGAACTTTATATGAAAATTATTATCGACGGTAGATTAATCAGCGAGTAATTTAGAGGACAGTTTAATTTATGAGTGAAGTTGAATTAACTTTTGCAGTGCAGTGTACAACGTACGTGTGTTGTTCACGTACTGCTTGACGGGGGTAAGATGCATAAATCTATGGTCGGTACATAAATATTAACATAATTCATGTCGACTAAGTGCAGAGGTAGAATGAGGTGCACGGCCGTAAGTGAAATCGTTCTTTGCACCGATGCGTGATTGCACTAATTTGCAATAATCGAACGTTCGCCACGTCCGTAACCATGCGCCGCCGGAATCGATCTCGATCGATCGTATATCGACCCTGCGGTTCAGTCGATCGATTACAGATGATAGTAAAAATGAAAATTTCCTTTTCATCGATCGAAATTTGTCTTCCAATCATTTACGGATATACCCTACCTTTCTGTTTTACAGCGATATCGAGTATGAGGGACATAAAGAAAAAGATATATGATTTAATAACACTCAATTGACTAACACCCTTATTTATACGGCCCTGGCGCAGGTAAAGCTGAATGGGGACTTGTCCTACAGTGCGTAGGCCGTCTCTTGATTGGTCAGAGAAGTCGGCCTTCACAGACTCCGCACTAATACTCCTGTAGCTACTTTCGAATTCTCATGAACCACGAAAACCGTACGGAACCATACAGGAATCTGGTATTCCTTTTAAAAAAATATATATATATACATATGTATGTGTATTGAGTACACGTGGAAATAATTCCCAATGGTCTCGAAAAACTTGACATACCGATCTAAGTGTGGGGAAGAAATTTGGTAAAATTTTGAGAACGCATTCTGATTCATGCTGAAAATTAGTGTATGATCTTTTTTGAGCAAACATTTTTTCAGAGTAAAGTTTGATATTTGATTCTTATAAAATTCAAAATTACAGATTCGCGCGTTTTGAATATCGAACGAGGTTCTTTGGGAATGCCATAATTTGCCGTTTTTTTTTGTGGAATTTGGTTTATTTGAGACATGTACAAAATTTGCATTATCCTTTTCCCAAGGATCAGCCGAATGGGATATAGCGTGAAGAGTTAAAATGTCGATTAACCACCCCGAGCTATTCTAGCACGAGGTCGTGCGACTCGAGATCGATTAGCCAATCAATAAATACACACATGTCCCGCTCAGGGTGTGGTTTCGATGTCGCTATCGACTTATGCACGGGGGATGACGTCAGGTCCGGATTGACTGTAGTTTCGAGAGGGAGCAGGAAGCAGTGATCGAAGTGAGATCAATCTCTCGGATCAGTGATCTCAGCGAATGAAATCATTGCTGAATGTGGATCACCGTTTAGGTCGCCTCTTCACGGGACTTTGGAAGCAGCAAAGTATGTAAAAGCCTCAAGAATAATCGAAAAGTCTATAACCTACTATCTCCAAGTATCTGAAAATGTCGTTGAAAGTGTAAAACAGGCCTTGTCGTACAATCGTAATCTCGAATGTGTAACTGGCTTAAGCATTAGCATAAGTACGTCGTATGTTGCCCTACCGTTTCTCATATCGGCTGCATTTATCGCGTGCACCGTGTTTCGTATCGCATTGTCCTCGCTCGTTGTGAATTGCCTTTAGCAGCAGTCATTTGTCATCGTTATACCCCTACGGCTGGGTGCACGCCGATATCTGTCGGCATATATAAGTATCATAGAAAAGGTCGGCATCGTAACTTTGATAAAACAATAAGCAAAGTAACACCGTGGCACAACGAATCGTCAAACAATTCCAAGCCGGACGAGAGTGCAGTAGAAGAAAAAAGAAAGAAGGACAAAACGTATACGGTATTCCTAACCTAAAGTCAATTTCGCATTTTCACATAAGTCCAGATGAAAAACAATGTCTCTGTTGTGTAGCTATACACGTACGTACAATAATACGTGATCGGAATGTGAAAATGACAAAATGGCGACACGTGCCAGTGAAACCGCACTAAGCAGCAGTTCGTTTCGTCCTGTAGGAAAGTTTCTAGCCTTTCGTGCAGTACTCGTGGCGCGTCCACATCGATATTTATGAACGGCACGTCGACGACGGCTTTCGATGAGGATCCGGGAGTCTCAGTTCCTCGAGGAAGCCGTTTACATCGTCTCGCTATTAAAAAAAACTGTCAAACAGTATATATCCCGCAACGGCAATTTCCATGGGCAATTGATTTTTAAACGACGTTACGAAGGTTTTTCTCGCTGTCGTGGGAAAACTTTATGCAACGTTCACAATTGTTTCTTTAACGTCTATGTGTGTATATGTATATACACCTTTTTTTCTTTCTTGCAGATAATTATCCGTGAGATTTACACGTACCATAAATACAATTACAATCGCCACGTGGACATCGTATACGACGTTGTTAAAACGTGGGAGGCCATCTTGGTATTTTCGTGATGCGTTCTACGCGTGGGCTTGTTTTCAAGATTATTCTAGCCAGTCTCGAAATATCAGCGACTATATTTAAAGGCTTAGATGTTCCCTGACGTGCCAACCCTCGTGACTCTAAGTCAGGACGGTATTATGGAAGAAACTGTCGGTGTGGAGGATCCTTTTTGGTATTATTATTTTTTCCTCTTATTCTTATCCACACAAATTCCGTCCCGTGGGCGTCCTGTAAAATTGGAACTTTGACTATTTTAAGGTATTCCCAGCTAACCTGAAACAATACAATTTGCAGTAAGACAATATACCGGATGACCAGATTGAAAATAATCACAAGTCACAGGCACGTTATTAACCGTGAGTATATTTACCTGGATCATCCAGTATATCATAACTCATGAATGAATTGAAGTACGACGTCCTTTGCTAAATGAATTCTTAACGCCATTTCGAATTCTTGAGTGATAAATATTGCGGGATATTAAAATAAACTTTTTTCTTTCTGTAGCTCCTTTGGTCGTTTTATTAATGGTCGTTGATACATCGATAAACCGTTTATGGCTTAAATTTGACTGGACACTGGATTAGGTATATCGTATACATACATTACGTATCCTTATATATCTTATTTCATATATGCTTTATTATAGCATTCGACGGCTACTGAACTGTCTGTGGTCCAGAGACGATCTTTCCCTTCAAATATGGCAAGACAGGATCGTGATCTCACGTCTGGCGAATTTGCATCAGCAGCGCTTAAATATATGACTACTACATCCACACTGTAATTAGCGTCGATGCAGCCGCTCGACAATGTCAATTTGTCCTGACGCTTTTGTATTTCGTGTGACAAGACACGATGCCTATAGATATAGTTACGCTACGACAATACAGTCAGCAAAGTATCGTATGGAATATTCATAAGACAATGACATATCAGGTCTTTTGTATATAGTAATACAGCAGTCAAGATATACTTAGTGATCTGTCATACATAAAACACTGTATAAAGTCTTAATATTTTTCTAAACATTTAAGGATACACGAGACACTTTCTATATGAAAAAGTACAAAGAAATTATATATAAATTCAATACAGATTTAGTATAAAGATAAAATGTATTAGTATACCGTATACGGAAGCTTTAATTGTACTGGAAAGAGAAGTGATATACTTTGGTACAGACTGCTGTAGTATGCTCGGTGTGAAGGGTGCCTTAAGCGTGTAAGAGAGAGAGAGAGGAAACTAGCAGCAGCACCCAGTGACCGGTAGCATTGATTGATTCTTGCTTTTCTTACTTTTCCACGAGGTCCGATTCCACGAAGCAAGAGGCCGTAGCTCAGGCATCTCACGAGATGAAAGGAGGGATGGAGAGAGAGAGAGAGAGGATGCTCATGGTGAAGTGGGCGTGCAGGATGCTATATACTCGGATATAACATAGCTACCAGAAGATCGTGAGTCTGAGTATAGATGCTTGTGAAAAGAATCTTTGAACGTGGGTCGAGCGATAAAATCAATCGATTGGTATATACATAGACGTACGGGGAGTTTTGAATCAACCGGTAGTCCTGTACCGTACCGTGTTGGTATGACTTGGCTCTTATGCATATATGGTTGGTAGGCGGCACGTGCGTGTAGGTAAACGAGTTAGGTCGACGTCGTGAGTATCTTTCACCGGATGCACTCCAGGCTCCGGGCTCTGGGTCAAAATCAAGGATATTGTCAATCGCGATATTCTCTGCCTACACGTGTGCTGCTTCTCTTCTCTTTGATTTATAATTGCGTCGTGTGAATAGAGAGAGTCATTTAGGCCTCTTCGTCTTTTTTCACTCTCTATTTAGGTAGGTGTACTTTGGTGTTTTAATTGAGTGCACTTCTGAGGAGAGGAATGGATAATTGAAAAATTGATATAAAAAATTGATTACCTTGTGAGACTATGATTTTTATGAGTTTGATTTTCGGTTCGTCGGAGGATGTTCGTGAGAAGATTAAGGATGTCATAGTTTGTCGGGGTGTCGATGATCCTTCTTGGTTAAATATTTAAAGAGCGTGGTCAAGTGATGTTTGCTTGGATTCTTTTCTTGGCTGTAGGACAGACAAGGAGGGAGAACGAGAAAGAGGTATGGCCAGAGAGAGAGTGTAGGTCAGAGAACTTACCTCCCGGAAATCCTCTTGATCCACGTTTTTTTTCTTCAAGCTGGGTCTTTTTCTTTTCATAAATTCCCTCGGCGAGCACACCCAAGCTACCGGCCAGACGGCTTGAACAACGGTGAAAGTACTAAGGAGCCAAGAAGTAGACCCCACCTTTGGTGCTCCACTAGGATGCAGCTTGAACCTTCTCTAACCTAAAAACCTGAAGAGTGCCGGTGTATCTCGCGAAAAAGAAAATAAGTGACTAGTTTAACTCAAATCTGCCATATCCTACAGATCTTGGACCGCACATTTTATTTTGTGAACAGGCGTTTAAAGATATTCGAAGACATATTCATACAGTATTTTTTTAACAATTAATACCAAAAAAGTGGCATCACTATCCTTCGATGTTAATTAACAATCTATCTCTTATCAGTTTATACATTTTAATGGGATTTCATGTTCCATTGAATTCAACAGTAATACACTGATTTATCAGACACCCAGCCGATTGGCCGTTTTCCTTGAATCGTTTAAAAAAACTCTAGTGGCGCCACGCAGCGGGAATTCTGCGCGACACCATAAACCACGACAATGCCGCTCGAATCTTTTAGCGAACTATCCTGTCGAGCAACAATAGATCACCCAGTCTCTATCTAACAAGTGAACCGTTAAATCGGCACTCTGTCCAACAACAAACCGACGATATCTCACGAGGCGTAAGGTAAAACTTCAATTTTCAATCTACGTACGATGCATGCACAAATTATACCAAAGGATACATTTAATTTCCCACGTTGTCGGTAACCTCAAATGTCCTCTCAACGTTCAAAGCTCCGTGGAATAAATCAGATTGCAAGTGCAGTACAAAACGCCGCGGCCACCGTACCTGCCGAGAAGTAGCGTCTCGTAGGAGGAAATGGCAAAGGCATAAGACAGAACACAAGTAAAGGAATAAGAAAAGAAATATAAAAAAAAGAGTCCGAGAGATATAAAGGCCGGCGCAGGGAACGAAGATGCCCGCCGCGAGATACGAACTTCTCTTTGACGAGGCCGCTCGCGATTATCCGGCTACGTGTGACGTGACCGGTCGCGATAAATTTCAAGGAAGACCGAATGAACACGTAACCTTCTTCCCGATGAAGATCCTATTCCATTATCCGGTATAAAGAGGGACATAAGACATCAGGAGAGGAAGCGTGGCAGCGCTAGGTTACACGTACGTACTCCGTTCGAAAAAAATAACCGAATGACGTCTATATACGTATGCCAGGTACACGTAGCATATTTATACATTACTCAGTTACGGAGTTCGCTCAGATTTCACTTCTAAATCTCATCCTTGCATAAACCTTCAATTTAAATGGTGATATACACACTGCTCAATCCACATCGACCAACTTTCAGGTTAGGTTAGGCTAATCACTATGCAATTGCCAACCGATGGCTAATTGCTGGAGTTTAACGATATCGAAATTGGTAAACGGATCTTAGGTGAAGGATTTTAATAAGTCGTAAAGGATTTTAAAATTATATATATAAAGCTATGACCTTTCTACCCGGCGCATCCGCCTGTTACGTAACGAGATATACCGGTATCTCAATCCAAACGATCGATTTAGGCTCGTACGTGGACGTTTATTATGATTTCATTACTCGTATTAGATACGATTGACATTTATTTACGTTAAGATAGCTTGATTTTTTAAATTACCTTTTCTTTTTATACTTTTCAGGCTACTCTTTCGCGTAGAGTGTCTTTTGTGGATCTTAGGAATTTTTATTGCAACGTTACGGCGTTACGGGTTACACGACGACAATGCCGACTACGACTTCGGACGTAGGCGTGTTAATGGTCGGCGTTGCGTGCTCCAGTTCTACCTGTTCTACTTGTTGCAAAACTAATCTGCTACTCAGGTAGCCAGAGATCGCTCGTGCATGCCGCACGGCGTTGGCCTACGCCTACGGTAATTGCGCATCGTTGCGTTTTCACCGTAATACACAGTGAGATCGCAGATATCGAGTCAAGATAGTCTGTTGGTATGGTGAATTCTGAAGTTGCTGTGGAATATACTAAGAGGAGCGTAAGGTCGACGTGCTATCCCGATAGCGAAACGTGGTTTGTGGACTTCCAATATACAGCTTGGTTATGTCATACACCGATACCGCCGCGCCACTGGTACTGCGCAGAAGCGGAAGTGACGGTTTATATTCAAAATGGACAGATCGGTCAATCGATTGTTGAGGTATAGAAAAAGCAATTAATATTATTTAATCTATTTTAGACGTTGTTGCATATTAATAATTTTTATGACGTTATCATTTGATTTTTGGAATTTTTGTTTATAGACAAATTTTGACTATGTGAATTTTTTTCACGATTTTGAGATTCGTGATATAAACGGATCTTCAGTCTGTATCCGGCTCTTCTGGGATAACGAAGTCGAATAAGGTATATCGTTGGGTCTGACCAAGGTGCCGTGGGTCAGGAGGCCCCGTGTGGGTCCCACACGAAAACGTGACGGGCCTCTGCGGAGGGTCCTGGCCTTCGTTCCTTTTAGTCTGCTCGAAAATCATGATTTTCAACGAGAGCCAAAACCTGCTCCACACTCATCCGCATCGTTTGTCAGGTCGATCCTGGCAAATATGGTATAACCTAACCTACAAAATTCTCATAATTTCGCTTTCACACTCAATTATCCATGTCGACATAATAATTTTGAGTCTTGAAAAACATCCAGGATGTATTTGTTTCGTTATTAAGTATACTTAAAAAATTATTTAGCTCTCTACCTTCGCGTCGGCCATCTTCTTCGTCCGTGATCGCAGCCAGCCAGGAACGAGCTTTAATATCTTTTCATGATTTCTCTAGAAGCTCAACAATCACACCGGGTTCCCGATGACGGAGGAAAAGCAGATAAATTCCTGCAGCTTCACCAACTTCCCGTAACCCTGGTGCATTAGCGCGAGCCGCCTCACGTATTCGCCAAGATTCTTTTTCTACGTGCCTCAAGATGAACTCTGACCCAAGACCGCCTTCCATTTGCTTCTCAGACCGTCTTATCCCAGCACCTTCCTTTGCCTACTAGTTCCTCTTCCTCACCTTTCGGATCCCCGTGGACGGGGAATAGGGCAATTAATTTATATTGCCACGTGGAAGAAAAGGCACAGGATATTAAAACCTTAGGGTTAATTAACATTTTCCCTCTCGTTAAATCATCCGCCGCCATTATTCCCTGCCGACTATTTCGTCTGCCTGTCGAAGCGACCAAAAATACTCGGGTCGACTGTACGTGCACGAGACACTTGATAAAATTGATCGACGCCAATGAAACTCGCACGTAAACAATTATAAAGTTTCATTCAATCGTAATTTCTATTAAACCGTCTCACGTATTCCGAATATCCGAGACAAGCCCATAAAGGATCTCCGAAATGTATTTACAACCGTCCTTTCTTCAACATACCGATCAACTAGGTAAGCCGGGATGACGATATTAATCGCAATAGAGTTCAAAGTCCCGATATTTATAATTCAACTCGAATTAACGTCCGCTAAGCGCAAGAGCGGAAGTGGCCGATAAAGGCACGACTAAATAAAAATGCGTAATCAACGTCCCAGGAGAACTGTTATCGCGATGACGTCACGCATCGGCAAATCGACTTTGATAAATCGAACGCACGCACGCAACCGACCACGCCACGTAGCTACGTATATACGTGCCGGCAGTCAGGCATCCTGGTGAACAAGCAAATCCCGACTGGGCGTAATTGCCTCTTCCCTCCCCTCCCCCCCTTTCCCCTCCCTCCCTCCCTTCGATTCCTTCACTTCCTCTACGCATCAATGATTCGACCCATCGATTATTCCGAGCACCGAAGAGATTCTTTTATCCATCCATTAACGCGCATGCGTATATCTACGTATGCACAGTACTATACATCTTATACCGCCTACTATGCCCTTAACAGGAACTTATCGTGATTCATGATTATTTAAAAAACATCCGACACCCTCGTTAATCAAGCAGATACTCATCCATTGGATTTTAATGAATTTCGCTAGTAAGAAAAAAAATACTGCATAAGTTTTCTCTACGCCGTGTAAAGGTACTAGAGAAAATAATGCTCAGCTTCGTCTCACTTGCGCATCAGATTCCAGTGTTACGCCTGGACTGCATATGATCATCGCACCTTTTTAAAGCTATATCGATAACAGTTCGATCAAGAAGATCCTTCGTCGCAGGGTTCCTCAAGAGACCAGCCAGCATGTACGCAAGGTTATTTAAGAAAAAATAAAGGTCCGCCCTTTTCTTAGAGTACAAGTCTAGACGACCAGTCATGCGTGGGCTTCGTTCTTTCGCTCTTCCACTCTCGCACTCTCTCTCTCTCTCTCTCTCTCTCTCTCCCCCTGCTGCCCCCTTCATCCTCTCTCTCTCTCTCACTCTTTCTCCCTGGCGCACAATATTCTTTCAGCTTTGTCCTCGGCGCGATTCTCCCTAATACATACGTCCCTCACCATTACAGGGATCGTGCTGCCAAGGCACGTCGGTTCGGAGGATGCTTTATGTCGGCGCAACATGTGGCGAATATAATGCGAGTTCGAACAAGAGTTAGCCGGTGCATCCGGGATCGCTCTCACAGCCCCGCGTACCGGATTGTATGGCACGTCAGGGTGCATCAACGCGGACAGGACCCACGTATGATCCACCCTGTGCATCGATGAGCCAATGGCGATGCCTGGACCGAAGATGGATATCGGGAGGAATCTCGAACCACTGTGAGACGCGTGTTCATCCGTGCGATCAACCGATGAAACTACCTTAACTCATGTAACAGGTATAGCTGGCGTGTACTGTACACGTGGGTATAGGTACGTATGAGCGAGGCAGACTCCTGGGGCGATTTTCGCAGCGTGGAATCGCCTGTCGGGTGTTCCTCGCTACGGTTCGCTGATGACGACTTTCAGCTACCTGGAGAGCCGTAAATCGTCCTCCATTTCCTCGCCTTCCGTTGCCGCTCCTCACTTTTATTCATGCTCGTGCCACGTCCTCCTCTATCGGCTCGCGCACCGGCGCTTCGCTCTTAAAATCTTTTACACGAGACACAGCTGGCCCGTCCGATCCGTTCGCTCTGTTGTTTTATCCTTCGGTGATTCACTCCAAGCATCAAGATCAAGATCAGCCGGGTTATCTGCGCTCGGCCGTACGTGGAGTTCTGTTGATCGGTCCTGGAAACAATTTTGAAATAAAAAGTCACTCGAGCGTTACCGCGGAAGAAAAAGATAAATAGCAGGCGAGAGAGACAAGGAGATATAGAAATAAAGTCGCAGAGAGAAAGAGAGAGAACAATCGATATCACCTATCCTATACGTGGGATCGCCAATCGCTTCCGCGAAAGGTGCCCGCCGATCTACGTGGTCGCGTTCGTGTCTGCGAGAAAAAATCCTTTGTGCTGCTCCAACGTTCCTGAGTGTCCTGCGGTGAGTTCGTAACCAGGTACAAAACATTACGGAATGAGTCTTGACAGACTCGTGTTATACCGAAAGAACTAAGCGTCGATCTTGGCGCGGGCGTCGTAATTATTTTAATGGGCGTCCCTGTCCTCTAAGTATCTGGATATCTGTAATCGTGGGTATGTAATCTACAGCTGTATATATATATATATATATATATATATATATATATATATACGGAAAAATATTAATATAAGGAACAGACTGTGCTTCTGTGCGCATACCATATGTATAACGTATACTACGTCGTGGCATATACCACCATCATTCATAATAACAAGTAGTGCTCGTGTGCCGTGTAATCTGGTATTCAGATCTACGATCTCACCAGATCGCAACCTCCGATTTCGGTCTCGACCGGGCTTCCTGGTTCGAGTCGATATGATTTATTCATTGTGCGATTTAACGGCCGGGAGCCTTCGGTTTCTTCTGTGTATCCTGACGTAGACTCGTCACGGTCCAACCTCGTGACTGTTTTTCATGTGGGTAATCATCCTCGTAAGATCCCTGTGCAGAAGAGATTGACCTCTAGGAGGATAAACGTCCTTGGTATACCTTACGTACCTGCCATCAGATGTCTGCTATGACGAGTTCTCTCGGTGGTAACATAACCTATATTTCCCACCAAGTCTTCAATCCACGTCAGACAGGATAGACGATGCGCTGGAATTATGTGAGAATACAACGTGGGTATCACTTGGAGTCATTAAGGTGGCGGGTAACTGTAGGTTGGGACCTGGTAGCTCGTTGCTTCATAGAATGGGGAAAAACTCCACTCGGATTGCTACACTCTTTGGTCTGTTGACTCCTAGACTGCCACTAGTGTTGCTGCTGTTACTGCCTACTGAAATACGCAATGCACCGTGCTGCTTTACGTTTCCATGCAAACGTAAACGGGACTTTAGACGTAATCGTATTTTGTACAATCAATATAGTCTATTCGTTCATATGATTCCGGTTAAACTCACTGTCTGTATATCCGGGAGAATATCATTTCCTGGATTGTCAGATATTCTTGATGACTTGTTGTTCTGGAAGAAACAGTGGTTACTTGAAGATAAATATAGGCATAAAATAATATTCAATGATTTATCGGTATAGCTTACTTTTATTTTTAGTCGTCCTTTTAGAATTCATTCGTTACTTTGAATCACGTGGTGTCTAGACGTGTCTCCTTTTACGCATCTGAATATGTTTGGCCATTATCAGTATCTGTGTACTTAGCTGCTCGTGTTTTAAGGTTACGTTAATACAGTAGCAGGGACTGACAGTGCTCGTGTGTTAATAACTGTTTGTAACGTAGTGCGTGTAACCTACAATGTGATGCAAAAGGCGTAGCAGGATACTGCATTGTTTTGGTACCAATTGCAAGTCATTCTCGTTCCTTGTTCATCGATCAATCGCAATCGGCTAGAATCACGGTAGTGGAAGGCACTGGTACGACGGGGACTCGATAGATCTTTAGTCGATAACTAGAATGACGTAACGGACAGGTCGAATTGCGTAAAGGAACCACAGGCATGTTTATTAATCGATGCCAACGATACGCGTTCGTATCGTAAAGAAGCTGGTGGCGCGCATGCGCAGTTAGAATAACGATGAACAAAAAGTATATTAAATAAAAATATTAATAGAAGCGTCGAATATTTAGCAGTACTCAAGAAGAAATTTCTTGTACGTCATTGGGAATATTGGCATTTTGTTTTTTACGTTTCGCAGCCGAATTCGCGTCACTCTCAGGCTTTCTCGTTTAAATCGCCGCCAGCGTCTGCGCGCGCATCCCGATTGACGTTATTCGCGAGGCCGTCATATTTTCCTGTGCTTTAAATTGATATTTCGTTTTGTTTGCTCACTCTCACTTTATGCTCAAAACTCTTCCCTGTGCAAACGTGTTTTCTAAGGATTGGTCTCCGTCTCGACACTCGGATTATGCTTATACCTTCGTACAGGTATTGGTCGTTCGACGTTATTATATCTCTAGCGTGCTAATGCTCTGACGCATAATCCTCGATGAATGACGATAGCCTGTTTTCTTTTTCTTTTATTTATTCTTTAACGCTGCCTCTTTTTAGTGCGTCTACGCGTCACTTCGTTATTTTGCTACGACACGAACTGCTGACATAACCTTTAAAACTTTAGCTAGAATGGACTGCGCGTCCTGAGGCTTAGAATTCGATAGATTTTCGAACGCCATTGAAATTCTAAATAAGCATTCTTGTCAAGCTGTATCGTCTTTGTTGTTTGTTAAATCTCATATTTTAATTTACGATATTTTTTAACGTATTCAGAAAACATCCGTATCCTGCAATTCCAGAAAATTCTGTTTGAGGTTAAACCTGAAGAAAAGTAAACTGTGGTTTCTCTTCAAAAGGCATACTTAAACGGCGGACGTAATAACTTCTTGATTCGTATATTCTCTCTCTCTTTAAGGGTGCCAGCGGCAGAATAAAATGGCTGATAAAAAGCAATAAAGCGTCAATCGATGTAGGCTGTAGGGTTCGGCTTTTACTTTACTATCCTTTATGACTCTCTTTATATATTTATGCATTTACTTTATATTCATGCATTATGTATGTACTGCGTGAAAAAGCAATGGCGCTTACGTAGATACACCTGTGCACTACAGGTCACAGAAAAATCGCTATTTTTTTCCAACGATCGACCTTTCCTTCAGCGTGGTACTGGTTTAGACTGGTAACTTTATTCCTTTTTGGCCAGGTTCATGCAGCGCACTGCGACTATGGCAACGCGCTACTGCACAAGTGCACAACCTGTGTGTTCCCTCTGTGATATTCTGTCGGCGCCATATTTATAAGCTAAAATAACGAGGTTGGTCTTGTTAATCGTGTGTGCATTGTTTCCGCGGTGGAATGTCACATATCCACAGTGGGACACGTTTTCTACGTGCGAGAATTCACAAGCGGATTAAAGCTTCGCACTTCGGTATGACAATTGAGCGGAATACTTTTTTATTGACTTTACGCGAATCTTATTGAATTTTATTTATTCATCTCACGTCGCCGGCAGATTTCTTCGGACTCCGGACATTTTCTCTCGTTGCCCATTCACCTGCGACTCGCTCGCGTTACATAAGCTTTGTTTTGGATACCATTCACCTCCGCTCGTCTTTCACGCGTTCCATTAATCCGGCTAGTTCCTGCTTAACGGGTTTCCACTCTCTTTCTCCGTCTCTCTTTCCCGCATTATATTTCTCGCGCGTGCTCCTTTACTCTCCTTAACCGGAAACGACCGAATTACCTTTAAGTTCTCGTATATTCCGTGAAGCGTCGCCGGCACCGAAATCCTTTGGCTTCCTCGAGTCGTATAATAGAAATAAATCTGATTGGATTGCGCATTTCCCGATGTGCGCATGCGCAGGATTGAATAACGGAAATATTCAAATTCCGCGCGCATACCATTCAGACTCGTTAGTCAACCGACGGCATCCGTAATTTGACCAACCGTATGAAGTTTCAATAATTCTTAGTGACTCATTCAGAAAGGATTTTACATATTGTTTCATATTCAAAAGTCGTTAACCGTATTTACGATACACCCTATATACTACGGGCACTATCCGTACTTTGCCAGTGCAATTCCAGCCGGGCAATTCCCTTGCGTTCAAACCCGTAGAAATTATGATTGCCCGCTGGCAGCCATAAGCGCCCTCCTAGCTTCGCGAGCGGTACCACCGCTGCGGAATGGCCGCAAAAAAGCGCCACGCACAGTATCCACGAACAAAGCACTCTCTTTGAAATTGTAGAGTAATAACAAGGAGCTATTCTAGTTCCTACATAACCTCCCGTCGATGGGGCTTCTCTTTCCGTGTCTTTCTTACCTTTGCTCCTGCTTTTTATTTTTCTCCTTCTCGACAGCTTCTCGAAATACATTTATTGACGACGAAATAGCTCGCGGCTCGCAGCAATTCCAACGTACCTTACTTCTCGTCAAATACGAACCCTGCGCACTCTTCTTCTTCCTTCTTACTGGCCAACGGCCTCACGGAACAATTCTCTTATTTCACACAGACCTCTTCCGACGGCACTTCGCTCTATTCCAAGAGCTCTTCGTTTATACGAGACTGGCAAAAATACCTATACACCCGTTTACACAGTTAACTTCACAATGCTAACCATTAAGGCTGCTTCACAGTTCCCATCTCTGGTATGCACGTTAAACTCAATCTCAGACATCCATCGTCATTGTTCCTTGCTAATTCAGTGGAAACTATTTTAGGTTTGTCTCGTCAAGATTATCTTCTTGTTAGCTTATACAATATTTAACCTTATTAAGTAATGAGGGCGACTTCACCAGTGAATGAACACAGGACCCAGTATATGGCTGCGTTCACGTACATTATATCTGTATACATATGAACGTTAACACGGATGTCCATCCATTACAGGCGTTTCTAAAGGTTTTCATTTATTGGTGGATTTAACCTTTTATCTTATCTTCGGTACGGATGTACTTTCTTGTAAACAGACGCAACGAACTCTCGTGCGAGCAAAATAATAGCCGCACAGCGATCGATATTTGCGTGATTAACTGAAATATGAAAAAAAGAAAACGTACAGTCATTCAGGTCAGATTAGACCAGCAGAATTAATTTACTCGAAGTAATTGAATGGACTTTCATTCTTAATGTATTATTTTCACGTGCTAAAAAATTATGTAACTTAATTCCTTTTTTTTCCTCTTTAATCAACAAGGATGTCTCCACTTTCTAGTGACGTAGCAGGTGTAGGTGTTACCAAGTGTAGGTGGTTTCGAGTGAGGTCAAAGAATGCACATATGAGTCATCCAAGATCTTTCGTACATGCATAGGCGGTAACGAGCATTGACTTAATGATAAATATCAAATTAAAGTCAATAACATAAACACAAAGGTACACGGTGCATTCTCAAAGAAAGTGCATTGACCCGCAAATCCATAATAGCTCGGAAAGCAATAACGATAACGAGTTAGCGAGAACTCGGTACGTACAGCCAGTTCCAACAATAGTCAATTTAAAAATACTAAAACTCTTAGCAGTGCGAAAATCGCCCTAGTCATAGCTCTTGTCAAGATCCACAAAAATAGATCTTCGGCGAAGGATATCCTTAAATAGATAAAACAATATCATACCTAAATATAAAACAGCTCAACGATATCAGATAACAAGTGGGTCAACACCATTAAGAAGTCCCAGCGCATCATCCAGGAACTTGTTGATAACCTCAATTTTTGGACAGTCACAAAATCACAAAAAATTTCCACACTCCCTCGTTCACAATGGATCGCTGATTAATCAATAAGATAAATATCACATTAGTCTTTAAGTAACTATGAATTCTATCCGGATTTACCGACCGATAAGAGATAACACGACGTCCCGGTTAACAAGCATTATCAGATTGCTCGATTTCTACCAAGTGCTCCTTACCCATGTACTTTATATATATATACATCTATCCATCCATTGCATATATACCAAAGCCGTATATCTGGTAAAGCACGCGTATGCACATAATACCTTTAGCAACCTACTAGTTTCATGAATGAATGAAATTCGTGCCGTTCCCAGCTCGACCTTGCCTCTTCCCAAGGAGCACTGCTTACAAGCCTCGTGTATTCCAAGTCATTAACAAAGGACAACTCGTTAAAGCTGTATCAATCGATGAGCCTGTTATCGCGACTTTAAAAAGCTTGATACTCCTAATCAATATCGCGCGAGGTCTCCTCTTACGTATGACAGCATACAATAGTCCCGGGATGTGCACAGCATCTCTGAAACGACAATGGGAATAATAATACATAAAATTGAATAATTTCCAAGAAGTAAGACAAGAAATATATCACCAGAGAACATCATGGGGTCTTTGACCGTTTTTCTTATACAAGACTCAGACAGGTGGCATCATGGCTACAGTCGAGCGTAAGCCGTTCTGAAACACGCCATATACCGTGTACGTCATATGTGGTTATAACACATACAGATTCTGTGTAAATATATATACATACATATAATTGACAGGCACATAGGTAGTTTAAATGTAAAAGTCGACCGGTCGACAGGTCGATCGGTCGTTCAACATTATTAGATTCGGCCGTAGGTTCTTTGATGCCGTCCGTACGTCTGTCTATCTGACCGACCGTTCTCCAAGGAGCGAAGCCGAAGAGGAAGGTGGGGTAGACACCCGGATCCGCGGTACCGCCTCTCCATTGGTCAGTCCCGGGCGACGGGTGACGTTCAGTGCCGTACCAACAGCGAAAACATGAATTATCGGTGGGTCGAAGGAGCTCGGCCAATTTTCTGTAATAAACAATGTTACGAGATATTATTAAATTGTAATAAACGAATCAAAAATAATTATGAATAATTACAACATATTCGGCGTACCGGTGGTATAGGGTACGTCGCACAGTAGTGTTCACGTAAATCGAGGCTTCTGGGTAATTAGTCCGTATCGGCCGATCGCCGAGAATGATCCGCAATTACGAGTAATCGTGCACAAGGGAGTAATTACTATTGGATATCGTGAGCGGCAAGATGGGTGGTACGAAGGAAAAGAGACGTTGGTAACGACTGTTGTTACCGATTTAAACTTACTACCGAATTTCCTAATCTTTCGATCGATAGGTGCTGTCGTTGTAAAGTCAACTCTTTTTTCTTTTGATAATCACTGTACTGCTTATGGCTTCCTGCGAGGCGATAATCATCGACGTCCACGTGGTACGGCAACCATGTATATACTTCATATACTGTATATATATTCCTGTGTAACCTTTATACTTACACTGACGTCACAGGAACCATACCATCGCAGTGTCTCTACCATGTAAGGATTACCGACAATCCTATTTACCGACTGAGCATGCAGTAACGAGAGCAAAAGGTGACTCGCGTCCCTCTACTCCGTCCATAAAGCGGTGCCACCCTGTATCGAGTGCACCCTTTGCACCCTTGATTGTTGCGCCACTGCTGACGTCACGTGCCTTCTGCTGCGACAATCACGAACACACACGGGCGAAGTCCGCGGCAATGTGGGGGGGACAGGGGGGTACCTCGCCACTTGGCGTTTGGTGGGGAGCATGTACCGTGGTCCTGAGACAAAAGTGGGGGTAGTGACGTTGTACCGTGAGGCACTCAGAGGCTCCATTCACTAACCGGCCGCCGCCGAGAGCTGTTGTGCGCGGTACCGTTTCGGCCCTTATTTTTTGTTCCTCCTCTGATCCGGCGTACTCGGAGTCGCCGTCGCGGTTGTTACTTTCCTCTCCTGGTTTTAAAACAGTACGGTGAACAGTGTCGTGCAGAGGGCGTTTACACGCGAATACGTGTCACTGGATAATTTAGTTTGTTATCCTGATTCTCTTCGGTGACAATTTTGTATATTGGAGTCTGTACGGTTTTTTGTACTGGTACCGATACACGTGTGACACGGTTGGAGGAATGATTGGTGGCTCTTCGTAAAGCTGTGTTTATGGATTTACTGACTGGTCTCGTACTGGTTGTTGCTATCGGGATACGAATCACCAGGGCGATACCGTCGACGGATGTGAAGTTGGTGAAGTGTGGAATCGGTGGCGAAGCGTAGAGAGATAACATTAGAAGATAAAAGAAGTTGAAGATTGTACGAATGTGATGTGTCTGTTTTAAATGGCGTGACAAGTGCGTTTCCATTCTTTATTTTTCTGTACGTCGGCCGACCAATCGTTATCGGGATATCATTCCAGACTGAGATTGACTACAGGATGACAGTCGCTGGAAAGGTAGAAATTATTGTCTCATTATAATAACGTTTAACTTGCAAAGGCGTTGGTTCGCAATTACTCGCATTATTTATAAACCTGTTACGCACTGTAAATACTTGCTTCTCACCAGATTTGTATATGCAATGGCTCTTTGGCTAAGCTGATTGCAAACTGTGACGTAGGACGTCGGCTGTTACGCAGGTTATGTCACCGGTTTAGCAAAACCACGATAAGCTCGTGGTTGTTGGACGTTGCGTCATCGTCCTCAACGTTTATTTATATAAAGCGATTGTGACGACAAAACTGTGAAATCGCCACTGTACATTCACTTTAGGTACCTGTCAGACAATTGTGTGTACACGAGGAGCAGACGACGGGCGTGACGCGAGAGAAATTTTCGAATGCCCATCGAGAAGTGTCATTTAAATTTCCCTCCATGATTTTCTGCCAGTGTGGACCCACGAATATTCCTGCCAATTATAATCGTTAATTACTTTCATACGTTCTATCGCAACAATCCAACCTGATAATTGTACCCTCGAGTCGTACCAGCCATAATTGCTCATTATCCAATCCCACGTTGTCTCGTTATCGGCCGTGGAACGGTTTCACAGGAAATTCATCCAGCATCCGTCGTTATGATTTCAGTCCACGGGTACAAAGGTATTGCCGGACATTTAATCTGGTAATTTCTCCTTGATTAACCATCGGTCAATCTGGTATCCATTCACGACGGCATCCTGAAGGAATAGCAAGGATGTTTTTTTTTTTTTTTTAATTAGACTGAAAATTGCACAGTTACCAGTCTTCTTCGTGGCTACTAGCTCTACCTGTTTCTTTTGGCGAACGGCGCCCTTGATGATGGCACCTGACTCGACCACTGTCCAGGGCAGCCATCTTTCTCTCAAGAATCCAGTCCACCGAGCGGTCTCCCTACGGGTATAAAAAAATGATTAAACATTGAAAAATTCAACACAGATATCTGCAGTGTCCTATAGACTTTCATAAATCAATATTAATATCAGATTCCCACGTGGATGTCATTTCTCGGTTATGTTCTATATCTTAATCGAATTAGGCGTAGCAGCTAATGTAACGTAAGATAAATTTGTCCTCGTATGAAAAACCCATTGAACCGATCGTCGAACCGGTTGCTCGACTCTTTCTGTAACTTCTCGGCTTTATGATAAACGAGAAGTCGCATAGCCGGTCGCAGTCGCTTTATGGTGGCTCGCCCAAAGGCCTCGGCCTGTACCTATTGGTACGCAGTGTTTATCTCGAGGATAATACGCAGAAAATCGCTTTCATGTTTCTATATATATACGTACATACATATGGCGACTACCAACTACGCGTAGCGCAGCATCCGTACCGTTAGATACGCTTCGGGAGAGAATTGCGTCCGAGAGTAGGAGACTCGTGGAAGTGTCTTACGAGTAAATAGAAAAGCAGAAGGACACAGAACACGCGCCTACGAAAGATCTAGTAACGATCTTCTGATAAACCTATTTCGTAGGATCATTTACGGAACAGCCTTCCTCGTGGATAAATTTTTTAATGGCGGGACCATTAAAAAATCTTTATCGTACACGAGATTACGAGGAACGCACCGACACGTGTAACGGATGGATTTTTTTTGTTCAGAAATATAAGTCCTTTTGGATAAATTCGAAATAACATTTTTTTTCGTCTATTCCCCGAAGGTTGTATTTACGTAAGATTTTGCCCGGGTGTGATTTTGAAAAGAAAACAATCTCTCACGGAGATTCTCATTGCTACAGTTATGGCGCCGCCTCGCCCAGAGCTACGTACACGTTCTAGGTCGACATACCCGAGAGAGTCGAGCTTGCCGGCGAGTGACTTAGTACTCGATAGCTCTATGGCACGGCTTCCTAGTTAAAGCCCTATCCACATTTCTATTTTAATCGCCAGGCGATTGGACGACTCCCGTTTCCTATGAACGTCGCCGATCGATCGTCCACTTTGCAGTGGACCTTCGTCATCGCGCCGCAGGACGGCTCTTGCCGACCTATGAAATATCGAAGGCTCGACTTCGAGTTCTCTCGCAGGGAGAAAGTAGGCGCATCCAGGACTTCGGCGTTGGGCGCGACGAAGTCTTTTCACTTTGGCGTGAAAACGGTAAGCGGGAGGATATCATTATCTTCCGTTGACCCGACTTCCGCTTTTTCTCCATACAGCTACTGTCGCTTTCCTTTATTTTCCTCTTGTTCTCTCCGACTCTCTCGCGCTTCGAAACTGCACCAGCGAATCACGGCTCGACACCTGCCATCTCTTGGCGACGTGTGTACGCGCCCATATGACCCACGCCCACCAACGTGTATACGTGTTTGGTATATGTAGCATACAAGCTTTTTACACTTTGCAAACAGACGTATCGCTGTCTTCTCGATTGTTAGGAAAGCCAGGACGATTTTCACTTTTTCCATATACGTGTCTTCGTTATTCAGTACAGTTTCAGTACTTCGCTGGTTAGCAGAGCGAAAACTTGGACGTTGGCTCGTGTGAGATTTAATATCGAGGAGGCGCGTACGACTACGGAGGCTGCTGATGGTTCGAATACAATAATTTACACGCAGTTTGCCTGAAATTAATTAAACGAAGATAGAATTAATCGTCGGAGCGGTGTCGAGGCTTTTGAATCGATTTTTTATTGGTATCGTGGAATTTTCGAATTTATGTAAGACGCAGGATGTCCTTACCTTTCTTTTCGGCCTGTCACTACTGTGACTACCGGTAGAGGGACACGCTCTGACAAGCCGGAGGACGCAAAGCACGTCCAAAGAGTCAAAAGAAAAGAAGAGGGTCTTCGTGGAGACCGACTCGTTTGTCCTCCTCCTTCGTCCTCTTCGTCGCTCTTACGGTCCCGGCAAAACCGCAGCTTCCCTGATATCAACGCTACTCGCACCGAGAGCCGTAAAGACGCGGTTGGCGGCCCCTTTCCATCCGCTGTATTTCCGCTGCGCCTCGTTCTCTCTTCCCGGGACAGCCGCGGAACACATAATTCACTCGTTTGTACGAAATTTCGAAGCAGCCCGCAAGATCCACCATTTAATTGCGGTCGCATGCTCCCTAATAATGGCTTCCTTGCCATTATGGCTCGCCGGCCATTTTTGTTACCTTTGGATTCTGTGGGAAGAATTGTTTGTATCAGTGTCTCGTGTACCTCGTCAAATCTTATATTATCATTCGACCGTACTTACGTAGACGCTTCCGGGTCACGGTCGCCTCTTCTGTCTGTCGAGGCCACGCACTTGTGTGCGCGCCTTTATGCGGCACGTGGGCGTTACTATACCTCGTACGCGAACGTTACGTGTAAAGCACCAATAACGATGTATGCATAAACGTATATCCATCCTGTTCGACGGACGGTGTTTCTTTGCTATCCATATGGTACTTCCCGCGAAGTCCTTCTCTTTTATCTGCATTTTACCTCTCTTGTACTGGACGACCGTGCCGAGACTCTTCGGGGTCAGAATCGTGCACGGCCACTTCCGGTACCGGGACTAGCATCCTGTCCAGGACTTCACTTAATAACAATAATTCCTCGCGGGCTCTCCGGATCTTGAGAATGAGCACGATACGTAAATACTTTTATGGAATTGTGGAGAGGAGGATCATCGGAGTAGAAAGTGACTTCCGGTGCGTCGTACTGGTTAAGAGTAACAAATTATTTCACCGTTGAATTTATAAGCATCCAAATGGCGGGTCCTTTAAAGCCGGATTATAAGTCCCATGGAATTTGCTCCCCGTGTCCTCATGGATGGAACCAGTTTGGGGGGAATCCTTTGGCGGATGAGTTAAGGAGAGAATTTTTCAAGATGGCGTTCAGCCCGGTACCATAAACGTGACGGCCAGGTCCTCAAGGCACCAACCGTAACAGCAGCACCATCAGCTGAAAGAGAGGAGACAGAGGTGGAGGATCGTGCCTCGAGCCTAGACGTAGAGAAGCTTAGAAAGGCCATATCCGTGTCGCGTGTATCTTTCTGTCCTCTTGGACTTTCCTTGCGGAACTCTTGGACGGTATATACATTTTTTTTCTCTCTCTTCTACTCCTGTCATTCCGTCTCAGACTTTCTTCGTTCTCTTATCTTTTGCTCGCTTCACTTTATATGCATACCCATCGCCGGATAGTTGCGCGTAACAACGGGAGTGTATTCCTTGCTTCCTTCTATTTCTGTAGATTTATGTCGAGCGTTTGTCGCGTCTTGTCCCTGGCTCGCACGTAATTAAGGCGCGCGCGCACTTCGCGACGATTATTTATGACGCCGAGAAAATCCTAGCCCGGCGACCATGTGTCAAAACAGGGTTGAGCGATGATAAATTTAACGTGCCGGAGTGTAGGCCTGGTGCGTCTGCTGAGAAAAAAGAAGGTGTGTTAACGATCGCACCGAGACACGGGGTTGAAAAAATAATTAGGCTTGTCAACGACGCCGTTCCGAAGGAATGACGCGTGATTGGAGACTCACCTTTTTTTTATGAGACTCGAACAGTCACTCGAATTCTTATTAAAATATCTCTTGGAGTTCTGTTCTAGGTGGAGGCACTTGTTACTCGTGTGCGAAACTTTCTGTATCTGTTATAATTGATATACTCCAAGTCATGATTACGTTTCCACATTTTTTTTTATCTCTCAAATAATGACTTCAGTCGAGCGTAACATCATCTTCAGCGCGCACGTTATTATTCAATGTCAAGATGATGGGCGAATCAGTTGGAAACTCTTGGTCCTCAATTTACACTAATCAGTACTGCGACTGGCTTCAAGCGTTTGCACAACAAACGCACCACTGTCGTACAATAACAGTACGTTAACTGTTTCTCATATAGATTCTATATAAATGTAATAACGAATTGAAAAGATTTCTCAACAATGAGACGAGCCAGTAAACATTCTGGAAATCCCAACGTGGCTTCAAGCGAGAAAGCCAGCCTCTAACGAATAAAGGGAGCCGACGGGCATCGTTCTCTCTCTCTCTCTCTCTGTCTCTCTCTCTCTCTCTCTCTCTCTCTCTCTCTCTTGAGCGTAGAAGTTTCGTGGAAGACGTAGAAAGAAACTGGCCCAACGCACGCCACGGAGCACGCGTTAAAAAAAAGTATCCACAGGGCATACGTGCATATGTGCCTTTTACATATGTACTATACGTATACAAGATTCGGCCATGAGTTTGTCATTCAGCGGGACAAGAGCTCGTCAGGGATGAATACTCAATTTTTTGTTCCTTCCTCCTTTTTTTTTTCTTCCTCTCCAGGGAGTGCTCCTTTCATTATAAGTCGAACACGCAACGAACGACGCGCGCCCACGCATCGTATCACGCACTCCAAACGTATTCTCGGGACCCTTTTATGTAACGCGTAATAAAGAATCCCAATGTAGTATCCTCGTGTCCAGAGTGCATAAGGGACCTGGTGATAGTTTATTTATGAGCCTGATCGTCCACCAGCCACCGGAGACTCCTGGGCTCTGCTGTGTAATGGCTCTCAGAGGCGACCCGCTATTTGCGACAGTGTTGCACGCAGCCGTCGATGCATGCATGCACGCCAGGATGTAGGATAACGAGGATGCCGCTAAAGAAACTCCTTGGGATTATAAAAATAAAAAGGATAATAACACTTACGGCTATGTAGTAGACCTGGACATCGCGTTCGACACGTTTAACCGACCTGGTTCGATCTATCTTGTCGTAAGGCTTTTCGCGGAAAGGCTTCCCTCCAGGAGACTGACTTTATATAGTTTATACGTAACGTATACGTACGATGTATACAACGTTTCTGAAAATAAACATTATTACATACAGGACAGGACTACGGCGTATTTAACGCTAGAATTACGGAAAAGGGATCCTAGATGAACCTTTCTCTTATTTGTTTTTCTTCTTAAGAATATCCCCGCCTGCGGCCACGTCGTTTACTCGGTTCTGGTAATTTTCTATGGCTTAACGGGAGCCGTACCAGCTTCTCGTACTCGGGCTACTCTTCCTTCCTTGGGTCTTTCTTATATCCGTGAAAGTGGAACCGACGAGCTATGAAATTCTGTCAATAGAAATTTATATAAATTAAAGATTTCACTGTCTCGATAAATCACGCATTCTTAGCATACGTGGGTTATGGTATGTATATGGTATGGTATATATGGTATATATACGAAGTACACAATACCTTGCCCGGTACTGTGAGCAGGGCAATTTTTTTTATTCGAATGCTTTCCTACCAGGAGCCTCACTTCGCGAACGTCCTCATACGTCATTCGTATCTTTGAGAAATCGCACGCGTGATGTGTACCTCGCTGAGTGTATGATATATGTGTAGTGTGTGCCCGCGCCAACCTCCTCGACGCGTAGCACGTCTGTGAGAGCTAGACTAGATCCGGGAGTGGTGGGCGAACGCGCAAGGTTGCCGTAAATTTATTGCAGAAGACGCTGATGAGCTTTTCGCTTTTTCATGGAAAGCAGGTAAACTTGATAACGAGGTTCACCCGAGGCACTGCCGCTAGAGAAAATCAAGATTTGTAGGTTAGGATGACCGTTGCGCTCGACGCGCTCACGGCTGATTACTTCGTACCGAAAGCTTTGACACTGTTCAATCATGAATCTAACGTTTAATAATAGTATTGACATTCGTACCAGAGATTTTTGTCGGTTACACCTGTCCCGATCGATATTCAGCTAGTAGAACAGTCGACCCTGATATCTCGATCCCGTCCCGCTACTTTCACCTGGATCTCTGCTAATGGTTACATCCGCCAACCTGGGAGAGCTATGCCCCATTTACGATAATTTCTCGCTGCTCACGCAGTCGCTTCTTCTTTTATTCTTCTCGTAACGCACAATTTTCACTGTATACTTACTTAAATACCACTGGATAGGAGAATCACAGAGATCGTCGATATCGACTGCAAAACAACGTTGGTATTCGTCAGCGATCTGTATTGCCACTTGGTGAGGTAACATCTGGGGTCCGCTTAGGACTTGTTTTGACTTGGCTGAAATTACAAGCTGACTTTGCTCCTTTTAAATAGTTCCGTGTTATTTTATACCGAGCGTCACGACTCTTGCTACTATATATATACATATTCGTTATAATACGTGTATGCACATTCTGACAGTCAATTCCGTAGGGCTAATCGACTGACGTAGCGAATAGCACATGACTTTAACTCATTTCTATACAGCGAATGAGTCAGATAACTCACTGTTATTAGAGTCAGCATTAACATATCCTGCTCATCGACACGTCGGCTCTACGTACGTACGTTCATATATATGTACTTATACACTGTTGAAAGGTTACTACGATTTTGCCATGACCTCGTTGACACCTGGTGCCTCCGGTCAATTTAATTTCTCATTCCTTCCTCAATTTCCCCGGAAGTCCTACAACGTTCTCTCGCGTGATGTCCTTCCTTCGACAATAAATTGGATATGCATTGAATCCATATAAATTAACCTGGGAATAGATCAGTGACTCATTAGCGTATATTTGGAGCGAACAAAGGGTTAGTGAATTAATGAAAAAAAAAAGTTCGTCCTGTGTGCAATAGAAATTTTCTATGAAGCAACCCCGCGTGACAGTTAACCTCTATCTGTACTTATGGGGTTTCTACGGGAAGATGAGAGGAGAGTCTCTCGTCGCGTGTAGCAACCGTAACGAAAGGAGGGACGCGCCGACTATTATGCGTGTAGCCATAAATCTGTGAGTCATTATTTACCGCGGGATCCACAAGGCAACCCTAAGGTTTCGTAGCGAGATATTCTCTCTCGCCGGCCATATCTTCGCGATAAGATCTGAGATAGGAAGATACAAGAATGATACCGGCGCGTCGGGGTCCAGGAAGATGCAATGCAATAGCTCTTTCACTCCGTACCTTTCTGCGTCTTTCTTTTTATCATTCTTAAATCATGCGTCTTGCTTCCTCTTTACTCGTGCCGATCATCCGCCATTTTTGATGCTATTCGTCGCACGCTTATGCGCATGCGCGTGCCAGTTGCGACTGCACAGAGGGCGGTACCTATTACGAATAACAGAGAATACAAATTTCGATAGATGCACGGATACAATTTGAATTTACGCGTTACGGGTAAATTATGAGATATTTGATAAAACTAAATTTTGATAATGGAATCACGTAGGATTTATTGGCGGACACTTTCTCATTGGGGGATTTGTTCTATAAATTATATGACTTTTATGGCCGTGAAAAGAACGTTTAAAAGTTTTTACGAGACGTAACCGTGAAATTATGTTTATTGTAACCAGGTTCACGTTGTGTCTTACCAAGATGTTTTTATTTGATAAAACGCCATCAATGCTTTCTGGCAATGTATAAATTAACGTACTGCATAGATAGTCATTATATGCTCGTGGGAGGAGACAGCGCAGCCAGTTTTTGGCCTACGTGACCGACTCTCGTTTAACAGGATGCGATGTCGTAAACAGCGTCGGAACACTTGTTTCCCTTGTTATGGAAATATTCCCGCTGACGTTCTTGGTTTTTCTTGTCACTTTCAGAGGTATGTCGACTGCACAGTCCTCGGTGCCGGAAGTGGAGCCGAGGCCGAAGACTCGTCCTACGACAGCGATTACGAGGCTGAGGATTCACTTGGATCATCCGCTATTCATCCTCAACTTGAGTCACAAGTATCATCGTCGACACACTCGGACGTCTCCCGCACGACGTCCGACACACTGGCAGCTGAGTTTGCCGAATACGTCACTGTACAGGGTCCATCCCCTATTCAAAGTCCTGGTAAGATTAATACGCTTGAGGAAATTTCAGTGACCCTCTGTCTACCCTTAGAGTAATGAAGGATGATCGTTTTTGATTTCACAATTCTCCTTCAAACTTTCTCTGAGAATTTCAATAATTTTCAACATAGGTAGATCAATAGATTTCTGCAAGGCTATGGTATGCAGAGAATTTTCCCATGCACACATCCGGGTTTCTAAGTTTCCAATATAAATTTAAATTAACATACTTAGATACGATGATTTCTTTTTTCTTTCAAACAGGTTACACAGCCAGGGTGGAATTCGCGTTGAAGCTTGGCTATACAGAAAGACTGGTACAGGCAGCCTTACACAAGCTGGGACCAGATCCAGGTCAGAATGAACTCCTGGCGGAGTTAATAAAGCTTGGGGCAAGTTCGCCAAAGTTTACGGATACTCAGGATGACTCAGACAATCTGTTAGAGGCTGATGTACCTGTGGACGATGGATCCTTATCCTCGGCGCTACGTCCTGTGGTCATTGACGGTAGTAATGTCGCCAAGAGTCATGGAAACAAAAAGGTCTTCTCCTGCAGGGGCATTAAGATTTGTGTCGATTGGTTTCGTGCCCGTGGACACAAGGAGATCACCGTATTTGTACCAAAATGGCGGAAGGAAGCATCCAGACCTGATAACCCCATAGCTGATCAGGAAATCCTAGGCGAGCTGGAACGGGATCGGCTTCTGGTATTCACACCGTCCAGGTTTGTAGTCTTGGATGATATTCATCATTTACCATTTGGCTACTTCGTGTATTATTAGCCGTGATACTTTGTGCCAGGGTGGAATTACTCCATTTGTTTATTCTGCTATTCACTTGTTGTTGACACAGATTGGTAGGCGGCAAGCGCATGGTCTGCTACGACGACAGATACATTCTTCGTTTGGCTGCTGAACTTGATGGGATTGTCGTGAGCAATGACAATTATAGAGACCTGGCGCAGGAGAGTCCAGAGTTCAGAAAAGTCGTCGAGGAGAGGATCCTCATGTACAGTTTCGTTAACGATCGGTTTATGCCGCCTGATGATCCTCTAGGAAGGAGTGGACCCACGCTCGATAACTTTCTTAGGATTGGATCGCGAAGAGCCGATCCAGCACCTCCTTGTCCTTATGCTAAGGTCAGTAAAATGAATGTATCGATTTATTTAATTTAGTCAAAGTGAATGGTTATTGACAATGTCTTGACTTTTTTTCTTATTAGAAATGTACGTACGGTAACAAGTGCAAGTTTCGTCATCCTGAACGTGGTCCTCATCCTCATAAATCAGTTACTGAACGTCTGGTCGAGCACGCTCAACGTCATCTACAGGCACGGGGTCCTAGTCTAAGTCTTCCCTTGTCCTCCTCCACGTCTACCTCGGGCATTGTGCCCCAGCATCAGCCACTCTGTAAGGCTAGGTCGGCTGTACCTACTATCCAATCACCATCCGTCCCCAAGAGTAGATCTGTAGAGAACGTCACCGCGGATTCTGCGCAGACAAATCCTGCTGTGTACGCGCAACAAATGCCCACAGCACAAAATACCCCAGGTAGGTGTAAAAGTTTTATTTAATTACGATGAGAATTATATGAGAGGGACTGTGGGAATAATAACGTTCATCGTCCAGGATATCCCTCTCCGGTTGGATGGCCTGCTCCCAGGGTGGCTAATACGGATCCTGAGCCAGCTAACATGCACAGGAAGCTCCAGAGACAGCTCACGCTTAATCCCGCCTGCGATCCAAGGCTGTACCAACTGCGAAGGTATCCCCAGCAGCAACAAACTCAACAACAGCACCAGGCATTACAGCCACAACCTGTCATCAATCCATCACACTCAACTATGCAGCACAGACCATTGACGAGGCACGCAAGCAACGAGTCTCCCTATCCCGTAGCTATGAGGTTAGTTATAGTTTAATAATATCCTTAAACCACTTCCCGTATAGCATGGTGGTTGCCTGATTTATCACATTACCGGTATGTGTACTTTTCAGCTGGGAGCATCCTGAGCACCATCATCAGCACGTTACACGCATAGCATCTGCGCCGGATTCCTATCGTGCTTGGCCACCAAGAGGAACGAACCTTCCAGCACCCTCCAGGGTCCAGAGACTAGGAGCATCCGACCCCCAGCTTAACTTGCTACCATCACCACCCTCGGCACCAGGACTCCACGCATCCTGGGGCACTCAGGCGCAGGATGCAAGACGTCGGTTACATTATCATCTGGCGAATATCTTTCCCGAGGAGCAGGTACAAGCTGCGATGGCGCTGCATCCACACGAAACAGATCCTCAGCAGATCTGTGCCGCCATCCTGGCGATGTTTCCCAAGCCTTAGGATGGAAAGTTCTACGGTTGACAGGCCAAACCTTTAGCGTTTACTATTGACGAGGTAGGGGTATTCGTCTACCTGGATTTTAGTAATATGGTCTAATTTCAACCTCCCAGAACCGAGACCTGGTGAGGATCCAGTAGGAATGCATGGCGATCCTCGTGAAGGATGAAGATGTTCCAGAAAAGACGAATGCTTCCAGTAGCCATATTTGTTGTACATACACGCTATGCTACACCTTTTCTTTTCTATCTTCGAACAGTCATCCTCAGGGAGAATATATCTTTTTCGAGGTCTCGCGAGCCTCTGGCATCGATCGTAAAGCGGACGATACTCGTGTTACCGAATGCTACGCACAGTATAGTATTTCGATGACTGAAATGTCATCGTAGAATCCCCAGCACCCTCCGTGAGAGTGATCCCGGGAGATTATGAGAAGCAAGAAGCTACTTGACTTTACAGAGAACAAAATCTTACAAAGGTAAAAAAAAAAAGCGACAAGGAAACCGCGTTGCGCTGTCAAAATCCACGAGTCCATATTAAAAGACGTCAGTCGCGTGATTTATGTTTTTCCTTATTGCAATATCATTCCCCTTCGTTGCATATCTTCAATTGGATTACACGAAAAACTAAAATTGTGAGCTGGAACCTCGCTAACCGTCAATAATTTCTAATTGAACATTTTCAATGGTCCAACTCTTTTCTTTTTTTGTCAAATAACCAACAAATCATGATTCTTTGGATCTCGTGGATCTTGAAATAAATTCAGCCAGTACCATTATGTGACGAACGAAGGTCAGTTACGGTTGTAGACTCGTCCGAATCAATTGGAAGTCTTACGGTACACAATTGTACACACTGATAATACATAATAATATAATGTAACTAATCGCGAATAATATCCACCCTGTTTCTTTTATACAAGAAAAGCGACCTCGACTTTACGTATAAAAGGAATGGCGTGCATAAGTCATTTATACCGTTTGTGAATAACAATTATTTTCACGCATCTTCGCCGGGTTAGCCAAGCGGCTAACTTTCTTTCTCGGTCGAGGATCAGAAGGTACATTGTAGACTTTCTTTTGGAAGCACGTGTAGTTCGCACTTCTTTTTTTTTTCTTCTTTTACTTTATAGCCAGCGACAAACTAAATAGGGCATTATACGATAGGTCGCGAGCATTTTTATTTTATACGTTAAGGCCACCTAGGATTACTTGCAAATATCTGTCCCCTCGAATATATCTATTTTAATTGTTAAAAAAAACAACATTTTTTTTCATTTCATTCGTCACGTTTCGATCAACCGATGAGACGAGATCGTTCGACTCACATTGAGTCTCAAGGTCTCTGCATATCCAGCATTGGCTCGGACGTTTCTTAAATTAATCCAAAAAAAACATTTAATGTTTATATTTTTCTTCTCTCACTTCTCGCACGAGGAATTAAGTCCGGATAATTCATGAGAAACGTTCGAAGCATGGAAGACAAATTTTATCTTCAATTACTCACGTTAATCATTTTCCATATTTGGTGTGCTCTTAGCTACCGGCAACAAAATATGTGCAGAAAACGTCATTCGCGATACCCAACTACGCTGAGCAGCGACTGTAAATTATAAGCTAGATTTGTATGTCTGACTCGGGCATACAAGAGGAGGACAGCCTTCGCTGGTAAACAAGTTCATATACAGTGTGGTCCATTGTAATTCTCATGTCCGTAATATTCACTGAGGCGAGTAGTTTTTTTTTACGTAAGACACCCTGTACAACATACCTTTGCATTGAAAATCGTATGTTCCTATTCGCGACTCTAACTTATCACCTTGTTTATCAGCTATTCGCCAGACTCACTCAAGCCTGTTCTTTAATCGATGGAGTCGCATTTCTGGTTTTTTTTCACTTTTATTGTTATTCTATTTCGCTTACTACGCGTCCAGACAACCGTTTCGCATAATCATACATATCCGTGCACTTGGCACGTTTCAGGATTGCCAACCTTGTCTCCGATTGGGAAAATGACGCCGTGTAAGTTATTGATATAAACTGAAAAAGATTGTTAAAAAAATTTGTTTCCAGGAAGAGGACAAGATTTTTCTTATTATACAATATTTTGGACACTACGAATCACGTCTTATACATATTTTTTCTTCTCTCATTTTTATGTCATTGTCATTATTATAGATATTATATATTGTTATCAATTATTCGAATTTATTTAACGGAGAGATATTGAGAATTTAATATATGATTAGCATATATGAGCATGTATGTGTATTTCAGCACTGAAATTTTGCAATACCGTGTATTGCTGACACAAAGAGAGTTGTGACGTATTTACGGGCTCTTTCTTTTCTTTAACGTACGTTATATATGTTGATATATATGTATATATATCTGACAGAGAATGGAGAGGATAGAAGGAAAAAGAGAACGAATTGTTGTTTAATATTTTAGGGATACAGTACGTAGCGACAAATTAATTGTTAGGTGTAACGAAACTTTGGTGTTTATATTGGAAACGTCACAATCGTCGTTAAACGGATAAATTTTCTTATCGTTTATTTAATTAACGTAGGAGGAACGATCGCGCGAGAATTTCTCACGTATACGGAAAAGAAATAACGTGAACGATTATGAATTATTATTATTATTATTATGTTAATATTATATGAAATATTATATTATATATAACAAATTTGTATCAATGTTATTGCCAATGGATTGTGAAATAAATGTTTTTCTATTTAATTGTATGATTGTTGAAATTTTCTTTCGCTGTAGAAGAAACTGGTTTTTTTTTATTATTGGCAGGTACGATGAGGGCATTTTGAATTTATGTATTCTTTTTAAATTCATTGATTTTAGTTGGGATGCGTGGTATGGATTCTTGGTCTTTTGTGGGCTGACTAGCCGTCATATTGGATTAATAATGGATAACGATTCTCGAGTGTTTCGATTTTATTTTCAAGATAAAACATTCAGGAATAAGACGTAAATAAAACTTAGAATAAAAGTGATGCACATTCGCGACTCTTATGGCAGAGTGTAACGGCGGTCCAGGCCGATCTTCCATACGACAGGTAGAAATTAAAAACTACAAACTGAATTGTTCTAAAGATTGCTAACTAATGATAGCTGATTTGGCTATATTAATCGAGTATGTTTACTAACTAAAGAGAAAGTGAGAAAAACGTCTTTTCGATCCATTAGGAAAACAAATGCACTTCCGATTAATTGCAAGGAATAACGTCAGTGGCTTACAGATAATTAATTACTGACATCCCCTTTTTCTTTTCACTTATACAATTTATCATTATGCAAAAAATCCATGATCGCTCGATGCAGCTTCACTTCGCTTTTAAGATTAATTTATGTTAAAAGTAATCATAGATCATTGATTTGTAGTCGCTCTCAATCATATGATGAACGCATGTTCCTAGTAGCTCGAATCCGTACTGCAACCTTTGCGAAAATTGTCCTAAACTGATTGCCGGAAATATTAATTGTTCTGAAGAGTTTCTAGGGTTATGTTATTTCCATGACACGATTACAATGCCAATTGTGAACCAGCCTTAGGTAGTTATAGGATTCGTCAAGCAGCTCACAAAATTCTTTCGTAGAACAAAAGGTACGCCTGACTCTGCAGTACAGTTGATTCATCGACCTCCATCACTCTAAAATTATAAAAGACTCGACAGTGTTGGGGTAACAGTGTTTTATTGGGAAATTTAGTGGGAATATTTACCTGGAGTCAGAAACGTAGTACCATCGACCTGGCGGTGGCTCTGCTGTTGGTTGAGCTCTTGCCGATGCTTCTTCACCTTCTGAATCAGAACTGGCGCTACTGGAACTTCCTTCGCACTCTTTGGCATCCTTCGATGGCAGGAATGACCATCTTGGATCATCAGGACTCAGCGGCTGTCTTGCCTAGAGAAATGAAATAATTAAAATTGTAAATGTATAGTGAATTTTAAGAAAGGAGGTGTTAATTAGGAATTCAATAGTTTGTCATTAATTAAATATACCTTAACATAGGCTACGTAGTGTCCACCATGCAAAGTACCACTGTGCTCTACGATACCATAGAGGGAATAGAGTCTTGGCTTTTTGTGATCCTTGCAAACTGGTGATAAATCCAATACAGTTGGGAAGGATACGGTCTTGGTGACTTTACGAAAACCAACTCGTTGAGCTTGAAATCTTTTCAGGTGGAGAATCAGGACGGCTGGTGCTCTTAAGATCAGATATTGCTTAGTACTGGGTGTGCAAACGATCTTTGTAGCATCTTCTTTTCCCTGGTGATTAAAAATGTCATTGCCATTTTTACTAGATGACTAGCTTAGATTTTTCAAAATTTATGTAACTTGGAAAATTAATCATTACCTTATTCTCCCTCGCAGTACAGGCTTCGCAACTTACTTTATTACTTCCACTCATTAATTCCAGGGCTGTAAATTGGTTCAGGCACGACTGTATCGAACACTCTCCTTCTTTAGTGTGATATCTAGTTGGAGATTGATAAATGCCGCTACCAAGTCCAATTTTTGACAATCCCGTAGTTATATCACTGATACCATTTTGGCTTTGATAATTCGTTATAGAGTTTGTCAGAGTATCGTCCTCTCGACTTTGAGCGGATTGAAATTCATCAGTATCCAAGTCCGGGACTGATTTTCTATTAGACAAAAATTTATTAACCAATCTTGTCAAGGATCAAAGGAAATCAATCGGTTCACTTTTCATTTTACCTGGAGGACTCTTCCTTGTCGCATTTTAATTCAGGTTCAATAAGTTCTAGCCTGGATATCGGCCTGTCAAGCTTCTCTGCATAATCGCCATCTATGGCACTGGAAACTGGGCTAATGGGACTATCCTTAGATGTGATAGGACTGCTCAAGGGACTTATCGTGAGCCCTTCAGGACTTGTCAGATCAGAATTCACAGCTAGTGAATTTGATAAGGATAATACAGGCAGTAGCCCGTTCTCGTTGTTAGGACTCGCTGGACTCTCGGTTACGGCGATGCTCAATTTTCCAGGACTAAAGGATTCCGAGGTCAACTTGACCTGGGTCAATTCCATCATTGATACATCGGTAGGACTAGGAGTATTCAATGTATTCGTATTAAGTTCCTTCTTCAGTTCTATGGACACTGAATTGTCTGTGGGACTGAGTAGCACAGTGTTATCAACTGATAAACAATTCAAATTGACGGATTCATTTGACTGATTTAAACGTTTATGATCAGCTGGTGATACCGGGCTAGCTACTGCTGATACTTTCTCGGAACTATATCCGGACTCTCCGATTTCCGGTCGCGGCATACCTTCCGTTTCGATATTGTCCTCGACATCGGCATCGCTTTCCTCTAAAATATACAATCTTGATTGTATGACTGGAGACAATTAATTAATAGAATTATTTAATTACCGGTCACAGGATTATTTCCTTGCTTCTCTTCTATGATACTATTTTGGCTGAAGATCACTATGTTATTGGCTAGACAGGACTCATGGTTAGCGTTTCCATGTTCTCGTCTGTTCTTCCTATATTTTCTGGCATTTTTTTTCTCTTTTTTTAATTGATGCTTTGATGGAGCATTCGACGTGATATTGTCCATCATATCGAAAGCATCTTCCAAGCCACTGTTCTTTCTTCTAAACAAATATAATAATTAATATTAGATAATTACTTATTATGGTCTTTGTTAACAAATCAAATTTGTTTTATAATATCGCTCACTTTAGAATAGGAGGTTGAGGCTTGTCAGCCATAACTGGCAAACTGAGATCCAAAAATGGTTCGGTACGCTGAGATGAGTGGTGACATTCTAAGCATTCTAAAGTAGACACCAAAACTCCTCTAAATACAGGTTCCGGACCTAACAATCTAGCACTGGCTTGATTGCCATAATATTTCACTCTTGATTTTAAACTCACATCCACGCGTTGTAGGTCTATTTTTCCGCAAAGACCCACTTGCTTCAATACTTGTCTTTGATATCGCTGTGGAAGAAAATTAATAAACTTTATTATGAAACGATCTTTTAAATAGTATTTAATTGTCAAACCATGCCAGTACAAAAGCGTTAAATATCTTACTTTTAAGTCTTCATTTCGTACAAGTTCCAGGAGATATCTGAGCAATTCATGAGAATCATGCTGACCTCCATCGGTACACTGTAAAGTTTTTCTTCTGAATGAACTTAACAGTTCAGAAGGTCTGTAAGGTTGGTGGCCATTCGAAGTTTGCATCTCGGTTAAGGTTTTACACAGAATCGAAGTAAAATTTCCCCAGCCTTCCAGGGATCCTTCCATTGGTGGCTTCATAAATTAGATGATAACGTTTAAATAAATCTTAGAATATAACTTAAAAAGTTTTGTTTAAGAAAATCAATTTACCATGTCAACTTTTTCCGAGTCACCAGCTCCTTTATGCTTTCCTCCAGGTAGTACAAATGACTCTCCTTCTGGACGTAAATCGTTCAAAACTTTAATAAGAAAAGGAGTTTGCGCTAGGCATTGAAGCACAGCGTTGAAGAAGCAGGTATTTCCTAAATTTAGTAAACCCTAATAAATCATAGAAAAAGCAATAAGTGATTCTTTTTATGGCATGGAATTCAAAAATTATTGATATATTTCATTGCACACAAAATTACTTACTCCTACTTTGGGAAGATCACTAGGAATTTGTTGTTTCTCTTTATTTATTTCGGGTTCTGTCATTTGGCATGGAATTGCTGGCATTTTGGGCTGTTGTGAGGCATAAGTAGTAGCAGCCAACTTTTTCAGAAATTCCACAATCTCCAATAATTGTTTTCTAATGGGAACAAATTTTAATACTAAATTTATATTGTACAACATCTATCGACACTATTTTATTTCACAAGATATCAAAGAAATGATGATCAATTACTGTTCAATGTAATATATATGTAAAACTGTACCTGTAACCAGAATTAATTCTTGTTTCGCATTGGTAACACCAAACACTCCACTCGTGTGTATCTACAACTAAGCAATGACTATCACTATGAGGAGTCTCATAATGCTCCTGCGCATGTTGCCTTTGATTTCTGCCACAAGCTTGGTTACCGCAACGGATACAAATCCAAAGAGGACCACTCAGAGGAGCAAACTATAACAATAATATTTTAGAGTATACAAATTTTATTTAACCAAAATTTGTTTTTATATTCAATGAATATATTTTACCCATTCCTCTTCTTGCTTAACCGAATTGCCATCAATTCTTTTACAAGCTGAACACTCAGTATTAATGCCAGTTTTTCTTAGGATCTTTCTCACCCTTGCTATATTAATTGCTTTGGTCACGTGTGGACAGGACATTCCTTCTAAATAGATAGAAAACAATTTAATCAGTCCTTGAAATATCTTCAACAAAAAAACTTTGCTGAGTCAACAAATTCTTTATCGGCAGTATATATAAATAATGGAAACGTTATATTCAATATTGTTACAGACAGAACAAAGATACATAGCATTATTTACTCAGAAGGAATATAAAAGTCAAACAGTTTGGAAAGTACCCAAACATATTTTATTAATGAAAAGTAAAAGTACACAGTAATTTAGTAATTTTCATCTGTACAGTATTATAAAAAATTAATTCTAACCTCCAGTAATTTCTTCATAGGACTCAGTCGATTCCCCGCTGCTCTCCTCGTTGGCATCAGGTTGCCTGTTCCTCTTCTTCCCCATGACGCTTTAACTTTAAACCTTCTCTTTTTTCTATTTAATACAATTCCAACAGGATATTGACCAACATAGGCTGTTAATAATAAGTTTTTTGCAGTATGGACATTTTTGTCATGGAGGATACAACCTGCTTTTGAAGACACACCTGGAACGCACTTAAGATCTCGAGCTCACGTTAAAAATAACGTAAACGTCTTGGATATCTAGCGCACAGATAACAAGAAAGATATTGTCTGTTTAATAAGAAAATAATAAATTTCATTATTGCGACCTCATGGCTTTGGCAATGGCAGTCTGTCAAGGCCTGCAGAAAAATGGATATCTGCTACAGATTTTCCAATTTCGTAGCGATACAAGTGGTTGGACCAAATACTAAATCTTTGTCCAAGATAATTTCCCTCTTTTATCGATGAAGAATTGGACAAGAATAATGAGAAATAACATTTCAGAACACTGACGGTAAAAGTGTAGTCTGTCTATGGTAACAAGTGAGAATCAGTCCCGCCGGGTATTATATTTATTCTGAATATATTTGAAATCAATTAAAATATTCATCAGAAATTAAGATGATAAAAACTTTCCCTTAAGATTATCAGAAAATAATAAATGGTAGATTCCTTGCTGTAACAGGGAATGGTTTTTCTTAATACTCAAATTGACTAAGTAGTTGTGAAAGAGAAATGGCTTTCTAGTGTTTACTAGAAAAAGAAGCACTCTTATATTCTATAAAAACATATTTTTATTGTATCATATAAAATAGTATTGTTTGTACAAAACCTTAAGACTACAGCATCCTACGCATAGAGATATTTAAATTGTCATGAGCACTTTTTAAGTGTTGCTTCTGTGACTTTAACCATTCATTTACAATATTTACAGTTTTATTTACAGTGATCTTATAAGCCAAACATTTCATTAATTGTGGTCAAGTATAAACGGCATATTCTTCATAAAAAAAAAATCATCCTAATTTTCTCAATCAAACTCATAAGAGTACCCGCCACAAATTGTACACGATATACAAAACAATGTCGACTAAATACATAAATAAATTAATCTTCTCAAGTGCACCGTTCTGTCAAAAGATTGTATCAAAGAACCAGAAACAGCAAGTCAAAGATATAGTACAGGAAGTACCAGAAAAGTGTCTTAAACGTGCACCAGTTAATACATAGGGTAAAATGCCATGATAAGGAGTATACACCAAAAACAAAAGAACAAATATCATTAATATTCGTTCACGCCATGTTATTAGTATCTGGTTTGTACCCTTGAAACATATTATGTCCAAGAGGCTGCATGACCTGGGGTGGCCTAAGGGGTTTAGTTGGTGCAGCGAGCAGTCTACTCCATGCTCTACAAGTTTTCCCAGACCAGACCCACATTCCAGAAGTAACCCCAACGACGAGGGACAGGAACAACCTGAGTAAAGCTACCTCAAGTCCAGCAGCTCTGTAAACCGGCCCGGGATCGCAATTCTGTGCTGCTCTACAATCTAACGCAGCCAAGAGAGCCAAAGTCCGCCATCTTGGTCTCACAGAGGATTCATGAAGGATACAGGCGAGTCCTCCGAAGGCTGGCAATGCGTAGAGCAACGCAAAAATTCCTAATCTAGTCATAAGCCGCTCGAGTTTGGTAGCGCTACGACCAGCTGAGCGCACTGCTCTACGTACGCGAACTAAAGCAGTTCCAGCTACACTGGCGAAGATGCATCCCAGGAGTAAAAGCGTGGCATGTGGGAGTACCTCGAGCCACAGTGCAGACTCTTCGGACACCTGGCAAAGACCAGTTAGCTCATCCGCAGCAACGTTCCGAGATATGAGACTACCTGAAATCAAATAAAAACCGGTTAATAATAATTCAAAATATAATAATAACTCGTTGCGTCATTATAACATAATACGAGTATAACCACACTAGACTGAGGTCGTCGTGCTTACCTCCAGTTAAGAGAATCGGTACGCCCCAGGCAGTGGCATGTAAATAAGGAGCAATATTATGAAGAGCCTCGCTGCTCCACTCGTTTCTCGCACTAAGCAGCCAACAGCCGCATAGGACAGCCCACCAGGCGCTGCTGGCTAATCCCAGGTAATGTCTAGCCAGCCACCATATAGTGCAGGGAATGCTTCTGAGACCATCGTGGACCTGAATATTCAGATTTATCCTTAAGCCATAGGAATCTTTGAATATAAACGACAGAACGATTCATTTGTAAACACTTACAGGTACGTAACTAGGACCATCTGTCTGACTGGCGCAGCTCAAGTTCTCTGGACCAACTGCTCCGCGTATAATATAAGCGACGGAGAGGAGGTTGTAGCACAATGCCAAGAATACTATTGGTCTTTCTGGATAACGGAACCTGGAAGGTTCCACCCAGAAGGTCAGCAATGTGAAGAGAGTCGACAAGAAGCACAGCCATGCCCATCCGGTCATCCAACGCTCGGCAAATCTTTTGTCTTCGGCACGATAATAGGCATCAGCACCGCAACGCGGAGCGCAGGATATCTAAAAAGAAGAGGATACTGAATATATCTGGAGTTTCGTTCCGAGTCTTCTTCTGGAGCGTATTGAGACAGAATTCTCGGTAAGAATCGGCTTTGGCTACGGCTGAGAAAAACCTTGAGAATATATTACCGTGTCGACAAAGGGCGTCTGGACGAAGTGCGGAGGACATTGGTGATGCTGATTGATTCGTGCCGGTTGCATCGATTGTATCGGCTGAATCGGCTGCACTACCGGCCACTGTTGCTGCACCGGTGGCAGAGCTGGTGGTGCGGTTTCCGGTAGCGTTTCTTCCGGCGGCGGTTGAACGCACAGAGTATTTCCTAAAATAACAATAAACCATTAGGACTCGATACATTTTCTTAACCTAAAAATCACTTATACGAATATTTTATCGGAAACTCACCGTTATCCGGAAATCGTTCGCAATCCAGCATATGTGGCCAGGGCAGGGTAAGAGTAGTTAAGGCGGGTTCACAGTCTCTTCTAACGGAAAGACAAAGTGGCTTGCACGCTGGTATCTGCATTGCAACGTGTTCCGAACAGACAGGAGCAAATACGGCACAAAGGAAGAACCTCAAGTGTCTGGAGCAGTTGTAATGGACCAGAGGCATGAAAGCTGCGAGCTGTAAGAAAGAAGAAAGATTAAATTAATAAATTTCTAAATAATACACAACGAATTCCATCGTACGTACAGCTAGGGATATTTTTTTCCTTTTAATTCTATCTCCGACAAAAATCCCCTAGAAATCTCATACCGAGTGGAAGCAGCAACCGATAAAAATTCTCAGCTGAAGAAGATGAAGAATAAGAAAAGGAAGAGAGGAGGCTGACGTACCTAAGGGCGCTAGAGAAAAAAGAGATCCAGGAGGTAATGAGTGGTGGGCTTCATGGGTAATTATCCCGCCCATTCTTCCCGCCTCCCGAAGAGGCCACGATTTCGGTGGGCCTTAGATATTCGCCCATTACGGTGCGCAGCGCGTATACCAATGGCGCCCTCAAATTATACCTCCCCACAAAATTACCTGGTGAGCCAAGTAAGTAACGCCGGCCCTGGGCGCTACGCGCGCGTATACCGAGAGAATCGTTAATGCCAGTAAAGGTTCGGTCGAGAAAGAAATTAGCGGAGAGACAATTAGCCTATACCGATCTGGAGAAGTAGTGATAAAAATATCCACTAGATCCGTACCTGGTGGGCCCACTAAAATATTTTTGATAAATCAGTGGAAATTATACCACGGCATCGATACGATTTTACTGAAAGATATACCAGAGGATAACGAGCGATCATCAGGTTGGTGTAGAAGAGGCAGACTTAGCGAAGGGATCGATCCGATCGAGAATAAAGTCTAGGCTAAGGTGAGGCTTGTTGGTCAGTTTTATTTGTGGACCGGTAAAGGCTTTGCTACGTAATTCATGTCTATGTATGTATATATATATATATATTGAACATAGTCGCTCTATATACTCGCGTGTTTCAAGATGGACAGACGGCGGTCACTGAGTGATGTCCCAGCAGGACCAGCATTTCTGCCCGAGGAGACATCAGGGCAGCCGTGCCGACTTAAATCTCAGACTCGCCTCGGCAGACCGGTTTCTGGGTTAAGATCAGGCCCTTCCGTTCGTTATTTCGCGTTTTTTCGCCGGGGCCCTATGCCGCGCGAATGCGCAGACCTCGCAGCATTTTAAAGCGGCTGACAGACAAGTCGGCTCGGAGACAACGAGACGTCCATTTTGTTTCTCCTTGCTCGCCGGCTTTGCCCACTTCGCTCTTCTTTAGCTTAGGGGATGCTTTTCTTTATCTTTTTTCTTCTTTCTTCCTTTATTTACCACCATCCCTCGATACGATTTCTATTTTCTTTTATTCTACCGCAACGACCTCAGCCTTCTCCTATAGTGCCTTCGTGCTTTTTACTTCTCTCTTTCTCCATCTGACTCCCTTCCATACCACTTATTGTCCTTGTCTCGCTTGCACTCGTTACCCGAGGACTCTTCCCAAGATCGGTGTAATAATAAAAGGATCACAACACAGCAGCACAGGAACTGCTTTCCCAATAGGGACCAGTTCAGCGCCAAGTCCAGGTACCGTGGTCTGAAGTCTCGAATCATGAAAAGGTAAGTTCGCCCCTCTAGATCTCATTCGCGTCCTCCTCAAGTCCTTTTGGGTCCATCGAAAAGTCGTTCCAGAAAGCATCGATCTAAATAGCGTGTCCTACAACCCAGACAAACTTTTCCAGTTGGTTGAGCAACGCTGAAGTAAGCGACTGCTTCCTAGTGAACGTACCCCACGGATGATCGCAAGATGGCGGTAGCCACATCCGGTCGAAGCATCGGCCACGTCAATTACATAAAGATTGGCCGCTCGGAGGTTAGGAACATTCGAGCCAAGAAATCGAGGCCCTTCCTCCTCCTTCAAGATGCGCCATCGGCCGCCACTGTCAATTATGCTCTGTCTATTCCCGGAAGGCCCCAAAATTACACGTTGCCGGGGATCCTCACTGTCAGACTGAAGAATCTTCCATTCTTAACCGTCGAACCCGCCCAGAAGGCCAAGACGAAGGGACTGGGCTCACCGGGATACGTAGCCAGGACGCGGCTCCATTATATGTTACATAACGTCATTGCTTAATGAGGCCAAGTAATGTAAAGATCATTCGAGTAGCTATACGTGTCTGTCAACCAGGTCCAATGGCAATGACGTACACAAGCGTAGCCGGCTGATCCCCTCTGGGTCGTTTGTCGTGCTTGGTACTCCTCGTGTAAGGTTAATCCTTTCATTTGTAAGACGAGAGCGAAGGGGGGAGATCACGTGGAGAACGATAGCGGCCCTCTTTGATGTTGATACCGAGCAGTGAGTAGCGACCACCCGGTACGATATTACTATATCTTCTCTCTGATAATAATAACAACAACAGTCAATACACGTTTGAATGGCCATCGTAAAATGAAGATCTTGACAAGTATTTTTTTTTTCTTCACAAATTTACAGATACGTACTTGCACTCCTAGGTACCAAGGTAAGCACTGGTCAAGGATTTATGTCTTGGTCGACTGAGCTCGGCCGATGTGAATTATTGAGTTTCCATTTGATTTACCAAAGACTTTTGATGGTGAAAATCTCTGTGGATCATTTAACTGCTAATTGTACGATTCGATAGGGGAATCAGAATCCTGTACGGTACGTCTGCTACGACGATCCTGACCTCCGTCTTCTGTTATTCACGTGGATAAAGGTTCTTTGATCCTAACACCGGACGTCCTTCTCCTCTTCGTTCTCTCTGAAATCACGCAGGTATCTCTCACGATCTCCGGAGTGTAGTCGATGGACTATAGAGGGACAAAGAGGGAGTAGAGATGGGGAAGAGAGAGAGGGGCGTGTAAGGTGAGCGAGAGAGGGAGGAAGACAGAAAAGAGAGAAGTCACAGCCGACAAAGAGACAATTTTCTTACCTCGCTTGTCCAACGGGCAGAATGCCACGGTACTCAAACCGTTTCGAAAGGCAAAATCTGCCGTGGAGTCGGAGTTATTTTCGTTTAATTATATCCCAAGTCCTTTTGTGAATGTCAAGCTGAAGAAAAAGGAAGTACGAGATACGGAGTAAAGAAAAAGAAAAAAAGATTAGAGAGCGGGAAATTTAAAAATCATTTCGCTCCTACCAAAGTTACCTGTTCATCTAGATATTCCTAATTCACGCTGCCTGACAGCCGTCCTTTATACGTATCTGGTTTTAATGGACGCGCTCCGTAGACGCCGAGGAGAACAATGCCGTCTTAATGCGGCCTTAATAACGTCTCAAAGATTCCGACTCAAGGGCCCTGCAGGCATCCGGACTGTCGAAGTGACCAGCGGAAGAAAAAGATACTACGAGATTATGAGGTCGACGTTCTCCACCACGTTACGTTCTTGTACCATTCTTTATCCTATACCTGGGGATACCTGTATACCAGGTCTTCACCGGGGAACTCAGCTTCCCTGTTAAGGTAGAGAATCCAGTGTGTTCCAGGGCCGTAATAACCGTAACCCACGCGAAGGCACCTCATACATTCACGGAGATCCATTCTATAAGAATCCCAGGTATCCAAGAAAATTCCCAGTAGAAAACGAGCGAAGACAACCCCGTCGATACTTCTAGTGCAACGCACACCTAGGTTATTATTTTACGATTCTCGGTAAGCCAGATCCGACTGTCAACAAAGGCTAGGCAGCAAGATAACGTGCTGTCTTCTATTTTTTCTCCCTCTACAGTCTGACAGCAGTGAGGGCACGCACGGAGACAATTCGCCATGACTCTGTCGAGACTGGTGTCGCCACCTACAATAGTCAAACATTAACATTTACCGGACACCGAGTTGACTCTGTACGCCCGCCGTTATTCTTTCAGTCTATTTATTTAAACTCAATTCGTTTTATAACCTACCCAGGGATCCCATGTTTTCCTCGAGATCCCGAACGATCCTTCCAGGAATAGATAATTCGACCGCGACCATTATACCTATACGTATAATCCCGAAGAGTCAGGATTCGACATGAAAACTGCATTAAGACGAATGGCCCGACGTCGTTTGATGATTGCCGCCATGGATAAGATAAACGTTCGTCCACGAGGATTCCGAAGAGACGCTTCTGTCTAACTCGTACATACAAGTCGATACAGGTACGGTCCTGGCGTGTCGTTAATTAAAAGCCTCTTGATACCACTTATACGAGTTAATTGCGATAGCGAACGCCAGCTTTCCTAGACGTGAAAAGTTGTCTGATGGAAATACGATTATAAGGTATCGATTATTGAGGTAGATCGATATCGGCGACGTTCAGGCTCCTACGGAAAGAGGCCGTATGTCTATTTCGGATGCCAATTAGATATACTGCATATTCTATGACGAGCAGCTGTTCCTAAAGCAAATCCAGTCCATTCCAGGCGCTCTCTCTCTCTCTCTCTCTCCTTTACGGTATACTGAACGTGTACCTGATTCCGAGTTATCTCGCACGGACTGTAGATTGACTGGCGTGGCAGCGTCGTCCCGCATGTGAACGCGACTTTAAGCTCGTATGGGCTTACACGCAAGCGAGGTATTTATAGCCGAGGGTTCACTCTCACTCGCTCAGTTTTATTATCGTAATAACATTATGGCGGTCGCTTTTGAAGCTCCGACGAGCAAGACGAGCTGACGAACACCGGCGTAGTTTGTAGCCGAGTGGCACGTCAGTGCGTTCTACTGTACTCGCGTGTTAGTCAACGCGGTACTGGAGGAGTAAGGAATAGAGGAAAAAAGTATGAAAAAAATAATTGACCAATTATCCAACGATCTGCTAAATTGTCTGCTAGGCAACCATGCGCGATAACGAGAGAGCAATAACATTAAGATAATAACAAATTGCACTTAATTCGCTAAGAAATTCTTACGAGTCGTCTTAATCGAAATTTCTTTTAAACTTATAAATTAATGAAAATTTTTGCAAAATATTCATACAGCATAAACGTACCCGTACACCATGACACTGTAAGCTTCTACATATTGGTAAATGCATATTACGACTTTTTCTTCGTGAAATGGCAAAACCTGTACGATTCGCCTGGTATAATATTCGCTGGAAGGGAAGTCAGTTAGTGAAAGATAAATAAGAATTCCTTAAAGAGAATATTTTAATAAAAGAACCTGAATTCTGTCGAAAGTCGGAGAGCAAAGGAATAAGACGTAATGAAAATATAAAAAAGAAACAAACTCCAGGAAGAGAGGACGGTAATTGCAGCCGAGCGTTAATTGTTTATCCAATGATGAAACGTGCCGCCATAACCTCTTCGAACGCATCGCCATCCCTTGTCGCTCGTGTGCCTTGCATAAAATGCGAAAGCTAATTGCAGAGGAAGGAAAGCACGTACCAATGGAATATACATTGCAAATTAAAGCTGCAAGAATGTACCTTGATGGAATAACAGCAAGAGGTGTATCCCGTTCGTATACTCGTACAGCGGACGCCGCCTCGAAGTAGCTGACATGCGCACGAGAATTTACCGACCGAAGTTAAGCGCAAGTGGTGACGCCAGACGTTCGATTGAAAAGCTGAAGTCCGTAGAGGATAAGGATGGGAAAGTCAACATTGCAGATTCCTCACGACGTACAAGATACAAGAGTACTGATAAAAAGATGCTGATAAGACATCTGGGTGACTTATTCTAATTATTGCAAGAAATGCACGTATCCGTTGTTAATATTCCCACGCTGGAATATCCGGGCATTTATTTCCTTTCTCTTTTTATTACTTCCTTTCTCTTTTATTATTTATCTTTCCTAGGTACCTCACTAGCTTTAGCGAGTATCACTTTGTTCCCCGTGACAGACTTTGATGTTTCACACTGAGATACTCAACTTGGCCACCGTGGACTCAGCTGTCGGACATCAAAGCTTTTCAAACCCTCGTAACTCATCTAAGCAAGAAGTCGACGAAGCGTCTAAGCTAACGTTATTCTTGTACTTATTTTTTCTTCTTCTTGCTTGGCCCCTTCCGGGAATCAGAGTACAAGGATTATTTTGGAAAATTGAAAAAATAAAATTATAAATCCCTAACTGTCTATGCACTCGATTCTCCGTGTGGGATATCTTTGCGAATATCTTAACTGTCGTTCACGTGGATTAGGGTGGGTTCACACTGAGCTACGTAACCGTAGTCGGTAACAGATCCCCACCCCAGGCTGATGTAGTCAGCTGGTACTAAGAGGCAAATGTGACTATAACGGGTGTGCATCACGTCAAGTGGGTTCAGACACGACTTCCGTGCATCTGAGCACTCGAAAAAGATCAAAGGCCACTACTGAACAAACATTAAGCTTTTCAGGATCCCCAGTAGAGATCCTGTCGGAAGAGGTTATCCGCTCTTTAAATACACTAGGATGTTGTTCCAGATATCCCTTCTGGAATAATACGCACGTGAACTTGATGCCAAGAAAAATTATCACTGGTCGTCCAGATATCAATTATAAAAAAAAAAAAAAGTATAAAATTGCCTCATAACCATAAGGATCACTGGTTTCGTTAGCTTTTCACAAGGTAGATGCAATAAAAGATTAGTCCCATAACAGCATACATGTATATATATATATATATATAAGTTCCCTGTCAATGGTTATCAGTCTCTCGTGTTATCTCGAAAATGATTTACAGAATCGAACGTGCGGCTCTCTTTGATCTTATCAGAACCACGTTAAACCCACCTATTATATACGATTTCGTTTTTCTATCCGACATCGGACCGTCTCGCTGGACTGAGGCGTCCCTTGGTAATCGTTCTGAAATCAATTTCACGTGGTCAACGAATATTTTTACCAGGTTGAACTAATTTTCGCCAAGTTCGTTCGCAGTCTAACGAGACACGTGCGTGATAAGTATGACAGTCAATGAAGATCAGGTTAACCCGAACCTCGTTAAGAATAAGAAAGATAATGACGCTGCTAACAAAGGGTAAAGGCGATTCCATAGAAATGCGATTTCATGGAAACCGCAATAATGACAGGGTGCTTCAATAGACTTTTAATAAAAAGAAACAATTCCTCAGAAGCACCCAACTCATCGATATTTTCAATGCGGATCCTTTTGAGAATTTTCATTTTTTTGACCATCCCTTTTTCATCCCCTTGTCGAACGCACCCCGAAGGTTCTGATCCAAGCATATAAGCCAAACCTGTATACTCTTTGGTATCCTTGTATGACTCTCTCTCTCTCTCTCTCTCTCTCTCTCTCTCTCTCTCTCTCTCTCTCTCTCTCTCTCTCTCCCTCTTCTACAAAACAGCACGCATGAATTGCATCACTGTAAGAAGCTGCCTTGGTACGTATGCCATTTTAATGCAACCAAGTAACCATCAGCATCTATATATAAAACTGCACACGTATACCGAGTGTTCCAATACGACCAGTATAAATCATAAATTAATACCAGCTCAGCGCAGCTCCAGTTTCTTTAACTCGCCTCTCGATCCTCGTTTATTTCGATTTCTGGCCGAGGTCCGACGTTAAAAAGGCAGCCCGACGTTTCATGCACGCACGAGGTACGATTCGCTACCCCGAATCTCATACAACGTGCTCTCGATGCAGTGTATGCTCGATGAATAAAAATAAACTTTCATACAAGAGATTAATCTTTGACGGATGCTGGGTATATTTATCTGCTGTTGTTCTGAGAAATTGAAAAAATTTCTTTTTCCCCTCTTCGCTCCATTCAAATACACCCTAGGTACCCAGCTGATATACAGTCACAGCGTGGCAAAGGCCATATCAGGGGATTAATAAGCGATAGAAGATCAAAGCTTCGAACAAGATGGCCGAGGGTCATTAGTAGCGATGAGATGAATCAAAATCATTGGAGCGTGTTGCTTTACCAGAGGACTGCCTCTCTTGCTGTCTTATATCTATACGTGCTTACGGTCCATATCCGTTCACCTTAATTCTCTGCCGTCCTGATACGTTTTCTCCTCTCTTTCTCCCACTTCTCCTTCACTCGCTTCGCTGGTACACTCGCAAGAGTCCAGGCGCATCTCCACGGGGGGACGTAATTAGAAGCCTATTTCACGTACTTCTTCTTTATTTTTTCGGAGAGCCTTCAGACTCCTTTTTTTACTCTCTCCTCATTCATTTATTCTCGTGATGACGAGAGATACACGTGTTCGACGTTGGACCCCCGCAGTTAGAAGCCATTGGCGTCGGTACGGAGTACCTGACGAACCTCCATAGAAAAAAAAAATTTTTGTTTTGAAAAATATTATTTACAGGTTAATTATTTTTATCCCATTTGGCATATATGGGATTTTATGAAAATTTGTATTCATTAAAATCCAACCTTTTTATCTCCAGCGACCTCAGGTCCATTCGCAATTATCGCTTTGGCATTGAATTCACGAGCGTAGCCTCGGTACTGGACTTTTAGGTTATGTTCAACCGTCCGCCGCGTTACGCCAATGCAGAGATGTAGTTACTTGCTACGAAGCAAGATGTTATGAGCGATAGCTCTCGAGGGTAGATACAGAGTTGTCATGCACGGCTGGATCGCCGAGGAGGAAACAGATACGAGAGTCTTGCCGGGAGATGGTTAAAGGCCACGATTCGGAGTCCCGGGCCCAACTTTAATAGCAGTCACAATGGTCGGGGCACAGTCAAAGGGGCACCAATAAAGGCGAATCTCCAGTTGGGCGATTTGATTTTTTTTTTAGCGTGGAACTTCGGGCTGCATACATGGGGAATAGAGAGGAACTACAAGAAGGTAGTATGCAAGCTCTTTATACACCTGGTGTTGTGTAAATATAATTTACGTATGTATATAGAAATGAAAATTTTACGTATACCGAAAATACCTCTTCTATATGAATTCCAATCGGGTCTTCTCCTTCCGTTTAATCTATACGAGGTAGATGGGAGGCTGCAATAAATTCTTCAACCGATATTTGTCGATTAACGCTGCAGCTGTAACGAGAGCACGCGGGGCACCATCGTCGGGGTGGGCCTAATACTTTAAATCCGACGGACATCAAAAGATAGTGATAACGCAACTGCTGGATGTATTGGGTCTATAATATTTTATTTCTCTTGCCTCTATCTCTGTCTCTTCACTTGCTGATAGTATGTTGATATATTGTACGTCAGTTAAATTTTACCGCAGTCGGTCGCTTTTACTGCTTTTTCATAGCCGAGAATTTCGTTGCGATAATTTTTCATAATTACATGTCAATTCCAAGAGCCCTTATCCGTCGTATGTAAACGCGTGAAAATTCGGTTGATTATTTTAAAAATAGATTTTTAAATGTCATATTAAGTTCGTGTGTCGAAATAATTTAAAAAAAAAATAAATATTAATCAATGTTCTATCTTCTTGTTTAGCTTTTCATAATATTCAGAATTGAGAATAATTCGATAAATCTCATTCAAATTTTCTAATCCGAAATTCCCCTTGCGTGCTCGCGCACTGTTAATCGTACTAGGGATTTTTATGTTTTGGCTGTGCCGGACGGTTGGTACGAACGGCATGATTTCTCTATGGTGAAATCGTGATAACCACCGTAGAATATCAGTTAGGCACGACGCACGATACTGTTGTGGAATCGTGATGAACCCTGTGACCACAGCTGCCGTTGAATGACGGAGTGCGATTTTGTAATTACGTGGATCGCGGCATAAGATACGTATATAAGCCGGGGCCACTTCACTCGGCAGCCTTTTCCAAAAATAACAAATTTCACGTCCTTAGCGGCTCGTCGCGCCGCCCTGGAGTTAAACATGGCGGGCCCCTCGTGAGAATGCTTCTCAAACAAACTCGATGGTTTTATTAGGCGTCGACGAATCTTTATGCGCGTATCTGGAAGCTGTCTCGGAAAGACAAAAAAGATGGTACGAGTCTGGATGATATTAGTGTCAATTATTTCAATAATTAAATATACCTAGACTTTTGCGTATTTACGTAACACCAAACGAAGGTAACGAAAAATCGAATCGCATCGGAGGCCTGTACATTCAGAGTTATTAACACGATATTCAGACCATTCGAATTCTATTACAAGACTATTTCGAATGACTACATAAAACCTGTGCACAGTCGGTAAAGAAGTATAAAATTCGGGACACGATTTCAATCGGCAATTAATTAAGTACGAAGAATCTTTACTAGTATCCAAATTGGATTAGAGCCATGAAACCATCTTCTGTATATATGTATGTATACAGAAGGATATACGTAAAGGGGAACCAGAGACTGAGTTGGGTTTCGAAAACCGGCTTCCAACTTTACTGCGTTTCATTCATTAGTCTTTTACGAGGAGCCACGAGTTTTTCGATCGTTTAAACTTCGTCTGTCTCTGCGTCATTAACCGAAGCCCAGCGTCGTGTACTCGGGCCGTCAAAAGTATTTCAACATAACCTAGCAGTGCTTTAACCTTTGACACGGCAAAAAGTTATTACGTTACGCATCATCTTCACGCCATGAAATCTTATATGAATCTTCAATCCTGTAGCAAGTATGTATTTCGATAAGATCGATCGAGTTTACGTACCCAGGTCATTCCGAGTCTAACTTGAAAATTAATCCAATAAAGTTTCCAAGTTCTACGCACAGACAGCGCTACGATTTCTCTACGTCGGCAGACGAAGAAAATTACTAGGACTAAAAATGTATCGTGAACGTCGAGGTGACAAAACGTGCACGCGCTCAGTTTACAGAGATTAAATTTCTGACAGTAGCAGCTGATTGATCGACCGACAGATATCTAAGGGATCCTAGCCGACACATGTGGATGCCTCTTATGCACGTGCGTGTGCCGCAGAACAGAACTGCATTGGAACATTAAAAAAAGATGAACGCAGAGCCAGTACTGAAGTGCAGTTTAAATAAATAATACAGACTGGCCTAACGGGAACCTGGGCAACGGGCAATTATATCTTAGGTATAGTTTAGAGAGAGAGAGAGAGAAAAAAAGAAAATGGGAACTAGTCCATAATCGAAAGCGATAATGACTTCCTATACACTATGTCGGCCGATCAAAAGATCCTTTGACGGCATGTTAATGCACCCATAAGGCAGATTACAACTTGCAGATGAATTATCTTACTCTGGTCCATGCGTATATACAATTATAGAGTATGATCCTGGCACTTCTCAGAAGAAGCATTGTTATGGAACCAGGAACAATGGGTCTGACCTCTCTGGCAGTGTTAACATGGCGCCAAGTAGACATAACCATAACTATGATTTAAGAAAGAGAGTGAATTTACCCCACGTTCAGCCTGCAGTTGATCCTCGTGACCCATGAAGTTGGGCATTGCTGTTAAGTTATAACGTAGTCCACGACAGAAGGAGACGGTGAGTCTTTCGCACTTTGTATTTGGGCCAGGATGTCCTCCGTGATTGATGCCCCAGGCTGACACAAGGGTGATTGTGGCCAGGGTGAGCATCGCTTTCCACAAGGTATTCATTTTTGAGAAATATCTACGTTTTCACTTGGTATCAAACTGAAGCAAGACTCCTCTTTTTATCCCGTGTTACGCCTTAGATCATAGTAGATCGTACGACGTCATGTCAGGATCTGACAACTGTTACGAGTTTCATGTTTTACTTATTCACTTACTAGTATCCAATGATTCTACGGAGTTTTTCTCTTTTGATAAAATGCCCCACTTACATTTCGTTAATTTATAAATACGTGGGAAAGCTGTTTTCTTCGATGGGCAAAGTGTTCTCGACAGCTTTATGGGTTATGTACTATTTTCTTGTATCCCTTGGCCGAGTCACTGATTGATTTATTAGATTGTGTTAAGATCTTAGAAAATACTTTGTTTATTCATGATGAAATAAGTCCCAAAGTAAATTCCGCGCGCGAAACACGTAAACAAACTTCGACGCACACGGAGCAAACGAGACGCGCGTCCACTCCGTTCGGAAGTTCGGAACAGACTGGTCGGAGGAGCATCGGGTAGGTTCGTATGGACTCGTTCGCTCCCGGCCGACAATAGGTCCCAAGAGTAGAGGGCATCATCTGTCTTCTTTTACCCTCTTTTTACTTTCTCGGGCCCTATTATTTTGAGCCCACCGCCGCGACTGATGGAGGCAATCCCGCAGGCGTAATTAGGAACAAAGAGAGCGACGAATATATAGCAGACCGTACAGAATTCGGTCCAATCTTTATTACTATTTTTCAAAATGGCCAAGGAAATATTTTATCAATGACAAACATTTATATTATTCAAATAATTTTGTCATAATTTTATCTAATACAACTCTTGCGACTTAGCCTACCCCTTTTGCAAACTCGTGGTGAATAATTGGAACCCTTAGGGCTCGTTTCTATGTCAGACAAAGGAAACCTTCCTTTTCCTTCCACGTGAATTCTGATTACCCATCTGGTGCACATGAGATCGGGTTGCCCTGCATGAGACATTCGTCTCTCGTCCCCATCTACCCCACACATGTTTTGTGGGCTACACCCCTTTGTACGAATTTCATTATAGGGTACAATGAGACCCGCCGGCTCGCGGTACTCACAAGGGCGAACAATGCTTTAATGGCAAGTGGGTTCTAATAAATTCTATTATTCTGTTTGGATATGTCCTTGGAATAAACTTCAGTCATGAGCATACGGTATAGATTTCCACGGAGGATCAAGGGATTCGTATAAAAACCATTGAAACAATGAAAGCGATGGGATATGACGTGACTGTGCCATAAACAGAAGTCCAAATTTTATCTAAAAAATATAAAAATTTTAAACTAACAACACAAGATAAATTAATCATAACTTTTCATAATTTATCGAATAATTGCTCAACTCACAGGTTTTAACGGTATTACATACTTATAAAAATTCGTTTTGACGTAGTCCTTAAATTTCTGCTACAGGTGGTCACATGACAAGCGTCTAATTATGGCGTTGAAAATTTTTCGTTGCACATTACACTTTTTGAATTTTTTCAAACATTACTTGGAATCAGATTTACCTGTCGATGTTCATCCTACGAATCCAATGACGCTCTCTGATGTACAGATAAAAAACGTTAGTAACAGTATAAAAACGCATAATTAGCACTTTCACATTTGAGGGAAAATGAGGCGGCGCGGGCGAAGGCATCAAAGGGCCCGGATACCTAACCTGTCCCGTCGAGTTTCTTTAGTCTCCGCTTCTTAGCTGGTACACCGAAGTCTCCCCGTCCGTCCGTACGACTCTACGCTTCCAGCATCCGTCCATCGGCGGGTCCGTGGGCGTAACAGACCGCAACCGTGGCGGCCTTAAGGCTCAAGAAAAAAAAGGGACCAAAGGAGGCCGAGGAAAGCCCCGAAATCGTGTTAACGCGTACAATAGAACAAGAGAACCAAGCTTTACTCGAGAGAATCTAGTCTCTAGAATTCAAGACGCCTCTAGGACATTACTCCGTTGTTTACTTAGGTCGAAGGTTAAATTAAAACTGTGCACACAATACCTACGTGGATGCTTGACGCAAGAAGCGTCTGTTAAAAAAAAAGTCACATTTTTAATTAAAAAATACGTCATACCTTGGAACAATGCGAATTATGTTTCCTCGTAGCTTCAGCAATTTTTAAATTCACGTCACTCGGTGGAAATACCAGACGTCGACTGAGCTCGAAATATATGTAAATCCTCTAGACGGGTATACTCCGTCCCGCGACAGAGATCTATATCTGAAAACAGAAGGCCCTAAAGGTTGGCACGAATGCTAGTACGCCCTGGTGTCAGGACGGGTTACTACGCGTAGCGACGAAGTGTGAACCGACGATGGATCATCCGTATTCATTTTTCTCCCAGTGCCTCAAAGATTCTCCTCTTTTCGAATCTTTCACGGTGCCAGAGCTGTCTCTGTGGATTACAATCCCACGGGCTTCACGGGACATTACGTGCGGCAATGACGCTTAAGAAAAATACGTATCTGCACGACGGTCAAGTCATCCTAGATTAATACAACGTGACTTTAGCTACTAGCAACGAAAATCAGTAAGGTTTTGTATCCCCGGTGTATCCATATTAATAGAAATTCATAAATATCTAACGTAACCTCAAATTCTCATGTCACTCCCATGCGAAGCAGACAATATACAAAATCGTGCATCGTGTATCCTAAGAGTACATGCTTCAGTTTTATTCCAGGAAGAATATTAAGAGTGCGCCTCGTTTTCTATCGACACTCGTAATTCGATCGTTCGCCGCATGATACGACGTGGCGCCCATAAATCCCCCTATGGATTTTAATTAAAGGCCCCACGGGGCCCCTCAAGAGCCCTACTATAACTTCGGCCCTGCTGAAGGAGGTACAGGACTAACCATAGCTTGTGTGCTTCCATATGTATACATAGGTAAGCACTATATACTCTCTTATTCTTCCCCCGGTACTTTTTGAGTGCGTTCAGATTTATTTATCGCGCAGTCCTTTTCCAGCACGCTGCCGCTGTATTAGCCGCCCTAATGAACTCGTGCGTCGCTCGCCCAAGTCGACGCTTTATATTATTTATCGCCTGTACGCGAGTTATTTCTACTTGCTTCACTCGCCTTGGAGCAACCCTCGTTACGGTCTGACTAGACATGAAATAATTGATCTTCATATGTATACTGTAGACTTTGTATACATATAATATATATACGTATACATAATATAGTGAAAGAAAATAAGGTACTCTTCATATGAACGAGGCTTAAGACTACATGATAGTTAATATATCTATATACGTAGGCACCGAACACTTTGGAATCGCTGGAACTCAGTCAGCTAGGATGAATTCTGCGTTGAAGGACTTTGAGATCTTTGTTCTCGGCAAGAAGAAGAAATCAAGGAGACGCAAGAAGATCCTGGCTCGTGGATTCTGTAGGAGCGATTCCCTGCGACATTCCGAGCAAAGTCAGCGACGTGTCTTCGGCTTCCACGCATTTATTAGCCGCTTGAATCCTCCCTGTAAAAACTGGACTCTGATCGAACTGGACTTCACGTATGCGAATACGTGGCGAAGTGAGCTCGAGGTAATGTAATAAAAACACATATGATAGCTACATAGGAATTCGTATGCGTGCTACGTGCTACGACTAGGAACGCCATATTGTGTATCTTGAGAAAAGTAATAATTTTTTTATTTATTGCAGGCACAAGACGTTCCCTAGTAATTTACTCATGGATTCCTCGATTCATAGTAATACCTAATACGTTTAGGGGTATACTTAATCTTTTGGTCTTAAATTTTAATAGACGTTTTATGGGAATCTTGATTGATACGAATACTGGTCGAAAGCTTTTACTACCTCCCGCGACGTGGATATTCACGTGAGGTTATGTTATATACCTTTTATGTACAACATAAAGGCACATACGCAATGCAGTGTAAAGGCGGTTACGTACACGGGCGAATTCCGTCTCATAAGAAGCCATCCAATTCCTGTTCCCATCTTCGAGAAGCGGCAGCTGAACATCTCATTGTTGCCAGCGGGAACATCTGAGAAGAGAATAACGTAGTGGAAACGAAATGGAGTTCACGAACGGGGAACGAAGTGGATAGGGACTGGCTGGGGACGTATCAAAAACTTGTCCCCGTGTTTTTCGTGAGGAACTAGGGAGTGGGTAAAATGGCGATGTACGTTGTAGGATAGGATAAAAATGAAAGCGGAATTTTTGAAGGCATACGATGAAAAACTTGAAAATCCACAGTGGCATCGTGCGTCGATGAAATCCTATTATTTTTATTATTTTCATTCTGTGCTTTTTTCTCCGTACCTGTGCGCTCTCAATTTTGTCTTCAGACAATGCTTAATACTCGGAATCGTTTGAAGATCAGAAGCCGACCTCGAGAATCCTTTAACGCACGAAGCTTAAATCCGTTCTCTATTATTATACTATTCTTTGTCTTTCTTTTCTCCCTTTTTTTTCTTGCTCTTCCGCATTTTCGTCTCGACCTATCGCTAGAGACTGCTACGTAATTAAGGCGTATATCGTATTACCCCCTAGTCTTATGTGTTGGTGTGCGCGTGCACCGTTGCATAACTCAGCAACATAACCTAAGAATCTCTTTCGATTTAACTACTGAACAAAATGGGAGCTTGGTAGTGCTAGGGATTTTTTTTAGAGTATAGGGACTTTATATCTACCAGCTCCTCGTGCCAGTCTCGCAATTAGTTCCAGATTCTGATTCCAAGGAATTTCCTTTGATCCATGTATAGCCAAGGACCCAACAATACTCCAGGTATACGCATCCTGGGCTTTACTCTTTGTGGACGATCCTCCTAACGTATTACGTCCAAGCATATATACTAAATACCGCAAATCCTTTATCAGGTCATTCAGGAATCACTGGAGCGAAAAATAAAAATTCACTATACCCACAAAAGAATCTTTAGGTATATTTTAACGTTGCTTATGGATATTTGAACTGTCTATTGAAATATTTTAAGATCGACTTCCACGTGGGAAACGATTAGCGATAATTTTTTTGTATTATTATCTAATGTGTTATACGTTTAAGTATTTATAGTGCAAAACGCAAAAACCACCAGGGCACGGTAACGTTCGAAGTCTCAGTTAAGTGGAGTCGCCGTTTCGCTGTGAAATCGAGAGTAAAAAATTCGCATCTTCCTCATCCGGTTGCCATGCCAGAGTGCGGCACATGCGCGGCTAATTACGGTCCTCTTTGATGAGCCGACAGAGACTCTTCGTGTTGCACCAGCCGTCAGTGCAGTTGCAGCTGCACATGAAGCATAACGTGTTCACCAAGAGGCGGCATTATTTTAGATAGACTTGAACTTTTGAAAAATATTACACGAAGTTACAAGCGTTTTGAAGAAGACGTTAATTATATTTTTAATTACTTAAAAAATTCGCTAACGACTTTTCATAATTATTTTCAAATTATTATCCAACGATTATTTAATTGCTAGCGCGTTACGCGTTGTGCCTTTATGTATGTCTAGTAAAGGAAGAGGCTTCAGGCCCTTTCGAGGGACTTACGAATCGGTGCACGAAGACACCGCTTTTGGGACCAATTCATTAAAGCCGCCCAGGGCGGCGAATGATTGCTTATAGCCTATATTTCAAGGGGAGCATTAAATCCATGTTATTAGGGGTTATTACCGAGTAATGAGAGACCGTCGCTCCATTTACGTATCTGCCTGCCTTCTACTCGTCTGCAGGAAAACACGTCATTTCCCATAGCAGATTTCTGTTTAGGATAAAATATAAATTATCATCAACATTTAATATAGTATTTATTATATATTTTTAAACAAAAAATATGTACAGAGTCGATGTAAAATTATTTTTTTTAAGAAAAAAAATTTTGAAAATTTGTATCCGTAGATTGTTTTCCTGACAAGGTAAGAAAAAAAAAATATATATATATATATATATATATATACGTATATACTCACAGGATCCTTCTGACGTTTTGATTTCGAATTTCGCCGGGGGGCCCAATGACGGTTCAGCTTCCTTGCCCGTAATTGTTTAACATTAGAAGTCCCAAATTGCAAGAGGCGCTCCTTCGCGTTGAAATGATGCATGTGTATATAATGTGTACGTACAGCAGGGCCCCGTACAGTAATATCTTCTCTTATTCCAGGGTTGGGCCCCATACCAGGCTTCGGCGTGGTAATGATGGGTCTGGGGTCTCACGTATCTCGGAGGTGTGACCCTACAGGCCTCTATGCTGTACCATTTTATACTAAAGTCTAACACGTAGACGTACAATATCGCAAGTCCCCGGTGTTCTATACGATATTAACTGTATTATATTCACTATACTAGAGTCTCGTGATCGATAAAGATGGCGGTCCTCCCATATCAAAATCACATCTATCCTGTATCTCGTTGTCTCATATTTTATCCATCAGTTTCCTTGGTAGTTATAGTTCCAATTACGTAAGCCACTTCTTGGCAGAGTTATATCAGACATTTTTCTAGGAAATCAGGCCCAATTCGACTCCAACCTATAAAGGGTCCACGAGTAATCTTTAGACGAGACCTACAAACTGCTTACTGATTCGCTACAGTCAGTAACACGCGAGCTAGCGGAGATTCACGGAGGTGTAATTTAAATTTATAATAAAATAAGCATCGGTTATCGTCCTGTCTAATCAGTATGCGTTTCTTTCGTTTCAAATTTCCCGCCTTCTCTTATCTTGCCTCCGAGGATAATTAAATGTTGTGTATTACATGGCAGCGGTCGAATGACCGAATAGACTATAGAGACTGAATTCGTAATTTGAAATTGGCGCCACTGTTAATAATATATGTTCTTTCACCAGGAAGTCTAAAGCCTATGACGCAACAGTGCAGATGCAACAGCCCTTTAATGGCTACATAGAAATTCACTAGGATTACGTAAACGCCACTGTTAGATAAATATCGCAGGATCATTTATACGAAAATAACAAGGTAGAGTAGCTCAGGAGAACTACATGATTCGAATTTAGTACGCAGTAGCACCGCCGTTTTAATTAAATTGAACGCTCGATCGCAATTATCGACCTTACCAAAGCTGATAATAGCCGCTTCTTATCGATCAGAATTACAGGATAATTTGATAGATCTTAATTAATAATAATATCGCTTCCGTTCACTGTGTCTGGGTATACATTTATTATTATCTCATTAATTGAAATTCAAATTTGCTGCCTTATCCTGTCAAACGAACTCCTATTACCGTACACTTCGTATTATCAATCATTTAATTAATATTTAAGGTTAAGTAATAATGGTATAAAAAATAATTCTTTATTTAATTTACAATAGTACGATACTTTTCAAAAGGTTCATAATTACATAATTATATGGCGATTATATGAGCAACGTTTTTAAATCCAACATGCCGACTATTATGTATATCAAATATTTGAGTCGCACCAGCACAAGGGAATAATGTTGTATCTTCGACAGAAAAAAGTCCAGCGCTAATGTTACTTTAATTACATGTCCGGGAGCACGTTTCGTCCATGGAATACGATCTGGGTATATTCGCTGATGTCCGAGAACGGTAAGGTTAGGTAAGTAAGAAGGTAGGCAGACAGGTACTATAGTGTAGCAGCTCGCGGGCATTACGAGTATGGTGAATCGCTGTGGCAGCCGCCATGCGGGAGATTTATCACTTTTTGTTGTTGGTGGCGTTTTATTAGTGCACCGCCACGATCAAAGCACAGGATGAATCTGCCTGGGGAATGTCTGGAGGAAGAAAGAGTATCGTAGATTGAAGTTATGGCAAGCAAAAACGTCGGAAGGAAAAATAACCTTAAAATTTGAAAAAGGATAAGGTAATGGATTTTCTCGAGAACTGCGGACAAGTTCTGAATTTAATTACAACGCGGAATGATTATTTCGACGTTTAGTATCGTAATGGAAAGGACATATTTGCAGAAGATAACTGGATTCACGTGCATCATTCGACTTTATCGACAGCCGATACTGTATGTATAATGTTTTATAAGATTGCCTCCAATCGTAATTTCTAATTAAGGCCACGGACTTCTGTCGCCATGCATTTCACAGTGGCACCCTCTTCGAAATTGTCATGAGAAAATGGCCTCGTACCGTTTTATTTCGTTAGCTCGACTCCAAAGAATTCGGACACGATGGACCCTGACTTCCTCATTAATTTTCAAGCCCACTAAGAGTTGCTCCCAAGATGCAGGAACTACAAGCACCGTAACCTCTTAACGTACCGATCGGACATAATGAGTTTCATTAATCTCAGCGCGCATAATCAAGTCTAACGACTGGTGCTATTAATTATTATTACCCACGGGTGAAGGCTGTAAGTAAAAATAGAACGTTTAGTAGAATTCTAATAGATAAATATAGTATATACAAATAGGAAAATTTGCAAATTACATCAATCTCCGTATATTTTTATGATTGTATAATTAAATTCCTTAATAGCATCCGATTATAAAAGCTGGTGATATTTTGTATGTAAATATTACACTCGTTAACAGTTACAATACACATTTTAGCTTGTTAGTTGCCAATATAATCTTTCTGGGATATTCTTGTAATTGGTGTAAACCAAGGAATCTGTGAATGTGTATAATTAATTGCAAGCAGCAGCTTGAAATTCATGCAGGTATCCGTGACAGTGGTAAATTAGATAAAACTTTATCGATATAAATCCTTCCTCTGAATATCTATCTCATGTTATCCTTTAATTAATCTGACTTATGTTAATTAACCCAAAGACCAATTAAGGCCTCGACATATGCGCGGCATGTGGCAGTACACTCGATATGTTTGCAGGTAAATGAAAAAGCAAGTCCGTAATAGGGTATAAAAATTGCTCCAGAATGATAAGAAAGATAGTTGGTGGATGTTTCAAATTTTCCCGGCAACTCGCCGACCAATTACGCTCTACTGTCGGCGAAACAAACATGGCGGGTTCTGAAGGAACTTCACCGGATTATAAAGGTAAGAAACGAAACGAGAGATACAGAAATGTACGAAGGGTACAGCGTGCAGCCGCGGTTGACCTTTTTAAGCCGTGAAGGGGAAATTCGATTCGCTTGGCGGGGCCTTAGACCCACCCTTGCAGGGCCCTACGCCATAACATAATGATCCACAGGGATGCTCAACCGTATACAGAAATCCTCCCATGTTCTCATTCATTTCCACGACACGTCGAGAAATGAATGTCGACACTAAGAATTTACAAAAAAAAATAACAAAAGTTAATGTCTGTTTCAGGAACAAACTGAACTCCACTCTCCTAGGCTGTATGATAGGTTATTACAGTGACAGCTATTAGGAGGTTCATGATCTTTCTTCTCACGTCAATTACAAGAATTATAACCGTGCGTTAAAGCGGCTCTTGGCGTACAGTGAAATGGACCAGTGTCGAGTGACCGAGAAAGGATGAAAAAAAAGATGTAATTAAAGATAAATAAAAAGGAAGACCATACGACGGCTTTCTTTATGGCAGCCAAAGCTAATTGACGTAAAGTGAGCCCACACGTCGGACAGAACACAAGCCCACATGTTCATTGTTCACATGGTACGATTCTATACAGTGCGTTATGTAAATGACACTCGATGCGTACAAGATGTCTAAATTTGTTTTCTTTTTTCCAAGGGAGTCTTGCGACACGCCTTGTACCCTGTATCCGGCCACTCGTTCCTGACTCTATCTTCTCGTGAAATGAGAAATTGACGATTTAACATGAGAGAGTGCCGCTCGACTATGTATACCTATATGGTGAAGCACAACCATGAAAACCGCGGTCGTTGTAAACCGTGTTTACGATAGAGTTTGCGACTGCGTTCACACCTAATACAGCCAGTGTGACGCGGTACTTTAATCTTATGTGCGGATGGACCCTGAAAGACTTTTTTCTATGTACTAAGTGCACCTTCAAACATTCAGGAGGTACAGAGTGCGAACGATTTGACGCGGTGTGGCGGTATAAACATGAAAGGGATTTCAAGAGCCGCTAATAATAAAACGGTCACTCGCAGCCGGCCTCTTACAACTGCTTTTATACCGGGTGTACCGATTATCAAGCATCACCTCCGAGTCTAATTGGACCGGCCTCTACTGCAAAGAGAAATTAGGACGTGGAAGGGACTATATTAATGCGTTTATACCTGAACCTAGGGAAAAAATTGCTATAGATCTTTTTTTTTCTTTTTCTTTTTCGATGACTTTTTGGGAGTGGTTCAGTTTTTCGAGGGGTGGGATTTTTTCGAAATTTTACCTGCGAGACTTACGGAGAATCGTCGTTCTGGGAATTAGCTTTTACTCTGGTATTTTATTGTTATTGGAAGAGGAATACATTTTTTTTGTTCTTAATACGGATTTCGAAATTGCTCTGTCGCAAGGTGGCGTTGCGGTATCCTAAATGTTGTGCGGATTCGCGAGTTTCTCGTCAGGACGAGACAGGCAGTTGGTGTGAAGGGGCGTACCCAGGGCCTGAAGCACTTCGTTCCAAGAACCATCATCTCCATCTCCTGGGACTCACGGTCGCGGCTGCAACACGCCGCAGCCCAACATCCTATAATACAGCATTTTGAACAGGCACTGCGGCAGGCTCAGCCTGCGGGCCGCATTTAGGGACTTTTTAGTTTTGTTGCGGAAATTAGCTGCGCGCCAGCTAGCATCAGGCCTCAGCGTCTTAATCTGGCCACCTCTCTCTCCCAAAAAAACACGCGTCGATTTTATTTACGATTAGTATCGCATGCTTTCACTCTTTTTTAATTCACGTTGTTCTTTGAAAATACTCAAGCGCAATATAATAGTCTAATAAATTAGTTATATATAAATACACCATGTATTATATTTCAGTGCCATTCCGCCTCAAAATAAATAACGTGATTCACATTAGCTGCGCAGGTTGTCTTGTGAACAACGAATTGTAATATGAATGCGAAGTTTAGAGCGATTTGCTAAAATTAGGAATTATACCTATGAGACTAGGTAATAAAAGCGACACGATCAGCTTTACAGGTTTTGATGTCTGACTGTTACGTGCTTTACTGAAAATAAATGGACTGGGATTTCAAGTATGCCTGAGCTTTGCAAGTTTTATATACTGATTTGAGGCTACAATGCTGACATCTGTGAGTGAAATAGTTATTGATTGGATAATGCGGATAAAATGTGCTCAGTCGTTAGGAGTTAGTTATCATTTATTTATCTATTGAGCAATCATCAGCACTTGATCGGTAACAGTGAACACTGCAATCACCACTGTTCTTATGGTACCGATTGGCTGTCAGATTAAAAAGTTCAGTACAGCTGTTTTGTGTTCTTGTTCAGTTTTGGCGGGTATATTTTGTGCAAATTTTCGGAATTGTTAATAACAATAATTACGTTTCTCTAAGATCTGGTGAAGAAATAGTTATTTGTCATGGGTGAAGCGGATGAGTTGTTGATTCGTAACGTAAAATCAATGCTAACTGCCAAATATTATAAAATGAATGATACATTTTTGAGGGATTGTATAAATTATTTTATTAGTGAACACGATTCTGTAAGTTTTATTGGGTAGTTGTAATTGAACAATTTTACATAGTTGTATGATAATGTACTGTGTGGGATAAAGGTGCGTGGTTCTCTTATGAAAATATATTTTAGCAAAATATTAATGAAATTCAAGATTTTGTGATCGCACAATGGCAACTGAATGATTTGAGAGAAATAAATACTGAAAATGGAATTTTTCCATCGAATCTTGTTCGCCAAGAGATTACAACATTAACAGGAACATATAACGTGCAGGTAATAATATTTATATATACTTCTTTATTTGTTTTGTAATTTGATTTATTATTTTGTTGCAGATGGACAAAATGTATGATATATCAGTTTCTAAATTAAAACAAATACATGAGATACGGAATGTCTCAAATTTTAATCTCGAAGTCACCGAAGCACAGAATAATGAATCACGTGACTGGAATCCAAAACCAAAGAGAATGTATCAATTCTTCCTTACTGATGGTATTCAGGATGTTATTGCTATTGAATATAAACCATTGCGTCAGTTTAAGGTATACGTGAAATTTATCATTCTTGTAACAAATCTATTTTTCAACTCTGTTACGTACTCAATTCCAAAACTGCTTTCCATTTTATGCTCGCAGGATTGAATGCTAGTAATTATTCACACATATTTCTTCAATAGGATGTCTTATTACCTGGTATTAAGTTAATGATAATCGGACCAGTTGTCTGTAGAAAGGGTGTAATACTGCTGGAAGAAAAAAATATCAAGGAGATCGGTGGTGAAATAGAAAATTTATTAATACCAAATGCATTAGAGAACGTCCTAGCTAGATCCCTGTAAGTATTATCTAAATATATATTTCATTTGTACAATGAAATATACAAAACTGTATTGGTTTTCTTAATATCAATGCAGGAATTTACCAGAAAATCCTAACCCGTATAAAGAAAATGAAACACCACCTGATAATTTAGAAAGTGCTTTCGAAGATGAATTCAACGTTGACGACATAATAAATATTGAGAATGAAAATACAGTGAATAATTATTCTGCTTCAACAACTAATGCTCATACTGACACAAGTACTAGTAATGAATTCAATGATCAAAACAAAGACAAAAATAATTGCCAAGTTACTCTATTAACGAACAAAAATACATATAGAAATAACTCTAATGATAAACCCCAGATGCAGAATACAAAAATACAGAATGCTGATGAATTTCCTGATGATTTGGATGAATACTTTGAACTAGCTGATAATTTTGATATTGATGTCACTGAGTCTGATATGTTACGCAATACTGGTGAAAAAAGTGCAATCGAACCGCGTCCAAGTACGTCAACAAAAGCAGTAGATTTGTTGATAACGAGTGATGAAACTAAATCAATGAAGGTAGAAGACAACAAATATCTTGTCGATGACATCATACAGTTTTCTGATGATGACTTTGAATTGTGTGATAATGTAGAGATAAAACAAATAAATGATATCGAACGTAAAATCGAAAACAAGAAAGAACCAAGTATAGGTGTAGAGTTTTTTGATGATGACTTTGAATGGTGTGATAATGTAGTGATGCAACAAATAAATGATATCGAACGTGAAATCGAAAACAAGGAAGAAACAGGTATTCTTAAAAAACAGAACACAGGAATACAAGAAACAAGTACGAATGTTTCTGAATTATCACAGCTGAGTCTCAATAATACAAAAACAGATTCAGCATCATCAAAGCCTACAACAAGTTCTGGTTCTTCGAATCCAATTATATCTACAGTGACCAAAAACAAGAGACCAGCGGTATGATTTCTGTTTGTGTCCAAATTATGAGATAATCGTCCTGTTATTTTTTCTTTAATAATTGTAGTCGATGGTGTCCCCAACTATGGCAAGTCCGCCAAAAGTCAAATGTGTCCAAGAAACACCCAAATTGAGTAAAATCGATAAGAAGATAACCAATTTTACTGTAAAACTCAAACTGGATTCAGAGGAAGCCCCGAAAACTCACATTTCCATCGGTGACGTCTTAATGTTACCAGTTTCTGATTGTTCAGTACGACATATTATTAAAGCAAAAGTCGCGAGTTTTGATACGCTTGGAAAAAAAAATAATTGCTGGCATTTAGAAGCAACGTTAACTGATGGGTCTAAAAATATAGACATAACGTTTGCATCTGAGGTAGCGTTCTAATTAATCAAATGAATTTGTTTTATTTTGATACAACAACTGTCTACATGCATATATTATAAATCCCTTCAGGTTTTGGAACGCATAATTGGCTTTGGCGTGGATAAATTTTCAGAAATGAAAAAGAAGGGTAAAGCCGATCCTAACATAAAGGCTGAACTTAGACAGGTGAGTATTTAAAAAATGATTGCTACACAAATAACACAAGAAGTAGTTACAAAATTACACACATTATTATAATATAAGTCTATAAAATTAATTTAAATTAATCCATTAATCACTCATTAAGGATTATTTTTCTATACAGGCATTGCGAAAAGCAGAAATGTTTGTAAAGCAACTAGACTCTTTAATGGAATTAGAATGGTCAAAGGATAAAAAGCCAACTGTTATCAAAATAATGAGTAATTCTATTGACGAGTGAGAAATGAAAAATGAATCGGCCAAGATCCAATTATTGCAGTTAATCTTGCCAACGAGTGAGATAATTTTCATAAACTTAAATATCTGTGTAAATATGTCGTCATGTAAATATGAATATCCACCATCTAAGAAGTCAGTACTATATATAAACAATTATTTAATTACACGATATGCCATGAAAATTATTTTTTAAGAATAACTTTTAAGACAAATATGTACAATTTTTTAAATTTATATCGTACCGTATGTTTTTATTACCCTTTACGTACTTCATAAGAATAATTGCATAAGAAGTTCATAAACGCATTGCCTTTTTTCCAACTTAATTGCAGTTCCATTGGCTGATGCACATAATCATGTGTCATGTTATCACACTGCAGCAATACAATTGCAAGCTGATATCAGGTCATAATAATAGCAACACAGATAACTAGCTATACAATACTTGATATCGAATGTAAGAAGTTGAGACTGAAAGACAATATTATACTAGACTCGTTTAGTAAATGTTCTTGGGGATTTCCTTTCCAAAAACTCTGTCCTTCCGTGGAAACAGAAATCTCAACTCATCAGATGTCCCATGCAGTCCCATGACAAAGGATCAATACACTCCTATGGGACTCAAGATCTAGCGTTGGATCACGAGGACTCCTGAAAAATCACCGTTACTGTACAAAAGGATTTTAAAGAACCGAATAGCTACGCCCCAGAGTTATGTCTAATAATTCTGCCCCTGTTCTCCTGAGACTCCACTAGCATTACATTTTATCATAAGGATATATACCTATATTTGCATCATTGTATTGAATGAATTACTGGATGAGTTTAGAAATTTCCATTTCCTGACTTCCATATAGAATTAGACGTATGACATTGCTGTAAGAGAAATAATTAATCAACAAGTATAAAGTACTTGTTGTATGTCGATAACGTTACTTTTTCATAATCAAGGTTGTGGTAGTTATACAAGAGCTAATATTAGTAGAGATCTCATATATCCCTCTAGAAAATTGTAACGCTAACAATATTTAATGTGTATTTATCTACTGAGTACGTAGTCATTTCCACCACTCTATAAGTGCAGTTGGGTGTATAAGCAAAAGTTGTAGTTTCAAGAAAGAAGATTAATAGGATCCAGTGGTCGTTGCATACGGAATGCATCAGTTACAGTTGAAAGAAACAAAATTTGGAATTTCTCTATAATCCCTTAATCATTACCATTCAGTGATTGTGAGTTTTTGAATATGTCAAACGTGTTTGTAGCTTTGAAACGAAAATAAAATTGAAGAATTTTTACAATAAAAATTTAATCTCACATTATATAGGGTTGAAAATGGCGAAAACGGAGAACAGAAGTCTGTCGTGGAAGCGTCCTTCAGGTCCTCCCAAAATCTGGAAACGTTTCGAGATTAATGAGAAAACAGGAAGTGAAGGAAAGGATGGAAAAGTTTTGAGGTTTTCAATCGAGGAAATTCCGACTGACAGATATGACGAAGTTCTTGACCTTATAGTGAATAATTTCATGGCTGATGAGCCGCTCTGTCGCTGCCTCAGTGAGTCTAAATACACAAATGTATATATTGAAGAGTAATGTTGATTAAATATTATTTTAAAAAGTCGTAGTGACCTAACAAATATTCAAAAAAAATTAGTTGAAATCATTTTATATATAAGATCTTTCATCGGTGTAGACATAAAGGACGATCCTGCTGGTGTTGAAGATTTTCGAAACTTTTGGCAACTTTCTTTGAAACAAGGAATCAGCGTAGGACTATTTCTTGATGATTCTGACATAGATAAACGTGAAATCGTAGGAGCAAACGTACTTCTGGTACTGACACACGAGGACGAAGAATTGTTTGATGAAGTTAAAGTACAATTGCTCAATTATTATTATATTCGTTATATATTAATTTTCATCAAATTCTTGAACATATTTCTTTACTTTAATTGTAGTTCAAATCAGCCGCTGCCGAAACAATAATAAATTTTGTTATGAATGCAACCGCAGAAACTAATGTACTGGATCATTATAAAGTTGACAAATATATATCTGCATTAGGACTTGTCTTGATTCCACGTTTTAGAGGATATTCTCTTGGCGGCCATATTCTTGGCGTAAGGTAGGTCAGTCAGTTAAAAATATTAATTATAAAGATTTTTACAGATCTAAATAATTTTCAGAAATGACATCGGTCAGGAATACAAAATTCCTGTAACGGAAACTGCATTCACTGGTACAGCATCTCAGATTCTTGCGCAGCGCAATGGATTTGAAGTTCTCCTCGTGAAAAAGTATTCTGAAGCTTACGATAGCGATGGCCAACTTCTTTTCCCAAATGTTGATTGTGAATGTGCTAAAATGATGGCAAAACGATTGTATTGAAATTCTTATCGCAATATTTATCGAATTCCTTCTGTTAGCTATATATTCATTTTCCTCAATATCTGCCACAGCGCACACTTAACGAGAATCTACTGTACCGACGGATTTTTGAAGTTGCTGTTTGCTACTCTTAACTAAATATTATGCAGTACAAGTCCGAATCCAGTTCGTTCCCCACGTTATTTTCCTCACCAGGCTTTTTGGGCACCTCGAAATTTTATAGGATTAATTTGCCCATGAACGGGAAAGGTAAATTTCGTTTTGAACCATAAAAGCAATTTATTGCAACAAAATTGCTCTATGTTAATCGGATTTAACGTTTGCATGTCAGCTCGATTTACAATTTAAGATAAATTGCCTCGTGACATTCATATATTTGTGATGTAACGGAAGTGAGATTATTTGTTATCACCCGTGTTATGTTTGTCTTCGTTTGGATTGTAATGATTTAATTTCAGAAATGTTATTGGTCGGGAATACAAAATTCCTTTAACGGAAACTGTATTCACTGCTCCAGGATCTCACATTCTGGCGATGCGCAATGGATTTGAAGTTCTAGTTAAAAAAAAGTATTCAAAAGCTTACGATAGCAAGGGCCAACTTCTTTTTCCAAATGTTAGAGCTAAGGATGTAAAAACTATTGGAAAGCGTTTGTATTGAATTCCATATTGACTTCTCTATGGACTCACTGGAATTTGTTAAGTTTAATTGTACTCTTTACTTCAGAAGTACCGGAAGTTGCCAAAAATTGTGTGCGCGCACAATCGTCGCCCAGGACTCGGTGTGACGGAGCAGGCGGATGGTGGGGGGAGCGCTCGAGGCAGTGCCCGGATCCGGAGCGCTCATTCTTCCTCGAGCCGGTCTCCTATACTGGTGTCTTGGAATTACCTCTCTTATCCATTTCCAACTTTCTTCTATTTCTATATTGATTTTTTCTTTACGTTCCTTCTTTCTTTATATTTCATTCTTTACTTTCTGGTTTATCTCTTTACTTATTTCTTCTCTACTTTTATATTCCTATCCCTTACTTTTCTACTTCTTAACTTCTTTATTTCTATCTTCCCTTTTGTCTTCTCGTTTCACTCTGTTCCCTCTTACTTTCCATTGTATTTGTCTTACTTTTCCTATTCCTTTGGTCGGGTCGAGCATATTCATTCAAGTAGTCATATAAGAGTAGTCACCCTGTTAGTGCAGCTAGACTTAAGACCATGGTGTCGGGGGTTGCCCTTCCGCCTCATCCGCTGAGCTTGCTCAGTGGTTGGTGGCCCAAGTTGTGGCCGCAACAGGACCTTATGGGTCTCCCGACGGGGGCCTTGAGCCCCCTTAGGGTATCTACGGCCATGGTCTTTCGTATAGTGAATCTAGCCAGGTGTCTAGCTCTCGCGTATTTAGTATAATTTGTTCGCTTTGCTAAAAACACTCCAACATGTCGTTGACCCTTGGGCACTTGTGTGGGTAGAGACGATCCTATTTGTCCGTGGGGAGGTCGGAGGGGTAGTCCGTTGACTTTGGGTAAAGTCCTATTTGTGCTTGTGCTTGGGGGTCACTTCACTTGGGGTAGGTGCGGGTGCTATTGAGCACCCGCTAGTATAAAGTCACCCTCTGTCGGAGACATTTTGCGCGTGGATCGATGGCTAACGGGGCCCGCCGCCGGCGGCGGGCGTGGTTCCTTACGTCTAACCCACTGGGCTCGCCCGTGGGAAGGGACGGAGGTTGTAGCGTTAAATATCGTCCTTCGGGATGTCCTGGCGTGCCCGCAAGGGCACCGCCGGGTGCTACGCCCGCGGTCTTTCGTTGCGGTGAATCTTGACTAGGGGTAGACCTTTCGCGTTTAACTTGTCCCTTTCGCGTTTAACTTATCTTAGCTTTTTCGCGTTTAACTTCACCTTACCCCCTTTTGCGTTTTTCTTGTTCCTCGACCCGACTTCCTTTCCTTCCTGAGGTTTTTCCCCCCAAGTCCTGTGCGCGAAAGCCGCAGGACTCGGGGGTTTTCCTCAATAAAAAACAAAACACGGTCCCCTATGGGGCCTCGGAGGGGTCGTAGCTCCCTTCAGGAGAGGCAGGACCTCACGGAAATGGGCGCGGAGGGGCCCATTTCGCTCCCTTATACTTCCTACTTTTCCTACATATTCGAGTCTTGTTCTTTGTCGCTACTCCCGAATAATCTGGTCCTCGTGCATACGTTTTACGCACCTTTTTCTCGTTAGTACAATTGTATGTATTGCATGTACATAGTGACCTTATGTCTTTCCGTTTAATGGTTACGGTTTCAGTTCCTTACTTTTTCGATTGTGTCGGTTATCCATTTCGGTTACGATCCCTGTTGTATTCCATTACCATCGTTCCTTCACGATTTTATCGACATATAGTGCACATGCACAATACACATTATTTCCCTACAGTCGATAACATAAATCTTACGATTACTGTATCATTCAAATAATATACTTACGAATTAACATCACAGATGGAGCCACGCACGTCTTCATTTATAACTTCTAGAAACACGACATAACAAAGACATACTGCCAAGCTGTATTCCGCCCATTCAAACCGTAAAACATCGTGAAGTGAAGCAGAACAAATGATTTCCTTCCTTTCGCACGTGCGTCTTTGACTGAACCAAAGAAAACAAAATTAAAGCAATGAAAAAGAAGATAACCCTCAACCACTTAAAAGACGTTCTATAAAATAAGACTATTTGCCATATATACACGCTACTCGTCAGAATGACAAAAGCGTAACGCCATAGCATATACGAGAAAGAGAAGGGAAACGTTCCTCGTAAAACTAATGTACAAAATTGTTCAGGACTGGAATATTATTCCTTTTTGATTGGTCTATGGTTTCTTGTCATTTCACGCGTCTCCCTATTCTCCGGCATTATTAAGGGCGTAATGCAAAACCGGTCACGTAATTGTTCTCGCGCACGATTCGCACTGCAGGATCTTTGTATGACGAAACTCGAAAAATAAAACAGAAAAGAAAGTCTCCCTCCCGGCCGCAGTGCTCGTTACTCGATACGCCTTCGGCACCGTGGGCAGACCTTGTTAACGCACTCTGGCACCCTGTTTGTAAGTTCTACCCTGGTATGCGTAAATCGTTGGAAACCAGTTCGCACGATTTGGCAGCTGAATGCGCTAGGGTTCACTGTTACCGACAGCTTTTAGGTTATAAAACCAAAAGAACCTTTTTTATTCACATTTTAACCAAGTGCCAGACGTTGTTCGCGCAAATACTAGTTTTTCTCTCAATGAAGGAATACCCTATTTACATCCTACATTTGAGAAACCCTCCATGTGTCGTCTCGCTCGTCTTGGGAAACAGAAACGCGCTACGGCCAAACACGTGGACAACTCATGCCCGGTCTCTAAGAAGAAAGACAGAATGAAGGAAAGAGGATCGAGCGCTCTCTAAATTTAAACCTCAAAGAATGGTGAATAACAGGGAAGAATGGAGCGTTTGAAATTTGTTTTCTTCTTTTCTTTCATTTTCTTCTCTCTCCTCTTAACCGACCGTGCACTCCAATGAATGCCACACCTCGGTTATGTAAAAGCGACAGACCATTGTCCCACCAGTGCAGGACAATCACACCTCGGACCAATGGCGTAAAACGTGCACGCACTCAGGATCCATTTCTTTCAAATGCATTTGCACTAATTCCCGTGTATATATATATATATATATATATATATATACACACACACACACGTACATGGGTGCGCGCGCATAAATATATCCCTTCTATTCTCACGTGCGAACGATCACATTCAGCCATCTTAGCCTACAAATAGTACAACACCAATGACTGAAGTCAACGCATGCGTACGCATATTGAATTAAATGATAGATTACGTCAGTCAAAATCAAGATGCCCGTCACTGAGTTTTGCTTAGCATGCGTGGCATATGAGTTTACAATACCAGATGAGTATAACCGTTAGAAAAGAATATCCTATGTTTATCATTATAATGAATGATAAAAACGATGCAATACCTTTGTAATTATATTTCACTGTTTATTATGAATATATAAATTTGTTATGATACAAAAAAAAGAGGGTTCCTTTGTTAATTGGAAACACCCTTTGAGGGATTGGGGATTTAGTTAGATCGCTATTTGTGTATTGGTGTGTATAATTTTAAACGAAATCTTTATAGGCAACGAGATAACGGGAAAATATATATCACAATAGATTCTGCGCTTTAATACCTAGCTTATGCTTAACCGTATTTAATTAATTTATCATTTCGATTAGTCATAGTTCGGTAGCGTAATAGGGCACTGTGTATCTTATGCTCTAACGTACTTGCACGACATTCGGGGTTTACTAGTCGTACTCGCTCTTACTGTATTAAATGAGACGAGGAAAAATCCTCGCAATTTTCTTAAATTAACGTTATTTATTTTTAAGAAGCGTCTAATTCTTTAAGAGCAGGCGCCATGATGTTTAGAGATCTTAAAGAATATATATATATGTATATATATATGTATATATATGTACAGTTTCATTATATCTAATATGTGGCAGTCGTTTTTTTTTTCTTGTAAATAATATAATGACAGTCGGTCGTTTATAAAACAAAATCTCAACGTTTCCGAAAAAAAAAGTATCCGAAAATATTCTAGTAAACGTTTCTTTTTCGTGTGTGTATATACAGGTATAATTGGCTGTTATAATTATATATATATGTATGAATCGACATCTCGCTTATATCACAGTACAGTATTGAAAAAAATTTTTGACTGTCAACATTTTTTCTTCTTAAATCATAACCGTCAAATCCACGTGAATTAACCAAAAAAGACTTTTGGTCCAGAATAGTCACTCAAAATTTTCATATGGCTGTGGATTGTAGAAGTAATCAATCATGTTGGCTTCAGAAAGGTTACCCATCTTCCCGTCCAAAGGCAATCAGCGTTACTTGATGCAACGTCTGCAAGGAGCACGTAAGGGTTACATGTTGCTGAAGAAGAAGGCGGACGCGTTAAATTTTCGATTTCGTTTGATCTGCACGAACCTTGAGAGCACGCGTGATAATGTGAACGAGTTACTTAGGGCGGCAGCACTGTCGCTGGCAGAGGTAAAATACGTAGCTGGGGACATTGGTCCAGTAGTCATGGAGAAGGTGGACGTAGCCAGGATAACCGTCGAGCACAGTACCGAGAACATAGCCGGAGTGACGTTATTAAAGTTCAAAGCTTGCGACAACGATCATGACACTTATAAATATTTATGTCTGGCTAGGGGTGGTCAGCAATTGGCTTTGTGCAAAAAAGCATACAAAAAGGCAATTGACAGTTTGACGGAGCTTAGTACGATATACTTGGGTATACGAACCCTGGCGGAGAGCGTGAGAAGTAATCAGAAACGGGTACTAGTCATGGAGCAGATAATAATTCCTCGAGTGGAGTTGACATTGAGTTACATAAATTCCGAATTGGAGGAGATCGATCGCGAGGATTTCTTTAGGATCAAGAAGATTAAGACGAAGAAACGTCAGGAGGATGAGGAGGACGGACTCCAAGAGAAGATGGAGCCACCTACGAGAATATGTAACACTTTGGATGAACTATCGGAAACGTAATGCGTATGAACTTATGTACCAGATAGAAGCTAAAACTCGATTCATATGTAAAGCACGCAGTAACTACAGGAGAGCATATATAGTATATATGTATACTATATATATATATACAATACAGATAGACAACTAAGTAAGCTGGTATCTTATGGAGTTTCTGATGAAGGTATCCCAGACACGTGCCCGGGTGATACCTGGGCAACATTCTTATTGTGTATTAAGTATGGAACTTTAATGCTCGCCCGTGCAGCACTTGGTGCAATGAGAGTCTGTTCATCAGATGCATGTATAATTCGTATACAAAATTGTAAGTGCTAGACGGAAAAATACGTTTAGGTTTAACGTTTTAAATAGCCCGCGCATATTTAATTTTCTGGACAAGACGGTATTATACAGTCTTAATAATATACAATTCTGAGCAGTGTGTAAACTAGCTGGAGAGAAGTGCACGCGTCTACCGGATATCAATTGTGTATGTTATGGACAAGTTAAACGTACACACCTAATTTGCTTTAGACTCAAGAGAGTTAAAAGAAGAATAAAAAAGAGGAAGAGCAAGAAGGAGCTCTGAAAGATCCTGGCAAGTGCACGCATATGTCTACTTCTGTCACGCGAACCTCTATCTATGCTTACACAAGGTTCTTCGTTATACTCTTGAATTTCTTCATGGTTTATGAAGGATGAGTGTTTTACTATATGCTACAGGGCAGGCATCCTCGTGCAAGATCAGCTGATGCCTCTATGAGTCCTTGAAGAGATCGTCAGCTCGGTCTTATAGTTATTACACTTGAGTCTCGCTACCACTATGATGCTTCCGGTGCTTTCTGTGCTTTTTATGACTTCTATGTGGCATCTGACCATTAGTAACGATAGGCTTATGCAGCAAGGGATGCTGGGGTGCTAGATGACTCAGATGATGATTTTGATGAGGCGTCGGACTGGTAGACCCAGCGCTGTAACGATGCACGACAGGAGTAGGTATAGTGTGAGGATGGCACTTGTGCGGTGGTTGTTTGCAGGGTGGCAAGCGTCTCCATATAGCCATTATGTTAGGCCACCAGATCCAGGCGGCGGCCAGGATGCCAGCTCCCAAGGAGACGACGAGTCGCAGTACGAAGAACTGTAGTATGGGCTTCGATGGCACTTTGGGGGTTGTCGATGGTTCCGGTGCACGTAACCAGTAATCCCGACCCCACCACTCGTAGAACGTGGTACTGGTGATGCAGATCATAACCAGAGCATAGATACTGGAGAAGATGCCCACCCTGGTCATCAGAATCTTCTGACGTCTATACGTCTCAATCGGAGACTTCGCAACGTCCCTAAGACGTGGCGCTGGATTAGGACTCAGTGGACTCAAAACAGGCGGTGGTGCGACGGTGGGTCTCGATAGCAACAAGGCAGCCATTCCCACCAGTAGGAAAGTCACCCCGAAGGAGAGGTAGATGAACTGAGGTGCCAGTACGAGTACCAGAAGCGATCGCGTGCTCTGCTGGCCGACGAAGCAGCTTCCTGAAACGGGAAACAGTCTATTAGAGTTCTGAGTAACATAAAAATTGTAGGGTCCCCGTCACACTCCTCGCCCCTCTTTACCCTTCCCCACGCACGTCTTGAATAATTCGAAACAAATCGCACATGCGAACCTGCACCACGTTATCATTTACACGTAGCACATATGGCATCGACAAGGATTCGCGTGTGACTATGTAAATTGTACAATGGACAATTATCTAATTACGTAATTTCGTATTCCTCCTTCGGTATAAGAAAGTCCAACGAAATAGTACGAAAATCGAGCGCGGACGTCGCCCTTAGCGTCTAGTTTCATATTTCGTCCCACAGGTGTCGCCCCGTGAAATCATGTAAAATAGATCACAGCGCCATAGAAATTCTCACGTCTCGTTAGCCGCAAATTCATCTCGGATAACCTCAGTCCCGTAAGAGAATATGTCATCTAGGTGCAAGTGCCCAGCCGCGGAATCAGCCTAAACGTATTGTGAGAAAAAGTGGCGCCAGTACCGCGCACGACACACATAACACGCCGGGCGTTTTTGCGAGGAACCGGGCCGGCGGAACGATCGGACTACGACAAAAAGTCAAATAGCTAGCGGGAGAACGCGTCGCACGTCGTCCACCGGGAGGTAAGGAAGACGAAGGAACGAGACCAAGAAGCTCGTAGAGGAAGGAGGGGCCTCTGCCCCCCCTATTGCATACGCGGTGACAAAAACTTGTCGCGCTGCGGTTATAACGCGTTGTCGCGCGGCACGCGACATCCTGGCGTACGTCCTCGTGCTCCTTGTGTCACGATTCTACACCTAGCTCCGATTTTTTCCCCTCTATCTACGTCCTAACGAACATAGAATAAATTAACGCCGCAGGTTTGTGTCTTGCTGTTGGTCGGGGAGGTACGTGAATGAGGTGGAAAAAAATTAAGTAAAAAAAAAAAAAGAGTAATTTAAAGAATGGCTGGTTAATTCGCTCCGGTGGCTCTCGCGTCTGAGGCGTTTAGAGCCTGCCGTTCTTAATTAACCATAATTGTCTTGCTGGGATGCGCAAAAACCTTAAGGTTTTCATTATAATATGCCTTCGTAACTATGCACGTATAAATCAGTCTTGTATCTCTCTCTGTGTCTGTATATACATATATATGCTTTTATGACACGCATATAACTACCTTTGTATACTCTGTCACTCTTCTTTTTTCTTTCCAACGAGCATTACCCACCTTACGATATTACATATCCGTATATTTAAATATTACACGCATGCGCTTTAGCTCCACAGATTTCTTATCCGTTTTACCAAGAAGCCTCCCTTATGGACATGGGGAAAGAAAAACTCAACCGTCTCTCTACCGGTTTACCATTTTTCTTTTCTGTGTCAAGTGCCACGTGTAATTATATCACATGGACGTTTCTACGTACGCAGGCCACACATGGTCCCACGTGAGTCATTGCCGGCATAAGGCATTCAATTAATTGAAGTATATAAGAAAATTACTATGCGTTAATGGACTGGTGTCGCTGATGCTAATGAAATTTGTAATAGTTAATTGATCGATTCTTAAAATATAAATGTGCTCTTAAAGCTTCGCAGGATCAGCCACGTTGACGTTAACGTCCGTCGTGAGTTCTCAGAACGACGTGACGTTTTTCATCTCTGCCATTTTGTCAGAAGATAAAAAGAATTGGGCACGCGACGGCTACGGTCCCATGAGAATACTTCGTTTCTTCTTCTTCGTCGTGCCAGGAGGACGTGGTTGGTGGCATTCTCAACCCGGTGATCCGGTATGTTAGAACTCTCGTTGATGCACTTGGAAAAGAAGAAGGAACCACATTCCAATTGAAGTAAACATTTAAAGAGTTAAATGCCGTCCTGACCTGGATTCAATTTCGTCCAGCTGGCTGAGACGATATTTTACAATCGGTACGTACCCTTTGCCAATGACAAATCGACAGTCCGTTTACATTTTCCTTTTATTGGCAACGACGTGTCAAAGTGTTAATCGAGTATCTTGAATTTTGCAGCCGGTGGGGAGCGTTGAAGTATTGCCGGATAATGACGGTTGAACAATGGCGACAAATTGGTCCTGTCAAATTGGTCGACGTGCGACAATATCGTGAATGGCGTCGTTTAACTTCGTGAAACCGTTAACTGTACTATTGCGTGTGATTGCCTGTACTTTTGTATATACGTGTAGTACGTGCATACGTATATGCTTACATGTAGGTAAGAGTGGCTATACGTTGCCAAAGTAAGGTTAATTGTAACCTCGTGAAACGACTCAGGGCGACAAAGAATTCGTGAGAGGAAATAAGTATGAGAATATTATTGGGGGCGTGTAGAGAATAGAGAGAACGAATGAAAGAATGCTGAGAAATGAATTTATAATTGAAAGACTAATTGCTGTTGGGATAGACAGATCCAACGAATTTAATCAAAGAACTTCTTCAGACCTGTTTCATCGACTTACTGAACACTGACGAGTGAGACAGTGCACGTAGTGACGTGGCCATTCAAATTATTAATTGTGTAATAAGCTATTGGCTCTTATCGAAGAGTTCGATCGACAATGAATGAGCGTGACCTCTTCCCTCGTTAGATAAAACTTCAGCCAGCTGTCAGTTTGTCAAGGGAGAGTAAAGTGAAAAAGAAATGATTGACGTACTGAGAGATTGACGGCGGGTATACGTCGAGCAATCTAATCATTGAGTAAACACGATACAGACCCCAATGTGGTGGTTTACGTAGAAACCCAAAAAAAAAAGAGCTTGGCAATCTCCTCTCGACAGGAATTACATATAAGATTGTCATACCGTATAAGAATCTTAATAAAAGTATACGAAGTCAAAGATCACGTCGAATCGCCCTGAGCTAAGAACGTAAACGTTATGAAGTAGTTAATAAAAACAAGATTAAGCGAAAGAAAAAAAATTGGATTTTATACATTCAACAATGAGTTCCAATTGATACGCATCGAATCGACGCCCGAGCGAAGCGTCATTGAACTTCATGTGGACGATGCCTAAGAGAGATACATATAAGACCAGACCGTTTCCATTGATTCGCATAGTTTGGTATACGAGGCGATTAGATAGTAGATACAAAAGAGAATAACAAAGAAGAATGAGAAGGAAAAAAAGAGAAACGTGTAACACACATGAGTATTGGCGCGTGATTCGATAAGACGAGTTAAACAGACAGCCAAAAGACGCTTTTGGCATTGATAATTCATTGAGAAATTGTTGTCATGGTAGAAAAAAAAGTTTTGCTGTAATCGTAAGATTGATATAAAATAAAAATAATTATGTAGATTGACAATCTTAATTCCGAGTAGTGGAGGTGGACCGGTTTTGGAATTGCTTTGCTCGAGAGTCCATCGGACAACAGGGTTTTCTTTACGGAATGAGTATGGGCTTGAGCCAATGGGCCCAGCACTACGTACCACGCAATGACCATACATATATGTTATAAGCAGTGCTTTCGGTATGGCGATTGGTCCAGAAGGTACACGTAGCGATGAACCGTCTCGATAAATTGGTCTATGGTGGCCCCATGCTATCTACCCGTAGCCATCTCGTTCACGAAGCATGAGTAGTGGTCAGAGATAGGAGCGCCAAGCGGGCACGACGAGAACTACGTGTACTTGGGGTTCCAGTTATCGGCACGGTCCCATCTAAATTGCTTCTCATTTTCTCCGATCGTCTATCCCTGCGAGTTCCACGAGGAAGAATGAGAAGGAGACTTTTTAAGTTTCGTATTAAAAGAAAAAAGTAGCGTTGGTTCTCCCTATAAGAAAATACTACTATACTGTACGTTGCGCATGCGCACAAGAGGGTAAAGAAGAAAAATTACGTGTTAAGGAGATTGAGTGAAAGAGGTTAAAACGTTTCTTGGCTAATTGCCAAGAGATCACGTTTACCCCATATGTACGCTCGTGTCTGCAGGATATTATAATCGTAGCAGGATAGTCAATTTGTTGGCGAGTTTTCATGGATCGTGAAGCTGAGAAACTGTTCGGATTTATCTGTATGTGGATACGAGGGTGGACGGCACCGTACGTTCCCCGTACAGCGCCGCCTTGGCCAACCTCGGTAGGATGCGACATTCAATGCAAATACCTTGGGACCCGCTCTGCAGCTTGTCACTGTCCGTAGCTAGGACCAATAAGAACCACTTTTGCCTTTTGCTTAAGCACGGATTACACGGGACGATCGAGATACGGTCTAGAAGGAGAAGACAGTTTACCTTCATCGTCTTACTTTTATAGAATTTCAGGCTTACGAAGAATTTTTCGATAAATCCAATGGGTAGGAGAATTCCAAAAAAAAAGATCACGCCACTCTGAGTCCACTAAGACGTGACAGATCTGGCTGAAGAGATTAAAATTGATTTTTTAACGAATTTTAATTTCTATAATACCAAAGTATGTGACAGCTGTGTGTATGGCATAACAGACCTCCGAGTTGTATTCACGTTGTAAATTCGCCTTTTTTACGGTCTGTTATTATGATTCGTTAGAAAAGACTGGGAATATTCCTAGAAACCCTCCTTTATGCCGTCGCTGAGCGTCGGAACGCTGGTTGGGGCCTTTTTGCTCGGTGCTGGAGCCACTGCTAATCCATATGCAGGCCCGGAAAGTCGAGGACGAACAAAGAGAGCCGGCTGTCTCGTTTAAGTCCCGGGATAGCCGCAGAGTCCTCGTGTTCGGCTTTGGGGTATTCGTTGTCTCGGAGGTTAAGTCACGAGCCGATATAAAGGTACGCCTCGAGAAAGTTACCTAATTAATTGAGCACACCCCGAGCGCAGAGAGAAGGATTCGTTTTAGGTTTGCCGAAGCATAAAGAGAGATAAATTTCACAAAGAGACGGAACAACACGTAAAGACCGACCCGTACGCCATGCAAATCCAAGCCGAATACTACAGCGCCACCACAGAGAAACCTTGTAGGATTTGAAATACCAAAGACAGTTTCAGGATAGAATTCAACTAGATGAAAAATTTCTTCAAGATTTCAATAACTCGATAGTTAATCGAAAACAATATTCATAAAATCCCACTGTACATTCTAGCTGGCATGAAAGACGTTAAATTCAATTTTAATGAAACTCGTAACGAAGCATCCCAAGTAACGACTGGTGCGCATGCGCAGTTACATAACCGCCAACGAGGAAGCCAATTGAAAGCGAGAAAAAGTATATTTCTGAAAATACGACGTCCAAGGATTATAAACCGCGTGACTATCAACGGGACTTTTCAATCGCCCCCTTAATACACGTGATGAAGAGCAAAAAGGTCCATGCAAATCGCAGCATCCAGCGGCATCCTCAAAAACTTCAAACATGAACTTGGATGCCCCGTGGAATGCGGCTTGCGGCCGTAGCGTCGTGGGACGTTCGTTTATGTTGTTGCCTTCGCGGCGTTATTGTTACGTTCTGCAAGAGGAGCCTGTATGTGCGCCGTAGTATAAGAGAATAGCAGTCGGCCAGTGCTACAACAGTACGAACTATACCCAACAACCATTTACTCTACCCACGAGAAGAGATCCCTTGGGATAACTATACCAGGATACCGCTCTCCCCGTTAACCACTCTTCACGGTCAAAAGAATACAACAAATAGAATCTCTCTACTGACACATAGGCAATATTCGCCAGTCCTCGAGCACAGCGATGACCCTTGGCTTACGTCAATTATCTCCAAATTGAACTCACGTTGACCGCGTGACATTGATACAGCCACCAGATCAGACCACATGTCGAAATCTGCAAACCAGATCAGTATGAAAATTCGCAAAACATCCAGACCAGAACTTCGTCGATAATGGCGAACGTAATGACTGCCCCAATTTCCACCCTCCCCCATAATCCAAACCACGAGGCGAAACTTGGCTCCCAAAAGTCTCGTAACTCACGGCTGGGCTCCCTGGTGAATACTTGGCAAGGGAAAGAACGTAGATACACGTGAGGAAGGAAAGAAAGGTGGTTAGGAAGTCGCTGTTTAATTCAGAGATGCTAATCTAACCTAACCTGACCATCTTCGAGCATAAGTTATCGGGAGCATAAACATGGGGCATCGTATTAGCATAAAGTAGTCTGGTTAGGTCGGGACTGCTTTGCGAAGTATAGGTTAGGTTGGGTTAGGCTAGGTCGCATCCACAAGGTACAAGAGGATGGCGCAGTACATTTCTAAGATGCGTACGGTCGTCGCGCTAGTAAAGGATGAACCATTGTGTTAAGCTATATTTTAAGGTTATACCGGCTACGTTTCTCTCTGCGTCTTTTAATCATTGGTCGTCCCTATGTATCCTCTTCGTCCTACCCATAAGGCAACACTCGTCCACGTTTGACGTAATTTATTTTATTTCAAACTCAGCTTTGAATTTCCCGCCATAAAGTGCACATGCCGCGTCATAGGAAACTCGAGTCGCTGGCCCGAACGACCAATTCGCTTCTCCTGCGTTTGAATGGAGATTTCTAATACATATTAATAGAACCTTAACGTTCTGACATTTAGTTACCCAGGTTGGTAAATACTTCACTAAAATTTCCGGCCTGCACCGTACATAAGTCAAGTACAGTGTACATATAATACACCCATAAGAACACAAAGAGGCATGAACCGTTACGTTCAATGAGCCTGAGTATATAAACCATAATGAAATATTGTAATAGTCAGGTCATAATGGTTAATTAATTAAAGCAACGTGTGCTGTTCGCAATAATTATAGCATTGTTCTAACGATTTTAATCCATTTCCCCCCCTCTCACCCTTTATAGTCTCTCACCGTTAAGATCGATCAACCAAGGAAACGTGACTAGACAATATCTCGACTATGATTTATTCCATGCTCAATTAGTTCCTCGGAACAGGTTAAGCTCGGTAATTACAACGACCGCCAACAAGTGAAGATAAATTTTAAAAAATTCTTCTCAGCTCCCACAAATACCATACGCGTATACGTACGGTCGTGCACCGGGGTCTGATATATTAATATATTCAGACAATACCATGTCAGACCCCACGCAACTAATCGTGCGCATACATAAGTCCGACCTGACGCAAGTCACTCAGGTCCAGCTCTGAAGTCTGCGTACACCAAGATCAATCCAAATCATCCTGCGTATCGACTCGAATCTCTCGTACCTAGGGTTGTACCAGTACCCTTTTGCGGAATTCTCCGTAGGAAACTGAAGAAGAAGAAAGAAGGAAATAAGAACAAGATACATCTACGTAGAGGTTGGGTCACTCTGAGTGGCTACGCCATTGCTCTGGACCCATAAAACAGGCAGTATAACGAGGCGTGGCTGCAAAAGCACGTTGGGGCCTCAACTGTGCCCCCCCCTGCCCCCTCAAGGCCCCCACATACTCGCCCGCACATTTTATAATAACACCCTACCGCGTATCGAGTGATATATCTATAAGGGTGATTATCGCGTCACTGAAGTCCACACGTGATGAAAGAGAAAAAAAATGCATCAAGACGCCTCTATATAATATCCATACGGGGGTTCCCCCGCATGGGCCCCCCCTTTAATACCTGTCTACTGCATACGCTCCTGGGAGTCATTTAAAGCCTGTTATATACCCGTCGAATTCTGTTATCTTATCCGTGATAGCCGTCACTCCGTACCGAAGCTGTCAAAGCGTGGCCAAACATTCGAAAACCTGTTACGTTCGTTAAATTTCATCGTAGGCGTCAATTGCACCACGTTGCTCGAGCCGTTCGTCGATAGGAATGCCGATAATCATGGCATTAATGGGTACAACGATAATAACGATACCGATTAAATGGAAATTCGTCAGGGTATAGTAGAATCGTACACGCGACTATCTTCGACATGTTTCTTGGACTTACGAAGAGCACGATTCCAATGGGTTACGTCGTTTATTGTTGGGACTGTGTTTTTTTCTTTACGTCACTGAAACACGATCGTCTAGGGACCCGCCGGGGACTTGCGTGGTGAATTAACGATGGGCAGTAATATTATGCAAATTGTACCTTGGGACTGTGGCTTTTTTTTTGTTTTTTTTTTTGTTTTTTTTTTCTTCAAATGGCAGCAGTGCAGAAGAAACAGAAAATTCAGTTGACATTTTTCATTTGGCTAATTGGATCCTTTAAGTATTCCTGTGATTGATCGCTCTCGCTGCGAGGAGTTGGTAACGAGAGTCTACAATTAATGGTACGCAGTGTATAATTATATACGGTGATTATAAATAGGACTGACAAGGTTCTAAATATATACACGGCAGAGGTTAAATTTCGCCATGTGTATACCAAGTCAAATATATGGAGTACAAGCGGCATGGATATAAAACACACGAAAAGCATATAGGAGCAGGTAAACGAACCCTTTCGACTTAACCTATAATTAATTAACGTTGCGTGCGTTAGTGGTTTTGAGGTAAAGTGGAAGAAAAAATTCAAGGTGGAAAGTCACGAATGAATAATCATGAAAAAGGGACAGCTGGAATAGTTATTCTGGCTGTATGTTACTTATCGTGTATATCCAAAGACATCGAAGTCAATTTGTCGGATTCCCTATTAACGATTAGCCGTTGATTCATTAACAGCAAATTAAATGATCCCGAGTGGTAAAGCTCACCGGTCAATTCGTCTGCGTCCACGTCCCTTGTTACAAGCACGGCTATGGTGTGCGCTGCAGGCAATCCCCATGCAGCGACAGCACCTACGGTTGAGAATCCTTGCTGAAGACCAAATCCTTCGTCCTTGTTGTTTCGAGGAGATTTCGTCCATCTCCTTGCAACGATGCACCACCAGGCACATACGACGACCCACCTGAAAGCAAAGAATGTACGTTTTTAATTTTTTTTTTGTATAGAAAAAAAAAACAGAAAAAAATACATTTGACTCAATGTCTAACGTAGTACTGAGAACCCCTGTTCAAGTGGCAGGATGAACAATGATCCTACGATGGTTAAAGATCGACCGTGTTCTTCGACTCTTGCAAAGTGTACGACTGCTGTTTCAATATCTCATACAGTGCGGTAGTGGTGAGAGTACATGAGTACCTATATACACTGTATATATAGAGAGCATATAGAAGCCGAGACTGGTAAAGACTATAGTGAACCTGGCAAACTAATTAATCACCTGAGTCTTGGACGAGATCGAAAAGCAATGAGGAGGTCAAACGAGGCGCAAACTTGCCGACCGCTTCTCTCGTTTGTTAAGTATTGGCTTGTAGATCCTAAGAATTTCTAAAGGGACTTATATACGTGTATATAATACAAGTCCCCACTGGCACTTATTCGCAATGTGGAATGTCTTGCTACTCTTATATTGCTGGTTCACTCGGTAGCACGTCCAGGGACGTGCCGTTTCGGTCTGAGACCCCGTTGATGGGTTGAACCGTAAACTTTTGAAAAGAAAACAGTTTTGAAAACGTGTCCAATGTCTTGGAGAGGGTGCGCAGAGGGGAAATTAGAAACTGTAAAAGAAAGAAAAAAGATGGGGTTATGAAAAAGTATCCCTAAGATTTCAAGGCAGAGAGCGTTAATTAAATATGATATATTATGACCTGATTAATGTTGACGTATCCTCGTGTGATCACATATGGCTATGGATGCTCGTTCACGTATGAACGTCAGGTTACAGGTTCGAGTCTCATGCTTATCGCAGATGCGAGATAGACCGCTGGTCTTATGTAAAGTATACAGGGGATGTTTAATGTATACGATTCCTGTCTTGTTATAGATTGGCTGTGAGTGTAAGAGAAGAGTTAATTTAGAGAATCGAATTTGATTTCGAGTATTTCGACAAGATCTTTTTTTTTTTTGGGTAACGTTACTAGTCAACGTGTACGTAAATATCTTGAATTCTCTTGGAACATCTATTAAGACGGTAGTAAAAATTGTTGGACGAGATATAAGATCTTACGAGCATCCGGTTTGGATTTTATGATTAGAATTAAATCGAAGATTTGATAGCTTCTACTCATGGTATCCATGGACCAGGGGATTGGAGTGAAATCAGGGATCAAGGAAAGTGTCGAGTATCCAATCACATTGATCCTACATGCGTACGATGTGTGTACGTGATGCCGTTGCGTGAGATCTTTGGTAAAAAGTTGAGAGCCGAGATAGAATGAGATTTAAAAAAATAAAAGAAATAAATCCAATCCCATCAATGTGATTGACAGCATCCACGGTGGTCCATTGGATTTTATTTTTACTCCACACCGATCGGTATTCCGTCAATCCTTCTCTTTATTTTGCTCTATCCCTGATAGAGCAAACAGGCTCGTTTGGATTTCATAGGACAAACTAGGGGAAAAGATTATTTCTTGTTTCATGAGAAGAATCGAATATTGCTATCGCGTGGAATTGATTATTTTTTTATAACCATAAAAAACCCATAACCTGCAATTGGCTCCTTGTGTTTACAGACTTCTCAGGATTTCTATTACGGTTTTACCTACTTCACGATTTACCGTTACCAGATTCTGTCCGGAACATCAAAGCTGCCTTTAACGAGTTGTGCAGACGCCTAAAAAAAATGCTCGATCTATTCAATAGAGATGCTTTTCTCTCGTCGTACCAATGAAACTTACCTATTCGAGTTCCGAAATACAGAAACACCTGCACGCTTTGGGGAAGCGTGCCTAAAGCACCCATTTTTTTTTTTTTTCAACAACGTGAACATGGCTACCAGAAGATCGTGTTCTGGCCTAAAGAAACGTGTAGATCAGGTCACGTACACGAGCCCAGCCTTGTTTATTCCTCGCCATATTGCAATATACAACCGTGCAATAAACTCCTTTGGCATCGAACTTGCGGCTTTAGCCTGCGGTTCGAGTAATCGCAGCAGTCGTATCGCTTGGTAACTTCTGACTTTGAAAGGTTTGCAAAGCGATTCGCACGACTCTTCATAGTTTACGAGTGCAAATAGATTCTACCTACAAGAAAACAATATAGTACAGATCCAAGATAGTGTAGCCATTGCAGATAACATAGCTCTACCTCTATTAAGAATCAAAAATGCGAGAAATGAGCATTTCCACAGGTTTACAGCATTTCTAGACATTAATGATTAATTTTTTATTTTCAACCTACTCAAGGACGTTGGTACCCTTTTTTAACTACTGGACCAACTTTCTACGGGGAGCCGTCAATATAAGGTCCCCCCGTTATATAATCGGTACTAAATACCGAACGCCCGTCACCGTGAAAATGCAGCAGAGGGTCGATGTTCCAGGAGACTCATGCATTTGACTTTTGACTATTGTGATAGGTAGAACAGGTTCCCCAGCTACCTGCAGCCAAGAGAAGCCATTAGACCCGGTTTCTCATTCCGTGTATTTCCACCCTTGAAAACCAGCCACATGCCGAGCAGAGGTTAGATGATAAACGATAAAGAGAATAAACGGCGGAACTTTTCAAACAGTGAAGCATCGTCCGATACAGCGATGCCAGCCGAATATAATTATCCCTGTTTTAACGTAAACCAAAAAAAAAAGATGTATTACCATTCTACAGGGATAAACCATCGTTTCCAAGGCAGTATACTGGTAGAATCAAACTGTAAACTGCTCCAAATACGTTCTAAATATATCCCAGTAGTGTTCGAAGCATCGAAAATCCCGCGAACGTAAGCGTCCTAACCTCTTTCCTCTGACACAGAACAGGATCCCGTGAATATTCACACACGACTTCCTACGGGATTTAACGAACCTGGCACCGAGCCCCGTTCTCATTGGAGCGATCCAAGCCAGCAACAGCCAGCAACTTGTTAACACTGCCATAAAACAAACTAATGACGTTTACTGCTGGCCAAGAACTCGCATTTACTCAAACCCTCAGACAGCTCGGTCTAGTGTTTCTTGTGTCTACTAGGTGCTACTGCGCAACGCTACTGCGCATCGTCCACGCTGTCTACAAGAATGATTAGTGCATATGTGCATCGGACTGTACGCCATTACTAGTAAAAAATACTGACCAACGTACTAAAGACGGTATTACCCGTTTCTCAGTAAATCTACTATAAACTGTTTCGCAGCCCGAGAAAAACATCGACACGTAACGCGTAACTTGCTAACGCGAAAACGAGACGAGTTTACGTATGCCCAATGCGTGCTCGGTGCGCACGCGTCTGTGCCAGTTCACTTTCCAGATGTACCTGAATAATTCATACCCACGCGCGTTAACCTCCACGGACAAAAGACAAGAACTGATTTCACGAAGGAAGGCGTCTTCCAGAATGGAATAAGGTTCTCGGTACGTCTAGACGAGCGAGCAAACGTAACTGGGACGTGAATTTGAATTTACAAAAAGAAATGTGTCTCGTATCGTGCTGCCGACACGAGAAGAAACTGTACCAAGGGATGCACAGGCGGTTACTTGTAAGGAAGGCTTAAGGTATTTCAGATGGATCGTGAGAGTACGCGATAAGCTACAAGTACCTATATTACAGCGCTCGATCGGTATTCTTCAAATGTAAGCCAACAAGAACCTTATCTCTCTTTCCTTTCTTTTGTTTCACTCCACCTTCATTACAGACAGGGCCTGCGATTATTATCCAACGTAGATTATAACCTAAGAGTTCCGACTTGGGAGCTTGGAATCACATGAAATTCACGACTACGAAGTAACAAAAAACACGTTTTCCAAAGGAGGCAAAAGTCGTTCGATGTATAATTTTTCTGTACGAGGTAAGTAACGTGTCCCAGACGAAGTGGACTGGTTCGCATCACTGAACGGCTTTTACGTCTCTATTAGCCAGTTCGATGACGGGGTGCACGAGGAGGTGAAGGAGGAGTCAGGAGGAGGGAGAACGGACTTGGTGACGATGGAATGGGAGGTTAAGTGACAAGAATCGTTTTTTCCATCACCGAGTGCCGATGCTGATGCTCCTGTTCTCTTTGTGCTGATGCAGAAAACGCAAAAACTTGCCGCACGAATCTTGCTCCGTGGTGATGAATGGAGTGACGCACTCATATCCCTCACACGTACGCAGTCCTCTCTCCAGCGTCCTTAAGGTGTATATTCTGATATATAAAACCTTGTATAAGCATCCTGCCGGACCGATCTTCTCTTACTCTCCTCTTACTTATTTGCAGAGTCGTTTTTGAATCTCCCTAACGAGCCGCTAACACCTTCTGGAATGGCCGAATAATGCGACCCTGTTATACGCCATTGGTTTTATGCAAATTCCTCTATGGGTACACAAAGAACCAGGGAACAGGTATAATGCATACCTGAATCGCGTATGGCATTCGACTAGCCAGGGGAATAGAGCCTGATTGCTCAATGAGAAATACGAGAATATACATATAACCCGATTTGAAAATTGAATCGTGCATCGAGAGAAAGCTCGAATGTTAAATATTGTTCATGGGAACGACATATGCGTTCGACAATCGATATCGAATCTGATACAATGTCGGGACCTGTCAAAAACCACGTAACGCCTGTATAAAGCTGGTAAACTGGTGAGTATGTATAACATATGTGTATAGTAGCCTGGAATACCAGGTCGAGAGCGAACCTTTTATGGATTGGCTTCTCTACACCTTGGTAGTAACGTTCCCAATAGTTACTTTCATTTTTAAGCTGAAATCAATTTACTAGATAATACTACCAGGAAATAGAAGCCTAATTGGATTTCTCTACGCGTCTCTAGACAACTGCCAGGGCTACCAACTAGCATGGAGCAAGGAAAGAAATGAAACCCGAGGAAGTATATCGTTTCAATGGACAATCTTCATCCATATGAGTGTATAACTTCGGTTATAAATTCCAATGCTGTATTATTGCAATCATCGTCATCGTCTATCCATACAGTCATTAAACGCCACTCCGCTGACCAATCAACTCGTTACCCAAAGTCATGCGTGCGCAAAAGAGAAAAGTTCGTGTCGAGGAGAAAAAGGCGATTAACAATTTGTCCATGGTCGTCCATCAAGCTCGTTGAGAGTCGTAAAAAAAAAAGTCACCACCATATACAGTATATATACATACGTCGACCTCAGGACTGAAGAGCTAAGACGAAGAGGAGTAGTTTCTCCACCGAATGTATATTCGGATCTTGAATCGCCAAGTCATTCGGTCCATCCCGACTTCGATGTTCAAAGTCATTAAACCCAGGTCCCCACGTAGAAACCGTGAGTAACCATTTTTCTATACCAACTGACATACCAATGACTATTCTCATACTGTGTACTGTGCTCAAGACGCACCTTGCAGCTTCGAGTATCAGTGCTAAGGGAAGTACCAAGAAACCTGGAGAGTCAATGGCAAAGAAAACATGGCTACCGGATTGTCGTCTCGTCAAATAGGGAAAAGCCAAACACTCTCGACTGCCTCGGCTACGACTCCCTTGAGTGTAAAGTAAACGCGGAGGAGCTTCCAGTGAATTGACCCGTTCACGCCTTGGATATTCGTATGTACAGTACATTGAGGAAACGGTGGTTAACGCATTTGTATGGATAAGACATATCCAAGTTTACAGATTGAGATATTTCACTAGCAGACTGTACCTGGTAGATATAGATTTGTAATACCGAAGTGCAACAACTGTAAGCAGCTCCATCTGGATTAATGAAGCATGGATGTGAATTGACAGTGGAAAAATTCTAATTACACTCTGGTCATGGACGTAAGTATCTCTTAACTAAGTGTAAGGGTTAATTAAAATTTTCTTTGAGGTTCTACCAATCAGAATAATTGCTAAATATATATAAAAGATTCGATGAAGATTCGCCGAGTGAAGATGCGACCTTACAACTGGCTTGCTTTCTTGGAATAGGACTAACGAGAACCGATGTATCTTCAAGGCCGATCTGACATTATTGCCAGGCTGTAATTAATAATTATACTCCGAAATCACCGCCGGCCATACTGCGCTGTAATGTACTGAGATTGTTAAGCCACGTGCACGCAACCAAAGCCTGTAAAAGATTGGTGCATTGAATAACCAAGAGAAAATGAATGGGTAAATACAGACTTACCAGTTACAAGAAAATCATACACCGTCTCAGAGTAATAATTAATCGTTGAATATAATATTTCAGAATTTCTCAAAATCACCAAAATTCACGAGCGTTACGTCCGACCGAAATTGAAGGGGGATTTGAAAAAAATCGTTCCAGGTCAAAGGTCACCGAAAATCATGAAACAGGAAATGTCCCAGACACACGTGTCCACCTAGAGAGACTTGCTGTCACCCAGGAAGCACAATTTCCCAGTTCTTCCATAAGCAGCCTTCAAACGGAGCAGACAAGAGAGTGACAAAGAGAAGTCGAACCATCTGCATTTAATTCGTAGCAGGCATAAGCGTGACGCGATGCTGGTCACCCTTAATAAATCACAGTGCCGGTGGGGCCTTTGCAAGAGGAGTAAGGAACCGCGCAAACCGTGTCAAACGTATAAAGAGTCTGTGGCAGGATACATATATATACACGCTAAGATCTCGTTCCGGGATAAAGCGCGGCAGAGAGCCGCGGATGGATTAAACCGGGACAAGAACAAAGAGTAGAGCCCCATAAAGACAGTATGTAAAAGGATACCCGACGATTTGTCGTAGTTGGCAAAGGGAATTAATCGTCCGCCGTGATTGCAAGCGTATCCCAAGAGCACGGCGAAGACGTTGAGTATAAACGAAAGCAAGCGTTGCAGGTTTATCTGCTTGAATTTACGTGGCACGTGTTTGTCGCTGGTTGCGTACAGATACAAATTGCAGGGGTAAATTTAAGCGCACCTAGAGCATAAGACGAGAGAGGAGATCTAGTAGTCGTAATGGGGGGGTGGACGACGGGGAGAAGTCCTCGATGTTGTTAAGGACGACTAGTGAGAAACATGGCGGACACATTTATAGAATAGTACGCGAAGGAATGGAAGAGAAAAAAAAGAAAAATATTTCATGGGTTATATATCGCGGGTGGTCCGCACCCTGGGAGCAATTAATTCCCTCGTAAGTCCGTTAGTCAATCGACGCGATATATTTCATTCTAGTCGCTCTGTTTCAATCTTACTTTTTTTTTCCAAACTTTTCTCCCCGTCCTTCGCCGCTGTGGCAGCCGCGATGTTTCCGTCGGGCCCCTTACACCGGGTCGTGTCTCTGTTTAGGCGAGTAACTTCCGTAAAAATACACAGCCAGACGCCAGAAGCGTCTTGGAGAAATTACGAGGACGAGAATTCTCGTATTAACGTGATTATATACGCGCGTTGATATCTTATATCGTTTTTAATGATTATCATTTCGATAAGTCCTAGGCGACGCGTGGCTACTGGCGGGATATTTAAAATTCTTTGACTAGCTTCCATGCAATATATTGATACCGGGAGAAACGCGCGAATACCGCTGAGTGGATTGACGAGGGCCTCTTGGAAATTGATTACGTCAATTTTCGGCACACTAAATCTTCCCGTGTTTATATGACTGATACGGTGGATTCGTTATAGACTCGTCGTGCAGCCGATTTGTCTCAGAGGAGAGAAAAGAATAATTGGAAAAGGGCATATGAGGAAATCGAGTTTTACGTGCGGTTAAAAAAAACTTATATGTAAGGCTGTGCGATGGGAATTTATTATTTCGTAGAAATTTCAATGGGCCTACTGTACCTACAAGTTGTATAGGCAACACTGAAGAATTGAATATACTATACTTATGTTTTAGATACTAAACTATACATGTACGGATGATTATAGCTGTACCCAGAGCTGCCTGTAAATTATTAGCTCTAATTAAATACGTGGCTGGACTCCCTGTATAAACAGCCGACGGAAAGGAGGTTCGTGCTGGATTTTACTGGCGTTAGGATAGTAAAAAAAAAAATTATACGCACGTGATAAAAGGTAAGAAAAAGCATGTGGAAAAATTACTACCTCGAGCATCCCCGACAAGGGTACCACAGATTCTGATTTCCAGGAATTGATAACCGAATGGATGCAATAGGAGTCTGTTCTTTGCGAGAAGAAATCTGCATTACGCTTACGTGATACGTAAAAGGTGTACAAAAACTACATAAGGATCTCTACCATACAGAATTCTCTGTACGAGTGCGTTGGATTGTCTGTGGTGAATTTACAAAAATTATCTCAACAAAAAAAGATGGAGCTTTTATCGTCAGATTATATATTCATTTGGACTAGTATTATGTACCGGGGATGTATACCGACTGACTCCCGGTAATATTCCAAGTGACAGGAGTTTATTGTGTATGGTGGGAGGGCATGCTATTCTAGGACCCATAATATTTTTATAGTTTCTCGCTAATGCGTGTTTATTATCCTGTCACCTTGTCACGGGGCCCATTTTAACCATTGGTTAAATAATCATAGACGCGCCCCCTTAAGCTTGCTTATCCAGGAAGGAGGTTCATGGTAGAAAAAAGACTGACAACCCCATTGGATATCGGAATCCAATGATCTAATACTGCGTATAGACGGGTATAGAAGAGTATGAAGGATTTGATAATTCGAGAATGACCATCGCGCTTGTTTATGGGGTAATACGTTATAGCACGGTAACGTCCATCAAGAACGCAGTGGGAGGTCTCAGCTGGAACCCCATAAAACAGAAGATGATTTCCATAGGAATATGCGTAGCACTACGTGTAATCAATTATTATGTAAAATCTACGTCCAACGTCGATCTCCCACAGTGTCAGACTCGTGGTTCTGGTCCAAGAACCACCGTAAAATGTCCATAACTCGTTATGGTTTCCAAGGTGACGCTGTGAGGAGGAAGGAAGAAAATTGAATGAAGAAGAAACAGAGAGAGGCTAGACCAACAATAAAGGACTAGGATATAGTATAAGGATAAGTGGAAACAAGATGGCCGGGACTGAATGTGTATCCCTGTTTTAAAGTAGGTACCTGGGTAATCATCCCCGTTAATGTACAGGTATACAAAAAAAAAATGTCACCCCCTGCAATACCCATAATAAAACTGCGTATAATATCGTCTGAAACGAAACTCCAAACCGATCGTATAACATACGGCAACATCCTGTAGGTGGAATCGCGTTATAAGAAAGTAACCTCGAGGCAGCCATTTTCCTTGCGAGTCTCGTAACCCGAACCGATTCACGGAAATAAAACGAATCCGCATCGGCCTGCAGCCGTTTCCGCGGCTTAATCACCGCACCCTGATCGTAAAGCTCGCTGTAAAGCATTCTCGTGGCTGCAGACCCGGGAGGTTCTGGATTTGTAAACAGCAAAAGGGAAACCAGAAGATCGTTCGATTCCACGGTGGGTTAACGTCCCGGTTCTCCGAACGTGAATCGTCGTTATTATTAATTGACCATATTTCGATCGGTTAAAATCACGCACGACGATCCCCCTTTTCTTGGAACCCAATAAAACCGCTACTGCTCCACGTATTCGTTAACTGTCCCGGGAGATAATTAATCAGTGTAATTAATATTCCCGCCATAATTAACACTAGTCCCCGTATACGTACGTATACACTAATGTCACGCCGTAACGAAGAGTCTCGATTTCGTGGTAAACCTCATCGCCGGAAATCTCGTTATAAGTCGTACGACAAGACACGAGTGCTCCTTCTCCGATTTCATTGGTGAAAGATAAAAAGGGAATCAAGTAGAGAGACGGAGACAGATCGATATACCTATAGCGAAGAAGAGAGAGATGCCCTAAGAGAATTACGTAGCCAACCGAATATACGTGAACATAACCTAAAATATGAACACGAGTCACAGCGTAAAGCATTGGAGAAGGACTGTACGCGCGATGCACTGACGACTTGCTGGAACCAGTATACGGAGGTTATGTTTAATTTGAATTTTTTAAATCTTTACTCAACATCTAGTCAAATTACTCGTATCGCTTGTAGACATAGAAGCTTCGCGACCCTGGCTGCCGGTTTTTCGCCAAGACTGGATCTTTCATCGGGATCTATAATGGGGCCCGTGAGGAGTTTCTGGCTGGCAGCAAGAAGACAAGCCTGGAAGAAGCAACCCCACGGTGAGGCGTACAGGTTGAGCCCCGGGGTATATAATCAACGAGATGAGAGAGGTACTAGCCACTTCGTATTTGTTTTGTTAGTTAGCAAGTCGTTATGCCGCCCCACGTCCCTCGCTTCGATCTCTCTCAATTCTCCCCAGGTTCCACCTTTTCGAGTCTCCGGAGGAGACGGGGTCTCTTTTATGGTCAAGGGAAAGAGAGGTAGGACGAGGAGTGACTGTCAGATCTGTAACAGGATGTAATACCTCATGAGTTTCACTTAAAAAAAATTTTTTTTTTTTTCACTTCGGTATCGTCACACGGTCAATCAATTTCCCCAGGATGGATCATCCTCGTTAATACTACCGGATCACTGGAATTTCAAGGATGTGTATTTTGCGGCTGACACCGACTGCGTGGTCTGCTAGGACTTCATCAGGAAGAAGTAAAACCGTGTTACAGGGTCTCTTATCGTAACCAGTTATCGAGCTATGGAATTCTCGGATCCGGGTCTCTATAAGCTGTCTGGTAGAGTGGCCGGCCTGTTGCATGGGTGTATGGGATAAGGCCCCAAGGATCGTACGCCGGTCGAGACTCCCTTGGAGAGATGATGGATCAGCTCTCTGCCTCCCTTTCGACTTATCCTTTTTTCCTTGTTCCCGAGACGCCAAGAAACCCGGGCCAGCTTCGAGGTGCACGTCGGACCCGAGACGTGGAAGGCAGAGAAGAAGGTGATGGTGTTGGTGAGGAGAAAAAGAAAAAAAAACGGAAACACGAAACTGACTGCCAGCCTCCATGCCTGCCTACCTACCTACCACCGTGCCCTCTTCAGCCTCCGAGGTCCATGAGTTCCAGACTCGAGAACATTGGCGTAGACACCGCTGCTCCTCGACGAGTCGTTAAGAAATCATTTCTTCGCGGGCAGGACGCACTCTACTCAAAATAATCATAAAATGACCCAAGAACGAATAAACGATCCAAGCATGCAGAGGTAATGAAATTGAAAAAGTACCAAGCAAAATTCAAACTCTAAGGATACCCCTTGCTTCGATACAGCAAATTGATCCTTGAGATCCTAAGGAACAAGACTCCAGGTGCAGTCGTCCCTGCCAAACGAGAGGATGGTCCCCGTCGGGTCGTAACGATTCGGCAGAGCTGCTTCCTGGGTCCCGGGTCTCGTACGTACGAGTCAACGACGCTGCACACCAGGACGCCGGAGAGTGGCAGTGGAGTGCCGCGTAGAGTGCAACCAAGTGTATAGTGCACCGCCATAATTTACATCGAAAGAGCCGATAAACATCGCGCCCTGCGGACACGAAGCCAGGAGAACCCATGGTCCACGAAGCCCCCATAGCACTCCCATGCATTGTCCTGTCGTTCCTCTTCGTTATATCGCGCCTTCGTTCTTTCTATATATTCCCCATCGGTTGGGCACGTTAAACCACGCATCACCCACGTATATAAAACCCCTGTGTGTATATATATATATATATATACCCGCATACAGCGAGCGTACAAGGAACGCAAACTCTAGATTCCATAGTAAAAACGAAACCATACCTAGCATACCTGAATGTCCTGTGACTTCACTTGGTATACCTACACGAGGTAGATATCTCATTTAGATATCAGAAGGCCAGGTAGCATAAGTGACTCTAACAAGGTATGCAAGGATAAGCAACACCTCGTTGCTACCGCAAGACCGTTGCTTGGTAACCATGGTGATTAATAACAACAGAAATAAATTCACCAGACGCGGTTCCGAGAAGTAACCATCGGTCCAGAACGATCCTGACGCGAAAGTCAATATCTAATTTCGTACATGGGATACCTGTGAGTTTACTTAGAGTTTTTCTAACGAGCGTACCTTAGATATCTTTCAAAAGTATCGTATAAGAGTACTCGTAACCTAGGAAACGCTAACGAGCTATCACTGGGGTAACGCTAACGAGCTCCATGGTAAGCAACACCTCGTTGCCGGTTAACCTGTTGCGCCGTGTACGTAGTACGAATAATTGAATAGCGGGAGAGCGCGTCGAGCGTGGAGAAGTGCAGTTCGTAAATCATAGGGGCGTCCGGGGTAATTTGTCCGTAAAAATGTAGGGGGTAACAAAGAGAGAAAGCACGGCGTTAATCGTAAGGCAGAAGCGTGGAGAAACGAATCGCGATTGTCGATTAGCACAAGAGACAATTAAGTTGGGTTATGGATTCCGTTGTTGAACGTAAGTAGCATCCCTCTCTCTCGCTCTCTCTGCTTAAAATTGTAATCGCAACGGCGAAGGTGCGAGGGAGACTAGGATAAAGAAAAGAGTGACAGATAAAAACATTAGTCACTGTATAGAACGCCATTAAATTATCACGCCACTTTATTTAGCGATTGTAATCACGCGAGTCCAGGTGGGTCGCTGCGATACGTATATAGAGATTCGCCTTGAAGCGATCGCTTACACAGGTTCTGGCTATCGCTACGTACTTGTCCTGTACCTGGTGAACGGTCACGCAAGCGGAACACGTTCAACGAGTTTGAAGCTTCGTCGAGACGATTATACCCTCTCGTTATGGTGATAACTTGATTTAAGGACATTGGGAGCTGGGTAAACATCGAGGATCAGGATAATGAGAGTGGGTCTTTAATAATTTTTATTCATTCAATAAATCGCTTCTGTGAGCGACTTAGATCGAGGGATCTTGTTGAAATATTTATTTTAAAAAATAAGTACAGCCGCGAAATACGACGTACGTAGTAGGTAACCTTGTCAGAAAACTCGGTGAGTTTCTTCGACAGACAAGTACTAGGTGCTAAAGTGCTCGCGAACGCTTTTCAAGATAATCTGCGTCGTAAAGCAAGACTCCAACTCGATTAGTTAAGCGTAAGCCGACCTAACCTCACATTTTATATGATCATGTAGAAAAGCGTCTTTACGATCCTCCCCATAATACTAGGTTGTATAATCGCCGCGTGGTTCCTACGATTAACTGAAGTCCCGCCGAACGGAATAGAAAGTGAACGGAGCACAGGACTATTACAGTTATCGTTAAGAGATTATATTATTTTGGTAATCTTTCCCAGTACAGACTCTCTTGATCCTGACTATCGGCAAAGAGATCCTGTTTACAATAATGGCCAACGGACGTGCGTTTCCTATTACTATAAAGGGGAATACGAGAGAACCCTACTACCCAAAACCTGACACCTGCCAGACATAGAGAGAAGACGCTAATTATTGCAAGAGAGAACCCACCTGTCCTTAGGATTGTTTTTGCTCGACTATACCGGATGAATTTGGTTCATGAAAATTCCACGTGTCAGACGTATATCCTAAACTGGATATACATACATACACATGTGGACTTGAAAATCATCTTGTACGGTTAAAAGCATTTTAACTTTTTTTTTCTCACCATTTTCTTTTTTCCTCGCGATAAAGAGTTAGAAACACGGTCAGGGTGTGTACTACGGGTAGGGTTCCTTGAAATTTGTACAAGTACGTACATCATCTCCTTCCATGGTCCATCTCACCTCTCGCTCCTCTTCCCTCTCTCTCTCTCTCTCTCTCTCTAAGATCACTCATCTTCCTTACTCTCCCTTATTCTCCCCTTGACTCGCTACCTTTCTCCCTTCAAGATGGAATGCCATTGACTCCCATGCATATCTGGCAACAAGGTTCCTCTCGAACCATCTCCCTTGCACGCTCCATACACCGGGTGCTCTTGTAATTTTGTATCGCAAGAACCACATCGCAGTGGTTATTATATGCAAAGGATAATAACAGGTATCGAATGAAGATAAAAAAAAACAAATTGGCTAGCTCGAGATTTACAATGGATACTGGCGTAAAATGTGGCGTGCATTAAAATACAGCGTTATCTGTCATTAATGTTAATTAATGACACGACGTTAACTACGTTGATTAAATCGTGCGCGCACAGACGTTCACAAATGAGAATCAATTTTCGAGTTAGAATATAGGATGATACGTGGTCATACAGTTCGCACCCGTGTATGCCTATGTATGACGAGCGTACAGTGATTAGGATTGTTAAGTGATAACGATAAATTCGCATTAGATCCTGCTGCTAGTACCTAATTGCCTTAGTAGTCCTAGTCCTTATCAGGTGAAATAAAAGGGATTGTACTGTATGGGAAAGAAAAAAGTATGGTAGCAGGATTAATTGAAAAAAAAAATGTCTATCATAGGTCAGACGTTAAGTGTGGTGTTACCTTTTTCTAGGTCCACCCGTTACACGGACTAAGATGAGCCTCTCAACATAAACGGGATGGGATGAGATGGGAGTCAGAGGCTCGTTAGCGGCACGAGGGGAGCCAACACTGTTGCCAGATTGTTATCCCTTCCTATACGGCGCATTTTCAATCTCTACCTTCGCCTCGGCAGTACACAAAACGTAAGGATGCACTTAGTGCAGTAGGGCCTGAGTGATCCAAGTATAAGCTTGTGAAAATATATTAAAGTGCCGTCCAAAGACTTGTCGGTTCTCAAATGAGAGTTCAGAGCTTTTTATTTATCTCTGTAAAGTCTCAGGATTTCCTTATGGAAATAGCTTGGTCCAAATGTTCAAAGGAGCTTTATAAATAATTTAAACAGACTCACCATACGCTGGCAGCATTCCCAAAGTAGTAGAGAAGAAGGAAGACTACGGCACAGTATGGATTTGCTAGGCCATCCTGAGTAAGGTATTGCTGCTGCTTCTGCGAGATGATCGACTGATCCTGAGGATGAAGTGGTATAGCCTGGGTGCACGCAACAGACATTCTACCAGCAGCCAATCGTATCACGTAACCAACAGCAACAGCCGCATGGCAAATAGCCAGACAGGCAATAGCCCTCTCTGAAAAATAATATTTTTCATCGTTCATCTTCCTTGGAACTATTCTCCAGGTCGTGCCAATGTCAGAGAGTATATTCACCGGCTGTACTAGTGGTATGCCGCCTCTGTGGTTTTAGGAGGGTAAGGATGGCAGCAGCTACAGAGATCAGACAGACAGTCGCAAATGCTGTGATCCAAGCTTCAGTCAATTTCTTCTCTCTTTGACTCCAGAGGATGTCCGCGTCGCAGGCGGCAGCGCATCTTCCGGAACGATTCAGGAATATGTACAGGGCAGATTTTGCATACCAGGAGCATCCCCATGGACCAGCCGCGAAAGCCTTGAATTAAATTATATGATTGGGTTAGATTTTTAGGTCTAGTTTTTTATCAGAGGATTTTCTCAATTTTCTTTTTCTTTTTCTTTTTACCTGCACCGGATGCACTGGTCCAGGTTCACCAGGCCCCTCCATACACATATGCTCGTGATTGTTTTCTGGGGGGAACTTGGAACAGTTCAATGTCGCTGGCCAGGTAAAACCAAAACCATGGAGGACCGGGATGCACCGTGCTCGTACCTGCTCGCATAGTCCTCTACAGGGACCAATGGGCGAGGGTACCTTTTCCGTGCACATTGGTGCATAAACCGAACAGAGGAACAGCTGTAGCTGGGCACTGTAAGAGGTTATAGGTCGTTAGTGTATGAAATTTTTAGTCAATGGTTTTGATTGGCATAATTAAGAAAATTAACATGATTTGGGTAAACTATGTAGAATCTAATGACAGTGTGGTTGACGTTAGTAGATGAAAATATGGAAATCAATTGTTATGTCATTCTCACCTGCAGCCATATTGTAACAATGGATTGTAGGTTGATAACATAAATTCTGCATCACTCTGGATCTCATTTCCAACTAGGTTCGGCATTGTTGTCACATTGTAGCCAAAACCACGACACATTTCTATTCTTATTGGTTCGCAGGCACCTTGGGCGTACATAATACCCCGCACAAACATCAGTACGACGAGCCACCACATGTTGATTATTTATTTAATAATTTAATTTTTGAAAAGACTAGCGATATATTTCTTTCGGAATATTAGTATTGTAGTTAATCACTATTCACTGTGATTTCATGGTTAACGTTTTACATGCAATTTCACGGATTACTACGATATTCAAGTGTATTTAAAAGCGCGGCAAGTTTGAACTTCTTAACAATCCGAAGCCTTGTAAATTATTTGAAAATCACCCGAGGCTCATCTAGCGAAGTAAACGTCAGATTATAGAATCCTGTTATCATCTCGTTAATAAGTCTCATAAAACAGTTTAAAGATAATTTTAAAAATTAATGACAAAACAATTGCACAAGACTTACGTGAAAGATATTAACGCGTGTCGCACGTATTTAAAATGTCACAGAGCAAAATCACGTTATGTCATTGGTCAATTCATTATCGGACGGCTGACAGTCGCACAGCCGGGGAAATACATTTCAACGAAATCATGATAGCTCTCAATGCATCCTTTAGACGTAACGTATTCGTTCATTCGAATTAAAATTTCAACGAAACAGGAAAAATCCAACACTTATTAAAAGACGAAGCAAAAATTCATTCCTAATAGTACAGAAACTTTTTAATTCTCCAATTTGAAGTCACTGTATTCACTGTTAAATTTTTACTTCGGAACAATACAACGCATTTGTTCCCACTCACTTAAATATTCACGAGACACGATTCGATTTTATATTCAAAGAAAAAAAAAAATAAGATTTCAATATTCGCGCGATTCTTGACGCGTAAACACAGAATCCAACCGCGACACAACCTCCCCGTTCAACGCTTCTTACATTACTAAACCTCCCGCCGTAGTAGCAGCTTGCGGCGTCTGTTTATCCCCACCATTCCTGCAGTCGTTTCTCCTCGGCTCCACTTAAATCCCAGCGGCGGCTACACTGAAGTACATATACATATGCACACCCAGTGCATTCCTTGTATACTGGCTCCAGAGGATGAGGTATCAAACGAGGCGTGTTCACACCTCTCCCAAGTAAATAAGAAACGGGAACGAAATTAATTAATGAACCAAAAGGAAGAGACGGGTGTAGCAGGATCTAAAATAAAAAAAATATATTAATTTTACTGGAATCTGAATATATTAAAATAAATAAATGTAAGTATGTGTGTACCTTAGAAGAATAGTAAAATTATTAACAAAAGATATAAAGATTTGATAAACAGTTAAAATAAAAATACCCAATGTAAAAATGCGGTGTATTATTGATCTTTGTTATCTACCGTGTAATCGTGGTAGGATGTGTATATATTGTGCATATATGCACTAAGCGTGTAAAGCAGTGGACTGTCGTAGATAAGAGGGTTGCGTCATGGCCTTAGTTACCGCTAAAGGATTAAAGAATAACTGCGGCATTATTGTTTACATAGTGCGTGCGCTAATAAATTTTCTCAGTCCGAAAAAAGGAGGAGTGAAAGTGCAGATAATAAATGCCCCGGGCGAACCGCCCGCCGAAGGACTATAAGGGCCTTACCTTGCAGTCAAGATGGGAGTAGCGGCCTCGGAGACGAGGCCCAATTATACCAAGAAAATACAGCCCATAAAGCCGGCCTTAACCGCCGCCAAACACTGGGATATGATAATGAGACCTCGCTGCCGTTGCTGCACGCTCGAACCTTTCTACGGGCGTACTTCGGCATAGCAGAAAGAAGCAGCACGAAAATAAGGCCCTAAAACGGGGCCCGACGAGTATCACATGTACGTGAATAGCAGTGGTTTTCTTTGGAGATCACGAAAAGATGCAGTTTTGCGTGTTGCTGTACGGAGAGAAAAAAATACTGTGATTCTTTACTACAAAAAAAAAAATAAAAAATAAAAAAATTATTCTAGTTTCTGTACCTGAACACTCAGAAGAGGATATCTTCGTCGGATTCATCACCCAGGATATGATAAGCCTCTACCGCAGGGTAATCGTATGTTGTCATCTGAGATGCAAGCTTTGCTCTCATTTTCTTCTTGTCTTGCAATTTCTTTAAACGATGAAATTCCTCGCGTTCACGCTCGTCCAGTTCACTGATGACGTACCTCAGGGTGCACTCTAACCTGGGTATGAGAATATAGGTTATGGCGTTTATACGTCGATTCGTCGATGTAATCACTTCGTTCAGGGTAACGAAACCATATTGCAGGGATGCCAATTCCACAAGGAGTTCTATTGCCCTGCGGTAGTTCTTTTTTAGGTTAGACACCTGCTAACGAATTAAACGATTGAAAACGGTCTTTACGATATAATGTCAGGATAATTATCGGTCAATCAGTTCATTATGCTCACCTGCTGTCCGCCTCTGGCTAAACCAGCGTATTCATAAGTATCCGATGCGTCTTCGTAATACTCAAAAAGGTGGAGATTCACGCCGGCCACATTCTCTTTTCTTGATCGGATCTTTATTCTCGCTCTGTCCACCGTTTGTAGCACCAGCTGGTGTATATCACCGGCTATGTACTTCACCTGGGCTAACGAGAAGGATGCTTCTTTCATGGCTTCTCCGGTAGATACTTTATTTTTAATTAATCTCATTAATATTGTCCTGAAACGAATCTGAAGACCGTCGGCTTTCTTTTTCAATAAATTGTGTCCTTTCTTCGCCGAGGTTAGACGCAGCTTTATTTGCGTTTGCGAACCCCGCGTTGGCGATATTGGAAGTCTCTCGCTTGTCGCCATAATTTTCTTTCTTATCGATATCGACGATTACGATGATCGTCTTATGTTTTTATCGATGCGAATTACCTTATTTCAGTGTCATTATTCTTGGTGCGATTAATCTTAGATTATTGTTTGTACTTTATATAAACTAATATCTATTATATGTATACAGAAACAAAGATTTGCTAACATCAGCTACCAGCTGCTATCACGGCAAGTTTATTTGGACCAACTGATACAGATTTTAGTCGATTACACCGTTGGTTGAAATAATTAAATTGGTATAGGGATCTGACAGTTACCATGACATCTGGTGGCAGTAAATAGAAGTTCGAAATGGCACACGATAAATCAATCCAGTTGTGGGTAACTCTCTCTGTCTTGATTGTTGCTGTTTTAACTTCAGTGAGCAATTTGTAATCTGTGTTTAATAGATCGATTGATTTATAGTCACCTGCATCGTCTGTGCACTTTCCCTTATGGAGCAGAGGATTCTCTTTGCTGCCACATCAGCTTCTACGATACATTTCCCGTGTAGTATCTCCAGAACAAATTTCCATATATTCTCTTTGAGCTGGACAAGATCTTATACAACAAGGTTATAAATATGTCCTCTTCCGCTGTTTTCCATGGCGCCATCTTTTTATAGGCTACTGTTACTTCTTCTATAATGTATGGATGCTCCGATCTGTTCTGTAAAGAGAACTTGTACAAACACCCCTGTATGTTTTGATGATAAATTAAATAGTAAGATGAGAAGTAATGATCTTGTTTTTTGTTTCTTTTTTATATTCATATATTTAGCAATTTATGTTATCTCAATGTTGATTAATTATTCTATATTAAAGTATGTATTAAAATAATCGTCATAAACATAAGCATCGGTGGTTCAGTGGTAGAATGCTCGCCTGCCACGCGGGCGGCCCGGGTTCGATTCCCGGCCGATGCAATAAATTTTTTATTCATTAGGTACTATTTATATAAAGTTTTACCTAACTAACATAAAAACAAGTAAAAATCTGGTATATTTATTAAACGCGATTAAAAGATAGATACACTTTGGCAATAGATTATACATAGATAAATAAGAATATCATTTACGATAAAAATTGCTATAAATATAAATAAAATTGCATCGGCCGGGAATCGAACCCGGGCCGCCCGCGTGGCAGGCGAGCATTCTACCACTGAACCACCGATGCTTATGTTTATGACGATTATTTTAATACATACTTTAATATAGAATAATTAATCAACATTGAGATAACATAAATTGCTAAATATATGAATATAAAAAAGAAACAAAAAACAAGATCATTACTTCTCATCTTACTATTTAATTTATCATCAAAACATACAGGGTAAATGTGTCTTCTACTATTGGAATACTCTCATACTTTTATTTCCATAGTGAAACGTAAGAAGAAACGTTGCACCTGCCAACACCAAATTAATCCTACTACTCAGCATGAATAATTATAAAGAATCATTCGACTCGTTAGTATCCTAATCGCGCGAGCATATATTTCCAGTAAAGATCCATGGAAAACGTGTGGTAAGGACAGCCGTGTTTCTGATTAGATATAAGAACATGCGTTGGTCGATAATGCAAGAAAGCAGAAGGAAATTCGAATATATGTTGCGATAAGATTATATAATACCTCAAACAAATATATTTAACTTTCCACTACCAAAAGAATTAACGTATTCGTTTATTTATTTGATTATCTCACGTTTATTAATACGTGAAAAATATTTTTACTCGCATTCACTGACGTATCAGTACACTATAGTAGAGTTCGTGACTTTTCCTTTTGTTAATAAAGGTGCTTCTTAATATTCCTTACGCGCGGCAACATGACTTTAATAAATTAGCATAGTAACTATCTAATTATGCCGCCACGTTTACGGAGAAACACGGCATTGTTTGATCGTAGCTCTCTCGTATATTGTGAAAACAAATATTAAAAAGAAAAAAGACGTTAAAAGCCGTCCGCTTTCCGTTGACTGGATTGTCAGCTGTAACGCGGCATATATGCTTACATGTAAATAGCATACTTAAGGAGCATTCACACTGAGTAATTGTAGACATAATATAAAACCCGGAGAAAGTTTCAATATAAATGATATTACATTGCAAAAAAGAACGCCATATATGTACGTTAAAATTTTGCAGATTTGTATATTAATTATTCAAAATTATATACCGCAGTAATTGCTCTTTAAAAACTCTAATTTAAATAACGTTTCCTTCTTAAAATTTGTATCTTCAGACCTGATTAAAAATTTATATCCTAATAACCTCTATGAAATCTTTCGGCGTAAGACATTTTCTTGTTGGGTGTAACGTTTCCAAATTCTTTGCGAACAGTGTCATAAAGAAGTCGATCGACACAACCGATAAAATGGGCTACTTCAGATTCACAACGTAACGTGTGTCCTTCGTACATTTCAAAGCAATCCGTAATCTGATTAATGGGAATAATATTGATGATATTAAGGTATTTTAATATATTAATGAATTACTATATCTTGCCTTGTTTCTGTCGATGGGACAACTTTTGGTACGGCCACTGTGTACAAAGTTCAATAATCCTTTCATAATTTTTTCAGCCTCAAAAATATCCAAGTTGTTTCGTATTGTATGATTTTTATCCATACATGCCAATTTTTCAATCCAATAATTATCGTAATTCCTGAGGCGTTCCTCGTCTACGGCTCCTTGTTAGACAATTTAAGTGGTTTTATATCAGGAAGTATAGATCGAGAAAATTTTCAAACTCTGTGTCCTTTGGTTTTCTTTTTTTAAAATTTTTACCCGTCTTTATACGCTCAGCTACGCTCTCACTTATTGCCATTGTGATTTGTGGTTGTGGCGGCAATGGTGGTGATTTTCCAAGTTTTTCCTCGCAAGACGCCTCATCCTTCGTAAAGCCTTTCTTATCTGACGACATTTTTATAATTTTAGTCAGAGGACTCAACTTTTTGATAAAGAAATTTTATATAAGACAGCTTCATAATTTTTTTATGGAACAGGATGAAGATAGCTTGTAACGCAGCGGAAATGTTTTTTCTAAAATTTTGATACTTTAAGTTTCATTTTTATTTGTAGTTTAAACTTCGCACTGTATCAAATAGAAATTCAATATATTGTAGAAACAAAAATTTGTATTTCAAATAGTAATCGTTGGTTAAGAGTACAAATATTTATTTGGTAAAGAAACATGTATAAGATAATATAATAAAGTATTAACAATTTAATAAATTATCATTAGACTCTCAACATTTATTTGCCATTATGGTGATTAAGATCCCAGTAGTGTTCACCGTATCCACCATTTCTGTTTCCCCATCTTACCTGTTTTCATTAAAATTGTATAATTAAATAAAAAGTATGTGAAGAATGTAAAAATCTTACCTTGCCCTGATGATGATTTTTCTCAAAATCTTTTTGCTCGAATCGTTGTTCCCATTCATTAGGATTTTCACAAACGTGACCAAATTGAATTTTAAGAGGTGCTACGTTCTCAGCAAAAATATCCCTGAAACATATATTAATTGTATATTATTTCACTAATTAAACTTTGATAAAAAGAAGTAAATCTCACTGAAAAAATTGTCCTTTCTGAACAATATCAGCAAGTATCTTTCTTGATGGTTCGACCAATGTTTCCATCTCGACAGTCTTCATATCTAGAAAACATTGTTCCAAAATATTATACAAGCTTTTCAAAATTGAGAAAGTTTCCCAATAAAATTTTAACTAAATCAACTCACAATATGGAAAAGACAATTACAAACATACCTGAATTATCATCATCCTCATCGTCATCATCATCATTCTCAACCATTTCAGCTTCAACTTTACTTGCTGCTAAAGTTTCCACGATAAGAAACAATACAAGGAATCCAAGAATACTGATATATTTTATACACATGATTCTAAGAGAGATTCAACAATATAAGAAATTACGAAATAACTATAAATGATCTATGAATTTTATAACTTTAATTGAACAACGACGTATAAATCCCTCTAAATACGAAAGTACCTTCTGTTTGAAATAAGATACTGTACTGAAGCGTAGACCAGCGTAGACGGACGTCAGATTAATATGTTTTTACACGACACGCTCTATTAGCTAGATTCCGTGAAAGTCATTCGATGAGATACATAAAATTTCAGGAGTGAAAAAGAATACATTCTGAGATATTTTTCATTTTACAGATCAATCTTTATATATTTCTCGATTAATCAACACATAAACATATTTATTACAATTTCTTTATCTAACAATATTATATTAACAAGCGTCATTTCAATATTAATTTATTAGTAGTTTATCTTATATGAAGAAAAGATCACTGAAAATATTATTCATATAAAGTGAATAGACACATTGAAATACTTCCAAGCGAAATATTAAAAAAGAGAAAATAATTTATAGATATAGTAAATGTTGAGAGTGTAAATGCCAATATGCATTGTGCGTGTAAAGACAAGAAAGTGTACTGAACACAATAGGAAAGCATCGTTCTTCGAATTTTATTCTTTCAACTGAATTTGAATTGCCATTACTTTTCAAATGATAGAGGATAAGTATTTTTTGCGCATTTCAGTACTGATTGAATCAACTTAACGAATCCCGTATCCTTAGGCTTTTCCAATCCTCGAAGCACACGATTTTTCATCACAGACACGAACTCCCGGTTACTCAGTTGACCATCCACTGTAACAATTAGTTTTAATTGTTGAAACAATTAAATTTAGGATAAAGTCGTGAAGAATGCATATACAATAACAAAGTAGAAATGTACGTACTATTTTCATCGAAAATAGTATAAACTACTTGTATAACGTGATCACTTAAGTCAACATGGGCCACAGTCTTCGCAACGTGTTTCAGTGTTGCTAAAAATACCGAAAGTTATATTAAGGATTGATTATTCCTGTAAACCACTTTTTATTAAATCAATTAAATAATGCAAACCTTGATCAATCGACGCGCCGGCAATGTGGTAGAAAGTCAAAGCCGTGTCGACATCATTAATATTATTTAAAAAGTGGAAGAACTTTAAGTAATCGTCCTTACTAATTCCTTTCGGATTCTCCCTAAAACTAAAAAAAAAATGTTTTAACTTGCAAACAACAAACTTCAATTATTAGGGGACCATTTAATATATAATTACGTCTTTTTCACTCTCTTCAACATCCGTGCTTTTTTCTTTTCAGGATAACCGGCATAAGCTAATAATAATTCGGTAAAATCGACTTCAGAAATATTACCATTTTCGTCGGGATTTCTACGTTCGAACTGTTGAAAATTGAGTAATCATTTTTTTTTGTTTATTTCATTAACAGCATATCATTTTCAAATTCAATTTTCATTTATTACCTCGAGATTAAGAATTTCTTTTTGCAACTGTTCTTGGAAATCCAAGAATTTCTCAATCGTTAATTTCTGTTTCATATTTGGTCCAAAGAAGTATGTGGTTAGCGCTGAATTAACACCCTGTGCACAATGATACAATTGTACTTGGGACTTTCAAATTAATTGACAAATATAAGAATTAACCAATTTACTTACCTTAAAAGTATTACCAGTGTTTGCATGATCTCGATGTCGATTGCCAATACTTGTTTGTTGGCGAATCAATGTGGCAACTTTTCCAAATTCATCAGAATCGACGTCTCCATCACCATTCAAATCGAACATTCTAAATGCTATTTCAAAGTGACGTCTCGAGGCTAAAATATTATTGATTACATGACATTGAGAAATTTTATGTATATGAGAAAAGGAGAATTCAGCGATGCAATATTAAACTTACTAGAGAGTACGGTGAGTAGAAATATGTAATCAGAGAACGTAATAAGTCCAGAACTTCCAAGCTTGTAAAATATACTATTTTGATCCAATTCCAGTTCTAATTTCATATGAATATTCTATTGGGATTACATATGATTATTATCCTTGATAATAGTTCTTATATTCCTAGATCAAATAAAACTCATACCTTTGGATCATAACGCCTGTACTGATCTAAGCCAAGACCTATAAAAGATATATATTGTGTATATTCTCAATGTAAGAATCAACAATTATAGAAGCAAATTTTTTTTCACAACAAAGCCAAAACTAAGAATATTATTATATTTTGCATGCAAATATCTTGGGATAATAAATAAGTATATTTGCCGTTTAGAGCAATTTTTGGTAACACAAGAAACATCTGCTGTTGCACTCTGAATTAAATAAACACAATTAGTTCATTAGAGACGTTTTTTGCTGTTGTGTATAAAAAAGAAAATAAAAATATTTCTATATCAGCACATAAAGTAGGACAAAAAAATCGTTGAACTGATTGGAATAATAAGAATTACCATCAGGTTGCTTCACGCCGGGTGTCAATGATCTTAAGAAATCATCTGGAGTCATCAACACCTCGTGCGCATCGTGGACTGTAACTTGAAGAGTCGCGAAATATCGAAACACTTTGTCCGGCGTTGAATAATGCCTTATACGGTTTTCGTATTCGATAATCTGCGTGTTATAATAGCATATTTCTCATGTTATTGTAGCATGCCGTTTTGCAAAAATTCAATTAATTTCATTTAAGCAATTATGATAGTGTCAAGTGCGAGACGATTCTTCGCTAATGTGAGAATATCTTAAGGCTGTGTCAACAATTAATACACGTAATTTTCAAACGGCAAAAGTTCATTTATATTATTATGTTTGCGGTAATAGTATAATAGATATGCAGTTCTCCCTCATAGAAAGTAGGACTCCGCAGTAGTTGAAAGAAGCTCATTCCATTATATTAGTAACGCAATATTTCATTGTTAAAGTTAACATATATTAACGGAATTTTACCATCCGGTTGTTTCATGCCAGGAGTAATGGCTCTCAAGAAATCATCGGGAGTCATGTAGATATCAGTACCTTCCATACTAGTGACCTTTACGGTCGCGAAATATCGAAAAATCTTATCTGGCGTTGAGTACGCTCGCATCCTATTTTCATACTCTATTATCTGTAAGAATGCTTGATCGTTGGTACTTCGGACTATTCATATTATTAAAACTAGTCTGCTGAAATAATGATGCAATTGTAATTGCTTTGACATTCAATTTGATGGTTCTTAATCGACACAAAGAATGTCATTTTTGTTTGATTTTTATTTCAATATTTACAAGTTTTACCACCGATACTCCTAAGAAATACGATGCACTAGATTATACTATATTTGTCAGCACTGCAATTTAATTCTGTGACTACTGCAGTTGCAATGTATTCCATTTGTTATTTACGAGATTACAAATATTTATCCTGAACAGTGATATCGAAATATTATACAACCTTTCTGTCTCGAAATCCAACTTTCTGCTTCTTTTTCTTCTTCTTGTGTTCATCGGGTTCAGTGGTTTCAACATTTTTCTCTTCTTCGTTTTCATCTTCAGTGACCATCTCAGCGGCATCTACCTTGGGATAGTATTTTCTGTCATACATTGGAGGTCTCTTGCCTTTTAGAACCCTGTATAATAAATTTACAATTAAATCATTAAAAATGTTTGATTCATATTCACCCACATTTTCTTCCAATGCAACCTTAAATTTTAATTCATTCACATAGAAATTTTATTGATATTTCAAATAATTCTTTTAATGACTTACCAATCCCAGTCTATCCAAAGGCCAATAAATACAAGTAAGAGTGTATAACCCATAATATATACACTTCGGGGTGGTTTTACCTCCTTGTGGCCAAAGTTTTTGTAAGATCTAGACTGCTCCCAAGTGACCCATTTAATATTACAGGGTCTATCATTGTAATTTGTTTTACAAAGTGTACTAAACGTAGCTGGTATAAGCTTTCGAAATCCATGTCTAGATTGCAATGAATATCCACAACGGCTAAGCAACATTCTCGCATCTTATGAACTGCAATAAGAAAATTGGAGAAGCAGTTTAGCACTACACATCAGAACTTAAAAGAAAATATCTTCACAGAAGAACATGCATAATGAACCATTTAATAATAAATGCGATTGAATAGAAAGTTTATTGCATCAAACAACTTAATTTATTGTGTTTCTTTCCTCACAAGCAATGGTAATATATTTTCATTTATTAGAAATATTTATAGTAATTATTAATAACATTAACTTACCAAATAATTTGAAGAGTGAAATCAATCGAAATGAAATTACTTGAATAATTATTTTTAATCCTAGGTTCCATAAACGTATTCTAGAAGACTATAATGTTGGTGAAAAAGCTTTCGGAATACGTCACAGGCGCCATCAGTGGTATTCCGGGATATTAAGCAAAAATATAAGTATGTATATGATTGAGACAAACTTAATTTAAAACCTTTAGATTATTTTAGATCATTTAAATATCTGCTTAGGTGAAGAAACGCAAATAAACCAGTTATACTAAATTTATAAAATTTATTATATACATTTTTCAAATATGTCAATACATTATTGCAAAAGTCAATTACTTATTAGTCTTTCATTTTCCTATCCTTATCTCTTTTGTCTTTAGCGTCCCATAATCCGCTTCTTATAAATCGTTGTGCAACATCTCTATTAACTCTAGGCATTATAGTATTTTTATCATTAATCTGCTTAGCACGGGCCATGCTCTGTTTCAATCTATCATTTTCAGATTTAATTTCATGCTTTGTTGGATCAATTCCTGCAATAATAAATTGATTATTTTATGTTACTCAAAGAGAAACTATGAGGATATTTCTGTTGCATACCTTCAGCACGTAAGTACATCCAAAACAGACTGTTTATACTAAACGACATTAACAAATTATATTGTATCTTTTCTGAATTAGACAATTTATCATATAATTTTGGATCATTAGATAGTTTCAAAAAATTTTGTATATTCTCCGATGCATTGCCAAACTGTGTCATTCGTGCAATGAGGTTTGCATCGTTGGAAAGTTCTGCAAAATCCGTGTCCATGTTTCCTGTGAAACTGATAAGTTTAAGTAAAGAAATGTGCAAGAATTAAAGAATTATTAATGTCCGACTGTCAACAAAATACGACGTGCATTTAAACTTTCTCCAATAACATTCCACTAATAATAATTGAACAATAACTATTCTCACCCTATATTGTAACTATTCTTTGTTGAAAGAATCCACACCGTGTAGCTTTATATGAACAATAAAAATCATAAACTTTGTAACAACTTCAAAGGCAATCAACAAAGAAATACTCAACAATTATAAAGGTACCTTTTCACGTCCAACAGACTAGTCGGTCATTGTGAAAAAGTTATTAGAAACCAGACGGTCATGTTATAAACGATGCCGACCAATGAGAGATCTGATTTATCTAAATATGTGTCTTTTACTAGTTAAGTCGACGTGGAAACGTACCTTAAAATTCATGTCCGTTTCTAAAATCCGCTAGGCGGCAGTGTTCCGGGTTCTGTTCTGAGATAAATTCAGCCTATTACCGAACCCTAGGCGTGCATCGGTTTTTTTAAAATAGTCGCTGCGCGATTAAACAGCTGATCCGCCTCCGCCTCTGTTAGAGCACATGTTTATGCGGCAAAGTGTCGCATAATTCTCATTATTCCTGGAAAGTAATGTGATTTTGTTGAAGTAATACTTACAGTGACTTATAGACGAAAGTCTGGATTACGTGTTGGTGACTGCAGGAGATGAAAAAACAGCATTAAAGTGAAATTTTTTGGATATTTCGCCGAGAAAAATGGCTGACCGCGATAGTGCATCAGAGAGTGACTCAAGCTCGATCGACGGGGGACCTATTATGATGCCTCCGTCGCCGGTGACCCGGGAGCAGCTGCAGAAGAGGATCGAATCTCTGCAGCAGCATAACCGGGTCCTCAAGGTCGAGCTCGAGACGTACAAGCTGAGAGTGAAGGCTCTTCAAGAAGAGAACCGTGGTCTTCGCCAAGCCTCTGTCATCATCGTAAGTTCATTGTCCTGAGCCCTGCTAATACGCAAAAACTCAAACTCTTTCCTTTCCGGCACCAATTATTATTTTCGGGTCAAGTTAGCGAAAGTAGACATTTTTCATGCAGTATACATTACACGATTACCTTGTGTCTGGCTTTGACTGCGTTCTACTTAACCTTTTATGGCGACTAATGATACAATTCATGCTTATCCGTAAGTCAACTTGGGTTGTTACGTATGAGGGATACTTGCATAGTTAGGTTCTGGGAGCAGATTCCAACTCTGACAGATGAAATAAAATTTGTTATCCATCCAAGGTCTGATGTTGCAGCTTGACTATATCTAAAAGTAACATTGATATCTTGATAAAATATACTTTGTGGATTATTAATGATAGTATGAATTTGGGAATAATTGTTCCAATTTTAAGTTCAGAATTCAAATTTGATAAAGGCAAAGAAATTGTAATTATTTGTCTTTGGGATATAATTTTGGAACATCCAGAAAAAAATTATTGGATTTAATTTAATCTAATTTGGATCTAACTACATCTGATTAGATATCCATTTTGGAAAAACTAAATCGTTTAGATAAGATTTTAGATCTTGTTAAATATAACTAGATCTGCTTATATCTGATTTGAAAATTGTTCTATTGTTATATGAGATTTGATCTTATTAGATCAAATCAGATCTGATAAGATCAGGCTAGATTTAACTTAACATTGGAACAATTTCTGGCTAAACTGCAAAATACGATCCCTTCTTGAAGTTAGCTAGGGATTGTTTCATTTTCTTTTATATGTAGTCCTTCAAGAGGGTCCTTCGTATTCTGCAGTTTTACGCAATTTTCACATCAGATGTAAACAGATCTGATCAGATCTACAATCTGATCTGAATGATCCAATTTTTCCAAAATGGATATCTGATCAGATCTAATTAGATTTTAATTAAACCAAATCAGCTCTTATAATTTTTTGTAGGCAGTTTCTTGCTTATACTGTTTTTATAAAATAATAATAGAATGGCACACTGGGCTTTTGTATACAGTAACTTTTTTTACATTAGACAATATTTACAGCAAGCCAAAGCTGAGCAGGAGGAAGAATTCATTAGTAACACATTGCTGAAGAAAATACAAGCTCTAAAGAAAGAGAAGGAAACCTTGGCACACCATTACGAACAAGAGGAAGAATGTCTGACGAACGATTTGTCAAGAAAGTTGAATCAATTGCGCCAAGAAAAATGCCGGCTCGAGCAAACATTGGAACAAGAGCAGGAATGTCTCGTGAACAAGCTCATGCGAAAGATAGAAAAGCTAGAGGCGGAAACATTAGCAAAGCAGAGCAATTTGGAGCAGTTGCGTCGGGAGAAAGTAGAATTGGAGAATACACTTGAACAGGAACAAGAAGCTCTTGTCAACAAGCTATGGAAAAGAATGGATAAGCTCGAAGCAGAAAAAAGAATGCTTCAGATTAAATTAGATCAACCTGTGTCCGATCCGACTTCACCCAGGGAAATTAACAATGGAGACACTGCTACGAATTTGAGCACTCATATTCAAACATTGAGAAGCGAAGTAGCAAGACTTAGGCACACTCTATTGATGTCTCAACAAGAACGTAAGTTTCATTACCTTAATAAATATATGATTAATTATATGACACCCTTTACCATAAAGCCAAAGCGATATTTATATCTGAAAGTCATATCTTCAATTCATTATTCCTCTCATAAGTGATCTCATTTAGAGGAAAATCGCGGCTCGCAACCAAACTGTAACTCCCTATACATACTTTATTATATGGCAAGATACATTGTTTAACTTGAAATAGATACGGTCAAGATGCAGCGATACGTTAACGAGGAGAAGCAAATTCGCGAAGAGAATCTGAGGCTCCAGAGGAAGTTGCAGCTCGAGGTAGAAAGACGAGAAGCCCTTTGCAGACATCTTTCCGAATCAGAATCCAGGTAAAACTAATCAATCTCTACGGCAAAAAAGACAATCATCCACGTAACACTTCATTAATCATAAACTTAATTAACAGCTTGGAAATGGAAGAAGAGCGCCACTACAATGAAATTGTGATGTCCGGAGGCAACATCCGAAATCGTACTGTCTCAAGTCCAGTGCCCTACAATCCTTCGCCCAGTTCCTCCAGGCCTCTGAGTCCAGGTACATTTAAATCATATTAAACAAAATCAAACAATTTTGAAAAGCACCTTGTAACATTCCCTTATCACCATTTGAGCGCACTAACAAAGAAATCTCGAGATACAACCTTATCTTTATAATTCTGCAACCTAGAGATGCACACACCCATTGAACCGGAAACAAAAATTTAATAAAGCAAATCCTTGTTACAATCAACAGGTATTAACGTAGTAGGTTCCTCATCACGAGAAAGTTTCAATGCCAATCGTTGTTACGCCTGTGGACAGCCGACAACTTTACCGTTTTCCAGTTCGTCTCCTCCTTCAGGGGTAAGTAAGAAACACGCAAATTAATCTCAATTAAATTCCTCCCTCTATTCCATGTAAAATTGGTAACACGTACTATAAGCATTGATGGAGAAAAGATTTGCAGTAAAGTGAGTATAAAATGAGGTATATTGTGGAATCCTAGGGTCACATTGTAGCACCATCCGGAAGGCGTACATCGGATAGATTCGTTAAACCAGCAATCCCACCGACTATCGTGAGTCCTGGTGGACATCCATTGGCAACCCCATCGACGAATTCATTAGGCGGATCACCCATGGATATCGCCAAGACATAAACTAACGGAACGACTGGAATTCTGTGAACCGAATTTTTTTTCACTTTATAATGTATTGTTACAACGTACTTCTCTCTTTTTTTTTTTTTCATTAATTGGTGCAACTCACGCTACCTACTAATGCTACTATCATATTGCAACGACGTAAATCCGGTACTACGTGAGCTCGTGCCAATAGGCGTTACGATATTACACGATTAGCTATCGATTGCGAGCCACTTAAACTCTATGGAAATATTTTCAGTGTATTATTAATAAGCAAGTACTATGTGCGTTGCAGCTTATGGTTACTGAACTATGTATTGAGTCGCTTACGATATTCTATATGGTAATACGATGTAAAGGCAGTATTTATAACAGTTCGAAATCAGCCGTTTCAACTAAATTCCTTATATTCTTATTTTGCCTTCTTGCGTCTCTGTCTTTTTCATTGATTTTATCTATAATTTGTTATTCGAAATTGCTCTCGTTCGAGACTTAAGCCTAACACTTTTCGGCAAAAGAGAAGCATACGAGAGAAATTCGGCGCACATTGTATTTGTTATCTTTTTTTTTTAAATTTCCTTTACGTTATCATAGCTCGGATACGTAACAATTGCATATTGCTGTGAGAGCGTATAGTTGTGGTAATTGTAAGCTCGCCTGATTCGTCCGAGTAATTAAAACTCTGTTTACCGATTCGCAGTCAAGATATGTGACTTCGAGGATCTAATTTTGTTCGATTTGACGTTAGGATTTATGAGAACTTAACGTTTATGCAGCTTGGATGACGTATCGGTGCTAGGATATATATATATATTTAAAAGAAAAAAAAAAAGAAACTTGCAGCGTACGCTACGTTACTTACAACCCCACGAGTGATAGAGAGACTAAGATTTGAAAACCCAGGGAAAAAGCAAAAAAAAAAAGAATGTCTCGAAACACAATATTTTAAGCATGTCTCAAATACGTTAACACTCGCTATAAACTGTTACTAGGATAACGAAGTAATGTTCTTGTCGAACTTAATTGTATTAATTTAATAATGTTGTAAGCACCGAATGAAAGGGAGAAGGTGGAGGAGATGGCTGATTTTTGGGTAATCGATATCGTCAAAATATGTTCGTTGGAACAAAAAATTGTTGTCTCACGATTCTTAGGGTATATTATTCTTAGCGAAAATTCTACAGCAACCCAGTTGTTGAGGGGGATTATCCAAATGAAATTATCATTTCATGTTAATTGAATCGTCACAGTATTTCAAGGGTTAGTAAGATTGAAATGGTAACTGATATCTAAAAAAAGATACCGATCGACAAAAATCGTATGCGCTAAAAAATCAGCCAAGGCTACTAGAAACGTAAGATGCTGTTAAATGTCTGTAATAGTCCTGATTACTGCGAGTAGATACTAGAGCTCTAAAGTGTCACGTGATGGTACATTTTCAAAAAGACATTTAACCCTGACAAGCTAATGTTCCTCTTTAATTGATTGCTTTTCAGAAAGTAACCCAATTTGTCGTTATACAGTGCGATTATAAAGCACTACGTTCCGTCACGCCTATTGATAACAGGGGATGCAATTGAATCGCTTGTCAATGCAAAAAAATTGCGCAAATACAGTAAAAATGAAATCTGAATGACGCAAATGTATTGCATCTTCTTGTACTTTTAGCATAGGTCTCACTTTTGTGCATAGGTGATGGAAGAATGAAAAGCATCGTTTGGTTGTATCACATTTTATGATAATTTACCCATTATTGTTGGTGCTTAGGACTAATGAAATTGCATACGATTCTTTCTCTCTATTATTTTTTTTGTACGATGCGTTATAAGCGGGATTACGCATGTATTGCGCGTGAAACCTTGACAAGCAGATAATGAGGATTAAGAATTAAATGGTTATTGGATTTTTATGAGTCTGCATGAGCCAGTGTCAACGTTTTGCGCGCTTTACTTGTGGTAATATTGGATCTGACACGTAGGACTATGTAAAAGATTGTTACAAGGGGTAGAAGATACGATGAGCGCCAGTGGTGTAAGACAGATATATGAAAAATGATTAAACACTCATGCAGCAACTAGATAAAATAATTAAATTGATAACGATAATAAAAAAAAGACTTACACCACTTGTGCCTCGATTTTTTTTGTCAAGTGGATGTTTCATTATATTAATACCTGGCTATGCGTTGCTTACTTTGTTTGTACGAAACAGCACAGAGGTACGAAAGGGACATAAATAATACAGATTTTTGTTACAACACAATATTACTTATTGATAATTATAATTATTATATGCAAATATGTTTCTCAAGTATATATTATGTATTTTACTCATTATTATGCTTTTACGAAATACACCCACTTTTTTGCTATTATTCGTTGAGCCTTAATCTTATTTAATAGTGTTGGTGAAAGGAAATTTGATTTTGAGACATTTGAGAACTCAAAGTCAATTGCTGTGTTAATAGTTATATGTATTGTATCGAGAATATAATTGTCATATGTGGTTGCAAATAGATGAATTGTAATGTATGCACGTGAGTATATACTATTCAAATGTTTAATGATTATGAACATTTATGTACTATCCCTTTGAGATTTCTGTAATTTACAATTTTTTTTACTCAGGATACTCAGTGGTACATTGATCGTTATGCAGAGTATGAGCAATGGTCAAATTAGAAATGAATGGGACATGAATTTAGATACAAATTATTCTCTATGAATATCTTAAATATTTACATTACCTTAATATAAATAATTAGTGGAAAATATTAAATATTAAGAATCGTCTGCCCTTTTACAAATGGATACAACTAATCTTGAAATCATAATCCAGATTGTTAAAGAAATAGCATTATCTTGAGAACATGGCCAGCTTAAAATGCTTTGAAACGGCCACAAAATACCCTTTGGTAATATAACGACTGGTTCGCTGCGATACAAGTATAAGAGGAACAGAGTTACCAGTGCCTGTAAGTATGATATTGCAAATGAAAGTATTACCAGGTATTACATATAGATTACTTTTTTTTGTATGTATACTTACATTGAAAATACTAAAGGCATAAGTTATAATCAATCTTGCTTTCATTCGAGAGGACATTCGAGCATTCACTACAAAAAATTTCAATTTCTTATTATATTACAAAAAGATATAAAAAAAAAACGGATCTCTTAGACAAAATTTACCATTATCTTTCAATTCCGTTTCCAATTTGTTATATTTGCGTTGAAGTTTGGCATACTTCGAAAACTCATCGACCATTGAAATACCAGACATTTCCTGTCTCACATTCAACAAATCATCACGTAATATTCGATCACATTTACTTCCAGAGTAAAGTCGAAACAATATCTATAAAGTAAAATTTTTAACTATAATGTTCAAGTTTAATTGTGACATACCGTGTATGATATTGAATGACTTACAAATTTAATAATTATCGGAGCAATATAATCTAAAAAGCAATTAAACGTTGCTATTGCAATCAAGTAGCTCATTGCGATTCTTTTAGAATAATAAAAAGATGAATTGTCTGTATCGCTCTAATAAATAAACTAGCACATAACGATTAGTGTATATTTTTTTTGAGGTTACTTCTGGACACGTGATCTGTCCAGAGATGAGTAGGTCATGGTCGAAATTCATGGCTCATGCCTGAATTTATACCGGGTGGCACTCTAAAGCGAGTGTATTCCACTGTCAACGCGTCCCCTGGACGGAGGAGCTTTGAACTAATTTTACGTTTATGATTGGTCGAACATAAATTCTAAGCAAATCTCAAACGTGGATAATAACAGAAACATAAGTTTCCTACGAAAGCTCGGCAACTTCCGTACTAACCACTGGACTATCAGCCGCCCCTGCTCGAATGCTCACCGCTCAGGTGGCACGTCGACGCCAAAATAAAACTTGAACCATGAAAATCACTCATTGGCAATTTCCCTCTCATCTTTGCTCTGTCACTTTCTCCCATATGCTCTCCCATATTTATGCTTTCAAATGAAATTTATGATCAGACCAATCATGAAACAACGTTCTAAAAGAATATGTGTTTGATTCGTCAACATTTTTTTAAAGGTGATGGATCATATAATCCATAGATTTAATTCAGAGGAATATAAGCTTTTTTGTTGAATATTCCACGTAAAATAATGTTTGAATGGTAATTTAAATTTATCAAACTAATTATGTGGTAATTCGATTTCCTAGTATTAACAGCGTCATCATTTTGGACGTTTTACAATTTTCATGGAAAAGTCAAAACTGCGATTGGTATTATAAATTTTCGTCAAAATCAAAAATAGAAAATTACTAGCTTCACCGATGGTTCTCAACCATTTGATTCTTTTGAACAGGAGAGGTTTAATAACTTACCGGTATTTCGTTATTTCTTTAAGTTCTATGTACGGCTTCAATGATTAATATATATTAATATATTCTCCGTTTAATCTATAATTAGTATTTACAATTTATCGGATCTTTTGTAGTAGTTTACGTAGAGCTCATAGATTGTTGATAGAATAGTTGTCAAGAAAGTACTTAGAAAAGAAATGGCGGACGAGAACGAGGATCAATGGCTTTACGGGGATTCCGTTGACGGCAAAGAAGCTGCTACGAGCAATACGCCGTCGGAAGCCTTAGAAGTCGAAACAACACCTCTAAGCACTCAGGAGGAATCGCAAAATGAAGAGGAACAGAAAATGGAAGATATTCCTGATGGACCACCAGGGGTATGCTTGGGAGATAACCTCAATTCTTTAAGCCATAACAATTCTAACTATACTGTACTACATAATTTTTAGAATGACAGAGATTGATAACTTGATAAAACCATCCATATTCTTTATATGAAAAACGTGTTTGTTATTTAGTTCATCTACTTAGAGGGTTTATAATAGTATTATCGGTATAGGTTAACCTATACTGATGCAAGGAGAAATATTCCTTTAAGAGCTTTGCTTCGTACTCTTTAAAAGATTGTTATTCTTCTAGGCAACCAATAGTAGAGAACTTACCGGTATGGATGATGGAAAGTTGCCGATGGATGACTTAGCACTTCCTGGAGAGGATGCTGGAACAGCAGCATCATCTATGGAAAATAAGGATGGCATTAATCCCGAGGCAAATGAAAATGGAACTAAAGAACCATCGAGTCAAGAGGATGGCGAAGCAGCCAGTGACTCAGATTCTGACGATGATGTTCACGTAGTCATTGGTGACATTAAGTCAACTCCTGCCTATGGAAGTTTAAATATAAAACGCGGTGGATTATTGACCAATGCTAGTGGGGTACCAGACAAATTAAATAAACAGCCTGGAAAGTTCAGTATAGATGAATTCGAAACTATCGGAGTGATCAATGGAATGCCAGCACATGAATTTAACCTGGATCAACTGGAGGACAAGCCCTGGCGACAACCCGGTGCCGATATAACCGACTATTTTAATTACGGTTTTAACGAGGAGACTTGGCGCGCATACTGCGAGCGTCAAAAGAGAATGCGCAGCGAATCAGGAGTGGGTTTAATTTTAAATGCCGGCGGCGGTGCGGGCAACCCGGGCGGTGGAATGAGAGTACCACAAGTAGCAATAACCAATGACAACAGTAAATACTCGGGTATCATGGGCCCAAAAAGAGCAGGTCCTCCACCAGGTAGAAAAATGGCTGGCACGATAGACGTTATCGGAAGTTCAGGTTTGGCCTCCCGAAGAAACCTAGACAAGTCACCACCCAAAGAGAACGTAATACAAGTAATGACAGCAGACAGAAGAGAGTACTCCAGGAAGCCAGGCTTCCCTGATATGAGTGTTCCACCTCCAGGAGCAGGAATGCCACCACCATTCGACATGCCTCCACCAGGATATCCTGGAGAGCCAGCACCATTCTACATACCAGAAGCTGATCCATATTACCAAAGCTACGAGCCAACCCAGGACAGTCAATGGGGCAACGATCCAGTAAAGTCCTTTCGCAGCATTTAACCATCATACTCTCTTTTGTAAATCCAACTGAAACAATACCATCGATTCAATTCCAGACATGGCAGCCAACTAACCTAGCCATCCCATTAACGGAAACAGAGGAGGAGAAAGATATTGGACCAAAAACGATACCAACAATGGTACCACCGATATCAATTCCACCTTTGATGCCACCAAGAGACAGCAGGGAACGTGAGAGAGAACGTGAACGAGAAAGACCGGAAAGGGAACCGGAACCGGTAGTAAGAGAAACTCGTGAACGCGATCGGGAAAGAGAACGAGAGCGTGAGTCGGTAACGAGAGATCGAGGTGAGAGAGAACGAGAGTCCGTAGCAAGAGAAGATGACAGAGAAAGAGACAGATCACGTTCGCAGTACCGACATAAGGAGAGGTACGTAAAAGATCTCTATTATAAAATACAACACTTAAACCTTGTCCGTGCATCTCTTCCAATTTTTAGGCATAGGCATCGCTCTAGATCACGTTCCCGACGACACAAATCCAGGTCGCGCAGTCCTAGTCGACGTAAGAAGAAATCTCGACGCTCCGAGCGTGAACGCTCCAAGGAAGAGAGCGAGTGAATAATAATTCCAATTTTGTATTATCGGCATTTTCATCTCGAGAGTCCTATTCGACTCGTATGGATGAGCAGTATACATTAACATTTACATAGAGAACAGAATTTAAAAAATCGATGGCAGACCCATTTCCACAATGGTCACATCAAATAACAATGTACATATGCCGATTAAATGAAAAAGACAATTACCTGCCTAAGCACAATGATAAAGTATCAAGCAGGGTTCTCCAGTATATGCTGACTCGCCAATTACACGATCCAATGTACAATTTAAAGAATACAACTTCTAAGAAAAAGAAAAAAGAGAAAACAATATTTATTCTTCGTACTCACCTACTCACACGCGTCCCAAGTCCAACTGGCAGTAGGTAAGAAATTGCATGAAGCAACAGGTGGGACGCGCATGCGCAGTAGATACAACGTGTGGACAGGGTAAAATAACTAACGAATTATAAAGGACACAAAACAGGTAGCAATTGCCATTCAATGTATGGTTTTATATCATAATGTTATTACAGAAATGGTATTTCATAATAATTAAGAGTAATAGTAGTTTTATTGATAAATCACTCGCGCGGGTGAATCAAACGATCGATGATCGAAGCAAATTCGCGTCTTCACATCGATCGTTGCGCACATGCGTTATTATATGCATAATCTTTCGAATTGTTCATCCATTACTTTTAGCATCAAATCTTCCAATTTTTTTTTTTCATTATCATCATCGTCATATCATCATCATACATAATGGAAAAAAATGTTACATTTGTACAGCCATCATATACATGTTACATTTAGATTACCGTTAATTCTTTACCATTTTTGTTTTTCATCTTTCGAATGTCTCTCTGTGTTCCTTTTTCTTTCTCTTAGGTTTTTTTATTCCTTTCTTTTGTGTACTACCAATTTTTGTAGCGGTGAGGGGTGGTGGGGAGGGGAAGTACGAGTGGTTCGGTGATAAAATTGGAAATGGTGATTGAATATTTTTTTTGTGAATAAATGACCAATGGCGAGAGAAAGATTAACGATCGTGTATAAAGAAAAAGGATGACTTTATTATCCTGTGTATTTACTCACGAGTGAACTACTAAGAAAGGGTTAAACAAATTTAGGAAAAAAACTGGAATATCAATAGCGATGCTAGTACGGCTCTTCGCGATAGGAATTTTTTGAAAAAAAAAAATTTTGAAAATACAATCGGAATCCAAATTTTTGGCAATTTTTCTCTAGGGTCAATTTTATTGTTTAGCTTAAAAAAAATCTTGCGGACTGCCATACGTAGATTTTGAAAAAAAAAATGAGGTGATTTTGGCGCGAACGATGAAAAAAATAAATTAAGATTCAATGGCAGGTGTAGTTGTTTGCTTTTGCGATGCTGTGTATAAAAAGTAAAAAGAAAGGAAGAAAAGTTACGGAACGTAATAGAGCGAAAAAAGAAAAAGAAAGGAGCAAAATAAAAATGATATTATGTATATATATATATATGCAATTATTCGTAACGATTAATTAATTAATTAATCCAACTCTGCGTCTAAGGTCGTTAATATACGCCGCTTCTAGCACGAACAAATATTATTTATAACTATACTGAAGTATGTATAACTCGTACGTAATTGATTATGTATAACTTTATTTATTTAATTATCCGAGGTCTTGGGTTTTCAGAGTGAACGCGGATATCCGGGTTTTTCCGTACTGACCAATTCCAGGGATAACCTCGTTAAGACTGTCTGTATGCTTCTAGTCTTCTGTGTCCTTTGTGTATATGCTGAGAAATGCAGTAACAATAAGGTGGTAAAATTATCTGGCTCAAAATTTCACGCAAACAATAGTCTCGAGAAGTTCATTCGTCTTCCTTTTAATTAATACTCTCGGAAATGTCACGTTCTATGTATAAATGAGTGCTAGTGCGAAGAATACTCGGAGGGAACGACAAAGTTTGGCAGTTAAAAAGAAAAACAAACGAATCTTCATTTACCGACGGAGAAAGCGACAGTGTCGATAACAAAAACTTCGTTGAACTCAAACGACAACCGTAGAAGAACAGGGTGAGATAAAATTCAAGTGCGAAAGTGTGGGAACAAAAAAGAAAGTTTTTGAAAATTTTATGAAAAAAAAAACTGTCAATCTGACCTTAAAATAAAAAAAATCCATTTTATTTTTATTATTCCCGTCCCCTCCCCATTCGTTAATCACGTTTAATCGTAGAATCAGAATTAAACCAAAACTCAAAATTTTATAAAAAAAAAATGTCTGTTCAGATATGACGGATACTTTTTTTATCGATATGGAGGATAGAAAACGTCTTTCGATCATTCGTTGTGCACAGGGATAGTTTTTTTGGGGGTTATGTTTGCAGTACAATCAGTGCCTTATGAATTTTCCATATTCTTTGCTCTCTTCGCACATAAGACGAAAACTGGCTCTCTTGAAATAATGCTATATCGTGTTCACTTTGTGATTAACGTTTTAAAAATGTTTACAATGACGTAACTAGTCGCGCTGCTCTGCTCTGTTTGTAAAAAACATTGTCGAAAATGATTCGCTTTTTTTTTTTCTTCTTCTTTAAATATCCCGTTATTATTATTATAATATTATTACTTTGTTTCTTTATTCCCCCGTTCGTGGCTATTTCATCGATTGCAATATTTTTTGCATTATTACTTTTTTTTTTCTTTCTTTTCTTTCATGCTGCTGTTCTCTACATTCTATACACTAATATACAAGTTATGCAATTTTTCTTTCCTCCGTATGTCTCTCTGTTCGTCCCACTTATCTAATTATCTGCTACATGGAATAATAATAGTTTTTCCCTTTTTTTTCTTCTTGTCCTCTGTCAACCGTATGTCAAAAAAGACATCGTCAGATCGTCGACTCGTACGCTGACCCCCTTCACGATTCCAATCGATTATAAATTTAACAAATTTTCATTCCATTTTTTTTCATCCCATTCCATATTTTCAAATTCACAAAATCAAATTCGTCCTTCCATTCAGATTAGATGCAACCATTTTTTTCTTCTTGACACACTAATCGTCCTACAATTTAATTATTCTAAACTATTCACACAGTAGATGCGTACAATTCGATTAGACGTTATAAGATTTATAAACACAATTTTTCGAAAATTAAAAAAAATTCTTCCAAGTGCTTCTTTACAATGACGGTAACGAAGAGTTCCAAAAAAATAGGAGGACAAATGCAATACGAGTCGACGATGACAATTTCTATTATTTATGTATATATATATACCATCAGCCCTACGAATCCGTTTATTATTGGGTTTCCTCGTGTATATTGAAAAATTGTGACTTAATAGAGAATAGCGCGCTACTGTACATCAGTCTTTAATATCAGGGCGCACCATTCCCCGCTGACGTTCACCGATTTTCATGTGAAATTCAGAGAGGGTTAAAGAGAAAGAGAGAAAAAGTGAGACAATACATATTTAAACACGAGTAAAAGACAAGAGCGTGTTTATGAAGAATTATATAAAAGAAAAAAGAGTGACAAAAAAAAAATGGACACGGACAGTCCACGTAGAATTTTCCGTCACGGCATAACGTGTAATTCGAAAAATTTCGTGATCGAGTAAAATTGTCATATTCAAATTTCCCGCGTCGACGATCAAATGCAAACCGTACATCAAAACGATATTCGTATATCCGTACAAAGTTTTGTAAGCCATTACGACAATTTTTCTTATACACTCAAAAACATCGAATTTTCCCCCAATCACATCAGTACTAGGCTTTACTCTACGTATCCCGTGTAATTAATAATTAATCGCTTGTTCTCGTATGCGCCAATAAATCCGTGTACAGTTTTTTTTTTTTTCTCTTTTTTTTTGAAATCGAGAGAATCTCGTACGCACGTGTGTAATATGTGAAAAAGAAAGAAAGAGAGAATGTGTCACCATTTTTTTTTGCGCTTGTGTACATGTATCTGTATACACTACAAGTGGGAGGTCGCAGATCTTTTTATATAATACAATTAGCGTGTAGTAGGAAAATCATATACAATTGTTACAATATTTAAATAGTACTTATTACATATATATCATATAGCGATAGGTTCAAGGTTTTTTTTTAGATATACATATACAGATATATATATATATATATTTATATATAATCAATATTTATAGCGTTACTTAATCCGTTTAATCGTTTATGCTTTTTTTTTTTGCCGGGAGACAATGCCCGACGATCGGCCCACTTACATGTATTATTATATCACGGCCATTGTCTCGCCGGGGTATGATGCGCCCGTCGCAAATAAAACAAAACTAACGCGTATCGTCTTTATCCTTTAAATATGAGAAAAGCAAGGAAAAGTTATTAATATATTCGTTAAATGTTTTCGTGAGATACTTCGAAGCGTCGTATCGCGATTCAAATATTACCGCGCGCCGAGAGCGCCTCTAGCGGGAGTTCGAGGTTTACGGTGTGTCGGGCCGAATACAATTTTTACGCGAGTACGATTCGCTTTTCTTTACGCTTTATATGAATTTGATTGGACTTCGAGATTAATTCGTTGAAGATCGAGACGATACGAACTGTTCTTGTTAATTGGCAACGTTTCGTTTCACATATATATTTTGCCATCCCATCGTGTCGTCGCGTACGACACGCATGCTTTTTTTTTTTTCACGCTCCTAATAATAATGCGGCGTCGCTCGGATTACCTTTTACATTGCGATATACTTACACCAAAAGAAAAAAAAAAAAAAAAGAAAAGATGGAAACCGAAAGGGAGTGGAGAAATAAGAAAAGATAACTGGACAAAATCAATTTTGTTCTAGACGTTGGAAGGGAGCATAATTTTTTTTTTCAATCCTTTCTATGCGTTCTCTCTGTTTTTTTTCTGCGTCTTGCGAAGAGAGCGGACACGCGTATCTTTACTTCGTTAGAAGAAAAGTGACAAGGACACGATAAGAAAGAGAGAGAAAGATAAAGAGAAGAAAAAAAATACATTTCTTTCCCCTCCCCATCACAAAAGACCAGCCAGGATAGAATGATGAAACAAAAGTGAAAAATAAAGAAAAAATAAAGTAAAAAAAAAAGGACTCCATGGTCTCTACGTTCTGACAAATAAAATTTTGCTCTTTTCCTTCTTATTTTCGCCGTTCGTGAATATTATTGTTATCGTCGAAAATTATTTTCTAAGGCGCAACAGAAAAAAACGCAGTTTTCGCGACGAGCTCAAAGTCAATCAGTATTACAAATACTGACATAATCAATGTTCTCCAAAATGGCGGCTTGGTAAAACTCTTCAAGCTCGTCACGGCCATAGACAATCCTTTCGTTTTCCCATTTATCGGATTATAGAGCCAAAAAGAAAGGGAAAAAAAAAAAATGGGCAAGAATAAAAATCCAAAGTATAATCGCCTGTATAACATTTCAAACGCAAAAACGGGGCTTAGCCTTTTTTTTCGAAATTTTCATTCCTCCAACGTCCCCCGTCTGTGCTACCTCGTACCTTCGTTTACGTCACCTCCTTAACGTTTATACATCACTGTGGCAACGCCGTAAAATTTTTCTCCTCTCTCTCATATTTTCGCAGACGCTCTACATACATCGTGGCTCGGCCGATAATTCGCTTTCACGCTATATAAAAAATTTACACTATTTATAATCAAAAAGTCGATAAGAATTTTTCACGAGGAGCTTAAGTAGATAATAGAGATAGCATTCAAAGATGTTTCTTCTTTTTTTTTTTTCATATAATTGTACTACTAACGTTCATACTAGGACGACATTAAATAGGACGATGGAATTGATCCGGATGATGGAGAATTTTGGATTTTAATTAAAAAAAAAAAAAAAATTCAGATAAATAATAGGGACATCGTACCGTATTTATAAAGCGTTACGTGTGAGGTTCCTTATTCAGTATATATCTACACATATATATATATATATTATCGAACAAAGCCATATACATATATGTATACATATACAGTACGCCCAGTAATAAGCAAGAACAATGAATAATCAATGTGAAGTTGATAAAATAAGAAAACAAATTTTTACATTCCTGTCAGTTGCTCACAGGGTGGGGCGAGGGGGGGAATGCGACAATAATGGATGCTGCTATTCTCAAATGAACGAGTAAGGAAAGGATAAAGAGACGCTGTGAGGAGGGGGGGAAACGTTAATCAAAACTACATACAATAATTAATAATAATAGGTAATAGCGATGAATAATAATAATAATAATAATAATCGTAATATTAAACATAGTAAATCGATAATCTTAGTTTAATAAGACATAAGAGAGATTTTGCGGTCGTTTTCGTTTTTTTTTTCCTTCTTTCTTTAAATCTTTCTTCATCCTCGGTCTTTCGTATCGTTCGTCCTACTTTCTTTCGCGATATATATATATATACTTTCCATTCCCTTTACTTTCCCGCGTACCGACCGTTTGCGCGTATCTTTATTTTTTCCTTTCAATTCGCTAGTCGAAGCTTCTAGAAGCTTCGCGGGCAACGACGTTGACGTCGACTCGAGCGCCACGAGAGAAGCCTCTCCATTTCTCAACCTTCGTCATACATACGTACGGGGCTATTCCTAGTGGCTACTATATATGGTGTGTACATGTGAATCGTTCGTGGATGATGTGTTTACAATTCGTTAACATTTTGCTCGTTCCTTCTTCTATCTATTTTTTGTTCTCTTTAATTTACAAACTATGACGCGGCGACTTTTACACAAATGATAAGTAAAGAAGAACTAACGCTAACGGGATAAGTGAACAGTAAGAATAAGAATGTCGCTTTTTTTTCTTCCCTTTATTTTCTTTTTCCTCAAAAGCGTCCGGTTGCGGGGTACCCTTTGTAACGGATATCCCGTAATTGCGATCGTTAAATAAGAAAATTGTTACGCGCGCCATTTTCATTATTCAACGATGTCAAGAGAAAAGAAAAGAAAAGAAAAAGGTCGGTTATAATAGCCGATGCTTCCTGTCGGACTTTGCCTGTATTTCGTATATAGCTGGAATGTCTTGTCTATTCGGTTGTCTGGGGTCAAGGGGTAAAGGGCGGTAGAGGGGATAGAGGGGGGGGTTGATGATAAGGGAAGTTTAATATCCGCACTGTACACGTAGTTTCACATATTTGCATTTTATATACTTTTTTTTTTTTCAAATTCACGCAATCTAGACTAAACGAGCCCTGGCAGACATTTTCAAATTTTCCCGCGCTGGCCGCTCGCAACCGCCTTCATACACCTTTATATGATTCCTTTCCTTGGGATTCCCCGGGTTCACCCTATGGAGGCGTCTGACCTAACCTCAAAGTGTTTACAAAAGGATAGAGAAGAGGGGCTCGGGCAGATGAGGGGGATCGGTAGAGAGAAGTGAGCGAGACCGAGAGGTTTCACCTAGGAATTTGTCAATTTCATTAATAAATCGTTATTTACAATATTTTACAAAGAAAGATGTGTTCCTCCTGCTCTCTTTATGTTTTCTTTAATTTATCATTATTTCCCTTTCCTCATCGCCGCTGTGGATTAGACGTTATTCGTCTTTTTTTCTTTTCTTTTAAAAGCAGTTCTTGTTTCTTTCTACAATTTTTTTTTTTACAGCATATATCACGGTTCGTGGCTTCGATTATGGATTTCCTTCGTTTCTTTTACGTTTTCGTGTATTTTATTTTCTGTACAAAAACAAGGTGACTTTTTTTTTTTTCACTTTCTTTTACATCATTTCCGTGCTCTCTCTTCTTCTCTTTACATATTCTTCTCTCTTTACTACTTTCCCTCTGTGTATACTTTCTTTACGATTGCCTTTTCTCGCTCTTTTCTTTCCTTATCGTCGCGGCCCCCCCATTTATTACTCGTATCGTTATCTCTCTAGTTTAAAGAAAATATTTTACAATTTGCGCACCATAGGGTGAAAGGGTTACAAGTGACGTCTCTTTTGACAGTGAGATAAAGTAACGTCCGTCTGTATCTTTTTTTTTTCTCTAAAATACAACGCCACGTGGTTTACATAACGTAGATGCGTTAAAAAATAAATCGAATAAAAAACTTTCATAGAATCAATCAATAGCTTTAGTCGGGCGAACGATTATAAAGTTTTTCTTTTAATTCTGATTTACCTAAAATTCGAAGCACGCTGTACAATTTTCACTTTACAAAGTCGAGATACAATTTTTTAAAATTCCCTTAAAAGTCGCGCGTTATTTAAATGTGCTTTTGGCTTCACTTTTTCTCAAATTCGACTGATCCTCTTTCCCTGCACACTACGCATCTACTGTTACGGACGAACGGACCGGAAGTAAACTTCCGCTCCTTGGGATTTTTCGAAATGTCTGCCAGAGGACTTCCGCTGGTTTTGCGCGCCAAATCTTTATTTATTCAAGCGTCGAGATAGAGTCGATATATATATATATATAATACAAGTGAAATGAAAGATCGAATCGACGGGCACGTGGTAAGAGAGAAGATTTTTGGACGAGTCAACGTGCGTCCAGGAGGAGGAAACTTTTTGTCTTGCAATTCTAAGGACAGAAGAGGATAAGAGACAATTTAGTTTACAAGACGTGGTTGTGCGAGCTGAACAATTCTTGATTTCGCTATTTCGATTTTTCTTTTTGCGAACGTCGTTATTACCATTTATACAATATACAATTAAGTTCAATTATATTCAAGTATGCACCATGAAAAAAAAAATGGCTCATGGAATCGGCTGGTAATGGCCTTTCGGGGAGGTTGGTCAAGGTTCAAGGGTCATTGAAGGACCTTGGAGGGGTGGGTCATAGGAGGGGGGTCGAAGGCGATGATCATGACTCGCGCTGTGAATGGAATTTGAACTACTACCGGTTTTCATCCATCGAAATGGGAGTCTTGGTCGAAATGTTAATATTTTACAATTGGAAAAACCGTAATGAATCTTTATATCCGAGGGGGGGCCGGAGAAAGGGGACGCGTTATCTAACTGTATAAAAGGTTCCTCTGTGTGTTCAAGGGTTACGGAACGGATATGATGAAAATTAATGTGCATCTATTATGAAATCGACTCGGGCGGGGCGCGGCGTTAGAACGTAACTCATAGGTTAAATTTAATTAATTAGTAATTATTATAATACACAATATTCACAGTGTCCGTTAAAAAGGAGGGAATAATGAGGAATACAAATAATCGTCGAATTGGGACCTATACACATTTGTTATTTACTTATATCACAATTTACAAAATTGCGGCTCGGGAAAGGGGGGACAGGAGGAGGGAAGGGAGGCAGTGGGACCTCTTTTTCTAAATCGCGAAAAAAAAAAAAAAACCAAGATTTTACGTAGAAAAGGCGAAAGAAGTTGACATCGGAACGTAGCGAGAGGAAAAGATGGACGAAAAAAAAACAAGAAACAAAAATTTTAAAACGAAACTCGTCGCAGAGAAATAATCATTGGCGCACGCTCCGATTAAAAGAGGAAAACGAAGGAAAAAAAAAAAAAAGAAAGGAAAAAATTCCGCGTCGCGTTTAATCTGCTTAGAAAATTCGCCTGGGAATATTATTTGACAGTAAAAAGTTACCAATGCTCTCGTACGCGCGAACCAATCGATACGAGACAAAAAAGTCGAATTGTCGGGAAAACAAATACGAATCGAAGGAGCAAGGCGTTTCCGAGAGTTGATGAAGAATTTTAATTTTTTTTTTTTTTTTTTTTTTTTTTTTAAAA